TTGGCGAGGCTAAGAACTGCCTTGAGAGCTCCCTAAGAATGATGGCAGTTCCCGAAGTGAAAAAGACCATCTTGGCAAATTGTTTCCGTGAAATTGCGCTTAGGATGGTTCCCGGTGCCTTCATCGGACATAAAATCGAGTCGGTTCTTGAGGGCTCCAGGCAAATATTTGCTTGGATGTTCAGCGATATACTCGAAGAAGATGTGAGTTGTGCCACTTTATTTAAGAAGTTTCGGTGTGTTATATCATTTTCAAGGGTAAAAGGTCCAATTATTTCTACCTGTGGCGTTCAAGAGAAACGTTCATATGAAATCGGCATTTCGACAATTCTGAATTTCTCGAAGCATATAAACCTTTGAAATCATTCAAACTTCCAAGCTGCTTGAAGTTCTCAACATGGAATTTTCTATCACTAACAGCGAGAGCAACTGCTAAATCAGATTATTCTTAGTTCAAACCTGTCAAAGGAAAACGCATGCAAATCCCTGCGACCGACGACTTCCGAAACATCATCAATGTTTGCAACAGTTCTCAACACTTTCGGATGCTATCGCCCCTCCAGTTAGACGGAAGAGAGAATTCGGGTATCTCATTGTCTAAGGCGGGATATGTTTCGCAATATACTCAAAATGGTGGTGAAACTTCGCAGCCGAGACTCGAAAATGTGATTACAGGCTTCGAAACTTTACCATCAAGACCGGGTCAGAGTCTCCTACAAGCTCTTCAATCAGTAATTTCACAAAGAAGAATTGAAGGTACGTGGGAGATTGATGATTGGAAGCGAATCGAATCAAGCTCATCGGCCACGAATCCGAGCTCTGTACCTGATGAAGCAATCGTTATTTGTTTGGACAAGAGCCTCAGTATGCAAGCCTCACTCGGAAACAATTGGATTGGAAATGGTCAAGTTAATACGCTCAACCGATTCGACGAAGCCAAGCAAGTGTTTCGAAATGTGGTCTCACGATTGTCTGCTTATCATTTGAACGTCCATTTGGGTCTAGTTACATTCGGTTCAAAAGCAGAGCAGGAAGCTCAGATTTCTCCTATCAGCAAAGAATTCAAGAACAAACTAGAGAACACCCAGGCAACTGACCACAGGACATCGCTATTCGATGCCTTGTCTGTCGCCCATTCTAGGCTCGTTTCTCACCAAGAGCAGTATCCTGAATCCAAGATGAAGCTTCGCATCATCGCATTAACCGATGGCGAGGATAACAGTTCCGTTTTTACTGCAGAAGAGACTCTTGAGATGTTATACAATGATGATATTGTCCTTGATTCAATAGTCATAGGTGGCTCCTCGTCTGAGGACCTTTTCAAGATATCAAAGTATACAGGTGGCTATGCTTTCAAACCAACATCACGAATGCTTTTGTTCCAGACTTTCCTCCTCGAGCCATTCCTGGATATACTTGCTAGACCAGATATTGTCAAAATCCCACTCGATGACTATAAATCATCGCTGCCAAAAGAGGCTGATATGACAACAATTCATGACTTTCCGCCTTGTCGTCCGCATCAATTACAGGATGGTGGGTTTGTCTCGCTTGACGCAGCAACACGCCAATTGGCTGGAAAGTCGTCTTCGCTTCTTGAAATTTCCCGCATGTCGGCTTCTGCCGAACCTGCCAATGGATCGACAGGACGACTATTTCTTGACGAGATGAGACTTATGATTGCAAATCCTCATGCATCGATGGATATCTATGTCAGTGAAGTCGATATGGCTTTTTGGAAGATCGTGATTTCGGGACCAGTATCCACGGCCTATTCCGAAGGCACTTTTGCCTTGTTTGTTCATATGACAGATACATATCCCCAAAAAGCACCGGCTGTCCGCTTCATCACACCAGTGCTCCATCCAAACGTGTCCAAGGTAACATCGCTGCCCTATGTATTGATATGTATTGAGTCATAGCTGACGATGAAACAGCATGGTAGAATATGCCACGAAATCTTCGATGATGGATGGAAATCAAGCTTTCACATTCACCACATCTTGAAGATTATATTCGCCCTATTCGAGAATCCAAAAGCTAGTTGCGATGCTGCTATTGATGAGCTAGCAACACTGAAGTTCTGGACCGATCGGGAGACAGCTGATGCGGAAATTAAGAAATATGTAAGCGTTAAGAAACTTGGTACAGAAAGCATGAAGTGCTAATCCATGACAGGTCACCAAATTCGCCACACGTACTAGACTTCAATGGAAGAGAGAAATGAATTCAACAGTTTGAAATTTTACAATCATCAAGTTAGGGATACGGTTATCGGAATATGAGGGCATTTCACACATTCTATGGACAAGTGAATCTGGCTACAATACTAGGGGTAATACAAATGGAAATAGTTGCAGCAATATCGTGCTAGTTAGTAAGTAATGAAAATGGCAGTCTATTTCTAGATAGTTTCGCCTGTGACTTTGGGAGATTGCCGAATGACTTGAGATACAAATATTTTGATCTTCAAAGCCGAGCAAGAGATAAGTGAGCTGCTTTCCAAGGTATTTTTTTGGTCTAGACTTCTGTTTGCGTTTGAGATAGTGCATAGTGGCTTGAGAAGAGAACTCTGCTAAAATGAATGTCGAAAAGAAATTGAGAGTAGAAAATGAACTACCAAATCCTCTATCAATCTGCATATGGGAGGAGGAGTTCTGTCTCCATTAGAGTATGGCATAAGAGAAATAATCAGCACCAACACTTGATTGAAGTGAAGGGACGTTCGCGGAAAATGCGAAGAATAGTATCGGGATGTATCTCGCTACCCCGAATGACCTTTGAGTAATCTCTCCTTCTAGCTTTTGAACTTGGAGGTAGTAGATTCATCGATCTCCGCTTTCAAAATCGGGAGCATAGCACACTCGAACGAGTTGAGGGTCTATGATTTTATGGCATTAGACATCATAGATATGAAAAGCGTGCTCATTGCACAAGAACTTGGATACGATCAAACACATGTGTGTAGCGTGAATGTATCCTTGCATCTTGTATATATTATCAAAATGCTATATCTGATTGGGATCTGTATATTCGCCACTCTGTCTGTACTCGAAGCAGTTTCGTGCTTGGGTATAGTTCTATAGAAGTTCTATCGTACCCTTCAAGCCATTATAGAGTTATGAATGCCATCTAGGGACATCGTGGGTTCTATGCCTGACCCAGAAGTACCTTCTCCGTTGTACTTGGTATCTCCAGACATCTGTCAACCCGAATCTCATTTAAGAGAAACGCTTTCAACCCTTGCTCAGTGATCATGAATCACCGAAGCCCTCTTAATTCTAAGCCTAAACCCTCTTCCCCATCCGAATATCTTATCTCACTTTCCACCCTGCACCAATCCCAAGTAAACATTCCATCCAATCCCCGCCAAACTCCCCAGCAAAGCCCGGCCCTGAACACTTTTAATCACGGCAAAATTGCTCAGACTAACAAATGGCCATAGCTTCCATCCCGCTTTCATCATACCCCAGTATTCGGATTCTGCAGACTGGATAGCTTGGGGAAGAGTGGCTCCGCGGAATAAGGAGAAGGTTATGAGGAATAGCATTACGTTGAGGATTGCGAGGAGGGTTTGATCGATAAGCACTTTCAGAATGGTATTGGTGATGGAGAGAGTGGGTTTGGACTGTGCGGTTTTCTTTTCGGAGACATTCTGTGGAGGAGTTTGTTTCTTGGAGGGGAGAAGAGATTCAAGTAGGGATTGTCTGGAAGGCGTGATGTATTGTCAGTAATCGGGGTGCTTTTCTGGACGAAAATGAGCCGCTCGAGAACGACGGAACTCACAAGTAGAAATTTGGCGGAGCGCTCAGCGCACCGTATAAGACGAAGTGAATTACCGGTGTCCAGTTTATCGTGAATTTGGTCTGTATACTTGTTCAGTTGTGATCTCAGGTGTAATATAAAGATGTGGAGGGGTCATACGTTGCTTTGATACGCAGAGATAAATTGTGCGATAATATTGCTGATCCCCGATAAGACACAGGATTGAACCGTGGTATTTACGACGGCAGAAGGCATCTTTGATTTCGTCTCGCTGGTATGTGATTGAGATGTGGGAGGAAGTTGGAAATCTTCTCCTCGAAATTAATTGTTTTGATGTTCAGCTCTAGTAACCTGGTGGCGTATTGTGTCGCGTTGTACTTGCTTGGTGGGGGTATTTCCTTCCGAACACCACAATCATTTCCCAATGTCAGCAGATTTCAAAGTGTTGAGTCTATCATCTCGACTTATTGAGTCTGTGATCTCGATTCATTGACTGTCTTGTCATCTTGCAACGACAAGCCAGAGCATTGCCCGCCTTTTAGTGAAAGGGCAGAGGGGAAGGAAGGTCTACCATTGCCGCAATGATCATGGCGACCTAGATGTCTTGGGGACATCACGGTGTTAACCGAATCACCAAGTGGCTTCGGCATACATTGAAAGACCTTGAAGAGAAGGTAGCTCCTATTGAAGCTGGCTATGGAGTCAGCAATGTGTATAATGATTGATGTGGCCATGCCGCACTGCAATTAATTAATTCATAAAGTTGTGCAACGAGAACGGTCTTTTCATAAGTATTATGCAAAGTTTCAAATGCAGATCTCGTTTATGCTATTTGTTTTGTTGAGCGAGAATAAAGGGTTGAAGTCATTACTCTCTTTGGAAGTTACCATCGCTCAGCCAGGCTTTACGTATGATATATTCTGCCCGTTTCCTCACTACACTGTGAATACTGCTCCCTGAAGAACAAGACTACCTCCAGCGAATATTTCAAGTACACTTCCATTGCATCTCTTAAGAATACTTTGGTTTCCTTCAACAAAGTTATCTTAGTTAATTGTGCCCCTTTTTGCACTAGTATTTCATGTACCTTTGCCGGAATTAGTTCTATCAAAGCTTCGATCATTGGAACTTCAATCAAACCAAATTTTAATACCGAGATTAATGCAAAGACCAGCATCAAGACTTCATGAAGATAAGCCAAGCTCAAATGCTGCTCCAAGAATCATTGGAACATCGCTAAACTTCATCACAAGATAGTCCACTAGGTCCCCCAGCACTAGCAATAGCTCTCTCCACACACCCAGCCTTAATTGTCGTTGGCAACGTAAATTTATACTCCCTTGTCCCCATCCAATCCCCATGTGACTCAGGGATAATGACATCGGATGCCTTCCAATCAAGTAGGGCACCACATCCACTTTCTTGCTTTTTCAGGGCCGCACCCAAATCGCTTTCGAAGCTGTTAGTAATTATCTGGAATTCAAACCAAAGAGTGTCATCGTGCACGAAACAGATTGCTCGAGGTGCCACTGGTGTTGGTGTTGGTGTCACCACTATGACGGAGGTAATGGTAGAAATGCTTGCTGTGGGCGACGCTGTTACCGTTGTTGTAGTGGTTGATTGCAAGGAGCCGTAATATTTCAATCCGGCTTCGCTGATAGAAGAAGCGATGGCATCGTAATTGATGTTTGTAGGCGTCGGATCTATATCGTAGAAGCCAGTCATGATTGTTTTTGTTACAGGATAATGTGTTGTGGCGGCAGTATTTGTTCTTGTGTCTCTGGCGCTGCATGCAACGGACTCCTCGCATTCAGTCTAGCATCATTGTTAGTTGTGTGACTAGAGGAGGTTTGAGGAGCATACTTTTGTTGTTGTCAAATACACTGTCATTGGTGAAGTGCTCTAACTACTACTAATTACCGTACACGCCGAAGCCGTAACAGGATCATCACAATCATTATCGTCGTCGTCACTCTCATTGTTGTTTTCGTTATTGTTACCACTGTTATCAGATCCTTTAGATTCACACCCTGTGACACAACCAAGGCCTCCACACTTAATAAGTGGACAGTCCCCAACACATGCGAGTGGACCGCAGCCACCGCTACAGCCAAAAATTCCACACCCACCGTCGCAAGCAAACAAGCCACAGCGTGGTTTGCAGCCAAATATCTTACAGTCACGAGTTCCATCACCTTTGAAGGACGTCGTTTATTTAGGCTTGTCACTTGAGGTTGTGACGGAAGGGATAGTTTTTGTTAGCGAGGAAACAACGATTTACACTGTCGGCATTGGTTGGATAGTAATTGGGTGTGGTGTCGAGAACCAAACACCAGCAGGTACGGCAGTGCCCGAACTTGAACTTGAATCTGGGCCCGTGGGAGATTTTGAAGTGGTTCCCTCATGCAGGCCTCTGCCGAAGCCATCAGCTGTGGGAATCGGGGTCGGGGAAAACGTATCCTGGAATGCGGGAAGGGTATAAACAAAGGAGGATGGCATAATGCTCTGCATGGGAAATATTGTATAGGTTGAAATATGCGTCGCGTGCAGTGTCATCGGTTGAAAATTGACTTCTGATATCGCGAATGGTGGAACACTGATTGTTGATGTTACTCTTTGGAGTTCTCCAGTGGAAGAAAAGAGAAATTTCGTAGTCAGTAGAGGCCAAGTAACGGTGATTCGCGTTCTTAGTAGAAACGGAGGAACGACAAAGATGCAAGGACGCTCACAGGTTATAGACAAATTGTCACTAGTTTCACTGCTTCCATCGTTGCTTCCACTACCGGTTCAGATGGATAGACTAACATAGACTCTTTTGAGCTGCCGTCACAACCACTTCTATTGTTCCCATCATAGGACTAGAGGTCGACTGCCCAGTCCACCGTTTCACCAAAGTTGTACTATTTAAATAATGCCGCTCGAGCTGACTTGGATGTTTTTCGACTTTCTATCACGGGGACACAGGTTACTAAGCCGGGTGGGGCTCGAACCATTAGAGATGTTAATACAGAGGATCTATGGATTAGCAATCAAGGAACTCTTATACCTGATGATCCACATACTTGGCAGGATACTAAGTTATATCTATGAATCTATAAAGGAGAGTCCCTACATCATAGAATATAGAACCAAGGATAAGGGAATGCGAACAAAGGGAAGCTAGTGCAGTATATATAGTCCAGTATATACTCGAGGTTGGTCAGAACATGTAGTCAGTCTTAACCACACTTGAATATACATTATTACCCTAAATATTATATGATTTTCATTCAGAATCTACTCGACATATTCCCTATTACAGAACCCTGTCACTTTCAGTCCTTTTAATGAATTGAAATCTGACTTAGCAAATAAAGTAGAAACAATCTTGATTACATATATAGATATAATATGATGATATATATAATTCCATAAAAATTATACACATTTATATATAAATAATAAAATCAGGAATGCCGATTTTCGAGGTTTTTGGTAGTGGAAGATGGCTCGAAATAGGAATGACCAGCCAGAAAACAGAATATATAAATCATCCGACAAACTCGTTCACGCACTCTGGCCCAAATCTGCCTCTGACAACATCGCATTTCCTTCAACTCATATCAAAGAATCATCCTTGTCTCGATTCAGAGAATCTGCAAAATGATATTAGAAATTCACAAATATTCCCGTTCCGCGATTATACGATCGTTTTGAATATAACGGCGCCTACTATGTTGTTTTGGAATATGTGGAGGGTGTGAACATGGCCGATCTGAGTGAAAGTCAAAAGGAGGTGGTGAAGATAGAGATCGATACTCATCTTGCAACAATGCACAATCTAACATCGAGCAAAATCGGCGGACCATCGGGTATCATCATCCCTCCTTATCGTATCCTGAGAAATATGGAGGACCAGATGTTGAGCCCACCATCCAAAGAATGTGAATATGTTTTCTGCCATATGGATCTCTCCCAGCATAACATAATCGTGGATCCAGTAACGTTGAAAATTAAGGCCATCATCGATTTCGAATACTCGGGCTTTTGGCCTGTGCAATTTGAGCTGCATTTTTATACAAGGCTTGGCCCTTCAGTTGGTCGAGAAGGAGAGATTGACGATACAAATGAGCTACTGAAATTCCTCACAGTTATAGTTCTTGTTGCTTTCTGATCAAACGAACCAGCTAATTGCATTTGATAGTACGGGTCTTGAGTGGTATACCACGCACGATTAGTCAATAGCGGTAATGACTAAGTATATCGAGAATCTAAACTATAAACTATAATTCTTTTAATATTTACTTGTTTCTTTTATATTCTTTCTTTCCCTCTCTTTTCTCATATGTTCTTCTTTTTTCTATTTCTCTCTTTTCTCTTCTTTGTCTACCTTTCTTTTTGTTGATCAAACTTATAATTTCAAAAAATATTATTCGAATATAAGTTATTTCTAACATTCTTATTCGAAACGAGAACCTTCAAATTACGTGTGCGAAGAAAAATATATGCTCACTTTCTGACCTTCTCAATATCATCGATGGTGTTGCATCCCAAGAAGGGCGCGTACTAATTATGACCACTAATAAACCCGAACAATTGGATGAGGCACATCTTCGACCTAGACCGCATCAGTTCTCAGATTAAATTTGGAAATCCTCATATTGTTGAGATCAAAAAGCTGTTCCAACTTATATGTACACCAGATCAGGGTTCCAAATAATCAGCCTACCTAGACTGCGGAAAACTAGCCACATTCTCATCTTATGAGCTTGGTGGAATGCGCAGAGAAATTTCCCATGAAGGTACCGGAGGGTATGTTTAATTCTACAGAACTCCAAGAGTTTAAGCTTAAACACAAGCGGAATTCTGAGAAGTTGTGTGCGAACGTTGAATAATGGGTAAATGAGCTGTTGAAATCAAGGGTAAAATGTCAATTTGTACGGACAGTTTGAGCTGCCGCTACGCCGAGACAAGCGACGATTAAGAAGGATGGTTTGAGCTTAGTTCTGAATTCTCGCGTAGCAGGTTTCAATAAGTTATTGGCTGAACTCTAGTCAACGACCAGTGGCGGTTCCACCAGGATCGGATCATAGCTACTGAGGTAGCTGCTCTCCTCGCAAAACAACGATCCACTTTTCCATCTTGCCATTCTCAATCATGTGTAGATGCTCAGAACTTCAAACTCCTTCATCAGCAGACGGATCAATCGAAAATGCAAACTAAATCGACTTGAATTGCATTGTCTTGTGTTGAGCTCGTGCCTCTGATTCATCTCTTACGACATGCAAGCAGAAAACAATCGGAGCTTGAAGCCCCCACATACTTCTTATACATGACATGCCGCACATTAAAATTTTAACCACTTCTGCCGGCAAGTTACATAAAGCACAATGGAAATGAAAAATAAAATTACTATGGTGTAATGACGCTTGAGAAAGTTATATTATATGTGAGGAAGTTATGATACTTATATCGAAGTAACTATAACTAACTTCCCTATATCTAGTCTCGCATTACAGTCGTTGTCGTGGAACGGGACGAAGACTTATGCCGGGCCATAGTTTGATGAGAATGTTATCTTGTGCAGCCAGTACTGACCTAATCTGAAATATGAGGGGAACGCGAGATTCGTTTACTTGCCGATAGACACTAGCATGCATAGCTGCCAATCGATTCTGCGGAACATGTTACAAGTGTAAGCATCTGCGCACCCCAAAGTTGGTCTCATTCAAATAAGTGCGATGGCTGAGTCAAGGGAAGAAGCACTCGTAAGAGCAAGTCTTTCCTAACGAGATATCCCGAGGTCTTTCCTGCTTGCCTAGTCCCAGGAAATCCGGTTTATCTGCACAAATGATCTCCAAGTTTGCACGTGAAGATGAATAAATACTTTACTATGGTTTTTGGCTATTAGTCTAGTTCATAAGTTGTAGTCAGAAGAATACGTATTTGGCAAAAATATCGTTGGCCCCTTATGGACCTCAACAGCTGCTCTTAGTTATTCCTTTTTTATTTGTTGCCGGCGTCACTCATCAGCTAGTAAATCCATGCATCAAGAATTTCAGTTTTCAAGCGCTATATTTATGCTCATTAGACGACATTGTGAAAGCCACACTTACACAACATAACTGATACGCCGACGGTCCCACTGCAATACTGATCATGAACAGCGAGACTATCCGGCTAAAATATGATTGCTGATACGTAGGCTACTGCTCTAGTTTTACCAGATATTAGAATGAAAGCAATCAAATGTCAGTTATCAAATCTTTGGCTAACAGAGCAATGTGACTCACTCGACAAGCAAGCTAGTCACCCTAATAGAATGGTCCCATAGACATAAAAAGATGGTTTTTCCTCGTTCAATATTACAATCGGCATAACTCTCCCTCTCATCTCTCTCCCTCAATACACTAAAAAGTCCTTGGTGTTAAGCGGCCTATCATGCCGTCTGAAATCGTAAAGCGCAAGCACTGTGGTACAGATATCTCGAGCTCGCAGTCCTCGTGCCCTTCATGCGACAAGGAACAATGAGCTGTACACCTCTTCGTGCAAGTATGACATACTGCCTTCTTAGAAACAGATCGCAAACTAATTGCCGATCAGAGCAGCTATTCGTGTCGAGGTAGCTAGGAGGTCTCAAACTTTTCCTCAGCCTAGGAGGAGTGAAGGGTTGGTTGAACATGGAGAATTTGCACATCAACAAGGATAAATGGACGGATATTTATTACAAATAATTGGAAAATAAATCTTCTACACATGATTGTGTTCCGATGAATGTAGAATTTGCCTGACTCTATCGAGTGATTTTGTATGCACGCTACGTCAATGACAAAAATGTTCAAGTAAATCATAAATCAGAATTAAAACTTTTGTCCGAATATCGAAGAACTTGTAATGAAAGAAGATTCGAATCGATTTTCCTAGACGATAGAATAAAAGACTGGAAAGAACAATAGAGAATCTGCGCAACGAGTCGAAATGTATCTAGGACTGAGTGGTATGCTCAAGATAGACAAAGTCACGCACAGAGAACCATCTCGACTAGTTATGTTCTCTTTCGCATCATTCCGAAAAATAATCATATCATTATGTGCTATTGGAATATATCAAGCTGCTTCCTCGCATATTGAAATTGTTCGCAATCAGTAGTTACTTGTTGATTTAGAAATTCTGAAAGGTTCACGGCAGCGCGCACAACAGTTCCATTCTTCATTCTGTTCGTAATTTTCTCGAGGTGAGAGACGGACGATACAGCACTACTGTCATCCACATGATTTTCTCAATCCTCAAAAGATTGCTTGCCAGCTGTCTTATAGCGGTGCCCCTTATCGTTCAACCGTTGCCTATCTATTCCGAAACCTCTTCGGTTGCTACCAATGGCAGCTTTCTCGAACCGCGACTACATCGACAATTCAGAATCATGGACTGCGATCTAGAGCACACCGATGCGATCAATACTGCAATAGCAGAAATTCCGCAAGTCGTAAGTGGTTCTGATTATGTCAGACAATACAGCCTTTCTAATTAATGAAATATTAGCTTGCGAGAACTATGGTAAGACTCGAGGACCTTATCTCTCAGCTTGAAACTCCAGGTTTTGACATTTTTGAAGATCTTGATGATACTGATTATTCTACTCTTGATACCTTTGGTGTTCTTTACGGCAGATTGCTCTTAACCGACAGTGAGGTTGATGCAACAGATCCTGAGGATGAGCCAACCGCTGTTGATATCTTGAATGATTATCTAGGTGAGTAGGAAAAAAATTGCGAATTATTCCATGAGACTATCACCCGCTTACCCACTGCTTTATAGATTTTGCTGGCCTCATGTACAATGCAGTGGCAAGCATAGCCACCCAAAATCTAGATGTCACTTGCAACAATGATTGGACAAACGAGAAAAATAACGATGACGAGGACTACGGGAATGCAACTGGTAATGACGGAAGTAAGTTGCCAGTTTTTCTACCAATTATTCAAACCTACATATTGGAAGCATCCCATTCTTCTCATTTTTTTTGTCGACAACATGATATAAGTCAGTTGGCTTGCTGACAAGATATAGCCGATTACTATTATGACAAGTCCGGTAATAACTTTGGATGGATCCAAATCAAAAAGGTTTGTCAGAAACATCCCACCCTTGAAGGGTTTACTTTTAGCATTTCTTCCAACTTAATGGTCGAGAACCAAAATACCCTCGCCAGCATCATCGCTATATGCCCTCTGGCAACTAGTCGTGCCCAATTTAAGACTACACTTACCTCTATCAAAGACAAAACTCTTGCCAAATCAGATTCTCTGGAAAAGCTTGCCTCACAAACTGCCACGTTTTTACTTCTTCACGAATTTTCGCATGCCTTGTCCCTAGTCGGGGGTTATGCAAAGGGTGTGTACTTATGTCCTTCGTTTGTACCAGTAACTAATTGGATTCAGATGATAATGCATACTCGTGGGGCGAATGTCTACGATTGGTCGATGAAGGGTCAGTGGAAATGGCAATTTCGAACGCTGGTATGATAATTTCAAGGAAAATCTTCCGTACTCTACCCTAAGAGTCATTACAAAAACGCTGACTATTTCTAAATATCAGACAGCTTTGCTTTTTTTGCTGCTGCCATGTTTCTTGACACCTACACGTGGTATACCGGACAAGCATTACCAAAAGATGATCATATGGAATCAGAGCAGCGTAGATTCTAACTCAACATAAGAAGCTCTAGCTACCGTTTCATTCGTTACTGTCAGTAGGATAGTTGATCAGATATAATCTTTTACATGTTATTAAGACCACTCTACATAGAAGAATAGAATAACATTATCAATCCATGAGCAGTTTCACCAGTGACATAAATTATGAATTGTAAATATGATCTTGATACAGGTATCAACAAAATTTAATGATTTTAGATTAAGATAACTCTCGATTAACGTTTGAAAAAATGAAAAAACTAATACTGAACTTGTATGAGAATTAAACACAAATATAAAATTTATTGATATCTCTAATAATCTTCGAAGAAGAGTGATCAAAAATAAATCAACTCCATTGTACGTAGCTTTTAGAAAAGACGCGCGAAAAGACACGCGCTAAGATTGATACAAATTGACAGCCCATTCTCTACGTGTTTCCTCCCGATGAAAGCGACGATCCCTGAAAGTAATATCACCGGATGCCAGTTGTTGACCAAGACGTTGGCATCGGTGCCTTTGAAGCTTCATAACAATCTCCGATCATATCAAAAACCTTTGAATCGACTAGCTCAAGGTCCCCGCAGAGCATTCGCAATCTGTCAACCTTATGACCCAGTTCTTCGTAATTCCCACACTGATTAGCATAGTCCGTATACCATTCTCGCATTGCCTCTAAGGACCTCCACATTGTTATTGCGCTGAAATACGACTTCTTTGGGATTTGGGCCTCCTCGGCCTCGGCACCCAAAGAGGGAGTTAATGGTGGATACTGGTGAAAAAAATGAATTATATGTCGACCAGCTGAATTGACTGGAAGAGAACCAGTAGCTGGAAGTGAAGCAGCATCTGGTGGACTATCGCGAAGCAACGTCACCCACGTTTGTTCCTGGCCCATATTCTCTCTATTGGTCAAATGGTTAGTTATTTAGTCTGAATATATGAATTCTGTATGAGAAGGTTGAGAATCTGACAAGGGAGATGGTAATTAGAAAGCTTACGTTTTAAATAACTCATAAGATCTTTGAAAGAAGGCCTGCGTTCGTGGATCGTTCGATACTTCAAATCTCGTGACTTCCATTATTGGAAACCCTTTTCTGCGAGGGTTTGAGAGATAAGGAAACCCGACTTTGAAGGTTTCGGGCTCCCTTGTCAGAGCGGCAGTTAGAAAAACAAAATCGTTGACAAGATCTTGAACAATTTTCGTCTCCGAAGTGATGTCGACAGGATCAGGGCCTTCCGTGTACGGACTTTTTCTTTTATTCCAATCTATTCACCATCCAAGTCAGCTGGTACAATTTTAAACATTAGATCAAATTAAGAGATGCAAACTAACCTATCATCAAAATCCACTCATCCGGATCATGCACAGATCGGCCCCAATAGAGAGGAGCACGGTATCCAACATATATATCGATCTCTTTTCTGAGTTGTAAGAGCCTCTCTGAAATACTCTTCTTATCATGAACCTTTCCTGGTTCAAATTTTAGCCATAGAAGTTCTGTATCTGGGCAACGATTTAATCTATTTGGCAAACCATTTCCTGGACTGGAACGCATATTTGTGTGGAAATCTCCCATTTTCAAATAGCCTCCGCTCGGTCCAGGGAATAGACGTCTACCCACTGCTGCATCGTAAATTGATTCAGTGTGCTTGTCTTTAGAGCGTAGTTTCGTCCCAGAAGACGTCTCGCTATGATGTCGCAGAGGGGAAACCCGCAGCAGTAAAGCCAGGCAGTCAACATTGAATTGAGGCTTGGTATTGACGGATTGGCTGTTCTTTTTGATCTTGAATTCGATTTGGGCCGACTTGGAAATCAAGAACTCATTTATTGCGACCTCTTTTGCGCCTGTAGCTGCTATCTCTTCTTTGAATTCAGCCTTCGAATTTCTCGTGTATTCCTCCGTCAGATTCACTGATTTTTCGTCCCAATTCCAAGCTAGTATCATAAGGATCCTATCCTGGCTTTCCACAGCTGCAGGTATTAGATCTGCCCACTCTGCCACGTATGGATGGCCATTATCCTCCAGCCAGTTACCTGATGCTTCTTTTCCTTCTTGTCTCCATCTTCCTTCCCAAATTTTCACAATCTCGCGCACTTCGTCCCCAGCTCGTTCGAAGACCTCGCTATCGAACTTGAACATAAGGACCTCTAGTTTGTTCAGTTGTTCTACATGATTGGGTAGACTGATACGTAAGCATCTATTGGTTGGTCTGCGTTGGCTGGATAATTCTGACCGCATCAAAGTTACCCCAAGACTCTGCTGAAATATACTCCATTGCCTCGCATTTTTTGATTCAACGAGTAAACAGATTGTTTCTTGACCTTGAGCCATCTCTGTTCCCCAGTATTTTATAGAGCAGCCTTGGATAGTCGAAATGTATTCAAGCGTAGCGAGCCATATTCTCCCAGTCCTTGAGGATATGTCGATAACTGAGAGGCCTTGAAGAAGTTGAAACTGAACAATAATAAGGATTCCTTCCGTGATATTGTGCTTCTCAATAGGCTCGTTCCAGTGAATACCGCCGCATGCAGGGGAAAGCAGGATTGGCTTGTTCCTTTTCTCCATTCGAATTCGAGCTCTTCTCTCCTCTTGTGTTTCTTTTGGGCGTGGTGCCTCTGCGGTGCCAGTTGAAAAAGACATTGGTAATTAGTTGTGTTTTTGGATGTCAATAAAGTGGTTTTTGATGTTTGAGATTGTAAGTATCTTTTAGATAAATAGATATTGTTATCAAGAGTCATAGAATATTAATGGGAAGGAAGTTCATATAGAGCATTTCCCTAAGCTAAGCATAATACGGCCCAGTGGATGATTTGTAATGCAACCTATCTATCTATGACATTGTAAATCCCTAAGATCTGAGAACCGTATCTCTTATGATTCAGGTGCTGTGTGGAATGCTAGCCTTACAGAATCTAGACTGGAATGCTGAAAAAGAGTCCGAATGCATCGAATTCCTGAAATCTAATGCGCTCAAATTCTTTACCAACATTCCAGGTCTGTACGAATTTCTTTCAATACTTCTCCAATATTTCAGTTCCGTTTCTAGTCTTTCGGCATATTCCTACTGGTATGAAATATAGTAATGTAGTTGATGTATGAAAATTTACGAACTACCGTACCAAAAGTCTTAATACGGTTCAGGGGCCCAATATACGATACTATTCTCATATGATATACTAATTTCAACACGTGAATTGCCTAAATGAGCTATGTTAACCGTATACATCCAATTAGCTAAAATGATAGTTTCTAGTTACGTAATCGGAACTTTCGCCTATCGTAACCTTACATTACAACTTAATTGGCGACGACCGCAATGTAACCATATCATAGGACTTATAAATCAAAAGATATGTACTACAAGTCAGCTAAAATCCTTCCTTAACAGAAGAAACATCAACCGTGTTCTCCAAATGCTCATCTAGCGAGTTCATTCTTTCTAGATAACATCTTTACCAAACGCCAGTCTGAAATCGAGTCAACTCGATGCATCGAAACTTGAAAGGACTACATATTGCTGTTTTTGAACAAATCTTAGAACCCGATCGTCAAAACAAAGTTTCACCGGGCTTCAACAAACCGCAGAGCAAAGCCAATCCACGTTTCTACATCTCTCCTCCATACCGAATTTAAACAATAGGATAGCTAAATGTAGAAGTGTTTGTATGAGAAGGATACGAAGACGCGGTACCCATGTATGGTAGGTCCCAAATGTCTAATTGTATTCTATCTAAAGAGCTAGCTATTCTACAGAAGATAGTAGAGCTTAAATAAGGGCTATTAAAAAAGCTAGTTTCTTTTGGGCTTAGTACGGTTGCCATTGAATTGAAGTCATTCACCTATATTCACACAAGAAGTGTGGAGCGTCTCATAAACAAAAGGACTCGGAAAATCCTGCTCCTGCTCCACGCCCAATATCTCCGCTGTCTGATTCCAGAATGCTCCTATAGCAGGCATCAGCTGATTACATCTGATAAGATTTATAGGGGCGATATAACTCGGCAAACTTCGAAGTCGGGATCGTCACTAGAGACATTTTTGATACTGAGAAGTGTCTTGCTAACTTTCTGAGTAAGTTGTTGGATGAGCCCCGAGCTAAATTGTAGCGGAAATGTGGAATCTCCGTTGTTTCTCGCAAGGTCGATGAAGGCTTCGCGTTGTTACACTTCTATGTTGATTCCGTTGATAAAAATGATTATTTTAATGTTGTGTGTTTGAAAAAGTCAATGAGGCTTTTGTCAGAGAGACGGAAGTCATCTGTGGTATCATCCATAAGATTTATGTTCTTATTTATACCAAATCAAATCCCCACCAGTCGGGAGAATCTTTTACAGGAATGCAAAGCTTACACTCGAAATACTGTCTAAATTATATTTTCAATGACGACAAGCCCCAAAAACTTTCAGTGATCAACGACAGTCAAACTATCTTGGGATATGCTGATATTTTCTCATCTGCTACGGTGAAAGCAAGCTGAGTTTACCGCAGTACCGCCACTCACAAAAGTCTCGGTACTCCCATGGTTCATCTCATAGAGTTCAAATGACTACCCGCTCTGAGAATAGTTCTTTCTTGTTATACCTATTCTCATGTTGTGGACACTAGTCACTTTGTATCCACCTAATTAAACACTATATGATCTCAAGACATAATGAGTAAACCAAGCAAAACGCCGTTTTAGCAAACTCAAAGTCTCCGTGCCGCACAAAGCTATTTCCTTGTTATGATACTCTCATCATCGTCATTGTACTGTTTCTCCTAGGTCAGATCCATCTGACCTTAAATAGCGCGCTTGCCTCCCGCCTCTTAGAAAATACCCCCATTTTACGATACATGATTAGGGCCAGAAAGCGAGGATATTGATAATTGTCATCACTTATTCCATTCAGAATATACAGGTAGCTACTCAATCTGGGCCCATACCCGACATTGTCAATTCATTGACTGTCAAGAGCAATTAAAGCATCGAAATCAAAATCTTAACATTCGCTACACATTCAGTGTTGCGATTGAGATACATCGCATGTTGATTTTTTTGGTGAAATTGAGGAGGAAAGGACGTTGATCTTTGATATACCAGAAAGATGATTTTGAGGAGTTGCAATGAAGAATTCTTGGAGTCAATTGTGAACGAAGTGAAGGTAAAGTAGTTCTAAATGATCACTGCTAAAGCAAGTAAAGAAGAAGTATCTGAATGAGAACAAACAATAAAGACCATGGAAACCTCCCAGGTCTTATAGCAAATCTCAAACACGCAACAACCATAGCGAGGCTCAAGATATTGGAAATAGTTCTGATTCACATCGCCGCAAAAAATCATCCATGTGCATACTATTTTGAGCCACCCATCACCAGAATCACCAACTCCCAAACACAAATAGCAAAACACAATCTATCATAGTTAAATGACTAGGGGTCCCTACGCCAAGCCACGCATATGCTATTCCCGACAAATACAAGCTTCTGTGCCGCAACAAGCCACCCGGATATTGAGGTATCGATACCATTTTTATCAATTAGATCAGAACCTAGACTTACTTTATTCAAACTTTGAGACATGATACCCAGTAAACGAAGAAACGAGGATTAGGTTTCATTGCGGCGTCATTTAGACTGAGAAGCGATAAAAGGGAGGGTGACTTATATGAGCTAAGTGTACTACCTAGGTATATGTTGTATATCGTACCGAATATTATTCGCTTCCGATATCAGCATTACATCATTAATCAAAACCAATGCCGGACAATGAGTCTCATCAAATGCGTAAATTCTACCTCCCCTTCCACCACACAAACAACCCCCAATCTAAATCCTCAAATCCCGAACCACAAAGCACAAAATACACCAAACCAGTCATCAATTCTCAACCCCCACCCCACTCCCTTTCCCCCAAAATCATCCAACCAACCTAACAACAACACCAACTCCCGAACTTCACCCTGGATCAAGACCCTAAAATCCAGATAAACAAATCCCTTTTCCAGGTACACGCAGAAGACTTCTCTCAGCCTCAATTCAAAACCCCGCGCCGCATTCTCGTGCCCTCGCCAGGAAATAAACGTGGTCTTAGAGCCAGTGCTCTGAAATCCAGGGGCGCTGAAAAAAAACCACACTGGTGAGATTTGGAATTGGCTACTGTGCCACGACTAAAAAGATCTAACTCCCTGATCAAAATGCGGGATATCTATTTCGAGACCAACTACAGTGCACAAAAATAGTGCTTACATAGTCTACACTTACCCAAACTTCAAAGACCAGCTTAGAACTTTGGAAAATCCTTTGATTGTTTGTTAGACGGGAATCTTATGATGATCGATGATGGGGAGCAAGGATAGTCATAGATTTGTTCTCTGGTTAATAGTTTATAATGACAGCGATGATATGGATTCGACATATACTAACGTGGTCGTGGATATTGAAAGTACATGTCTCAATTTATCACTGGCTCAATCTACATCAAGATGTCTCTCTACTTGATAATTTTGCTTCCTTTAGTTTTCGTTAATACTTATTAGTTTTCGAACCGTTTGATCACACTGTTGCAGCTCTCTCCAGCTAGACTATTTGGCTTCTTTGAACTAATAAGTCCAAGGCTTTCCAGAGAAAGATGAGACGCAGCAGCTCCACAATCTTCGCAGTTTCTTCCATCGGCTCTACCTTTGTAACTTCAAAGAGATGAAGTAGTACCAACTACACACTCCAAAAAATAAGGACGGCTATCCTAAATATTGAGACTGTATCTAGATTGATAGCTACATGTAGGTTAGTTCCAAGGATTCTTTCAGCATGTGGCCAACAGTGAGGATATATGTTCTAGATAGTTCAAAACTGGCTTGATTCAAATCTTGCAAATTCTAATGAGAATACCTACGATTCAGCTAAAACCCTCAAAATAAAAGTTGATAGCATAAAAGTTGATGACATACGCTATAAGCTGTAAGACTGCAAATGTAATACAAGCACGATGATAGCTTGTCAAGGGTGTATTATTCTTTTCGTGATCTATTATGCTGGTTCAGAATTGTGATGACTTGATACTGTTTGCATTCTAGTGGTCATTTGGCTGTAAAGAAAAACCTGTTCATTTCAGCTTGAGTTTCTTTTATGATTCCTCAAAATCCTTCGTTAGGAAAGTATTGGTGTTGATAGAGGACAGTACAGAGCAGCTGTGGTGCAAAAATGAGGTTCAAAATCCACCACAAGATTTTTGGATCGTTGCATTACCAAAGTCAGCTTCCCATAAAATAACAAAAAAATTAAATTTTGCTTTCAATATTATTGAAACACTTGAAATGAGACTTTATTGGACTGATAGCAGAGGAGGCGATGCGGAAAGAAAGTCTCCATTGATATTACTGGAGTGCCTCGTTTGCAATATACAATGTTAAAATTATTCTGCTTGAGCTATGGTGTTCCAGGTAGAAGATCCTCCGGCGAAGTCTAGATTTCTTTCCCAATGTCATGTTGCGAAATTCTTGCAATTCTAGCAAATGATGCTTGATTCCACTGGGAAGTCGGAAGCCCCAATATTTGCGACAAGATAAGTACAATTTTCACCATTGCTCGCTTCGTCATTTACTATGATTTGAAAAAGATCAGATATCAAGTCTTTCATGACATGTTGTGAATGAATATGGCTGGCATCAAAACTTCACCAATGAAGTGCATCGAATATCTTATCTATCATCACGCAGCCCATGCATGGAGCACGTCATGAGGGGTACATTGAAGTTTTGCCCGCAAACCAAATCGTGAAGACTACAGAAACCCTTTCGGAGAAATATTTAGCAATGTACATGGTAGAAATGCCGACCAACGTAGGGTTGTAGATACTAGGTAGTCGATGGTGTCAATGGCAAGGATCATATCGAAATATTAGCAGCCCGACCTTTCGAGGGCGTGGTTCCGCACAATTTGTATCAGATAATTTACATAAATCAACAGCCCTTCTATCATGCAGAAGGAACCTTCATCGGCACTCTGTCAATTCTTTCTATATTGAAGATGACTTCCGACAAAAATAACTTGGTTGTAAATGACCACGTGATCGACAATTCCAGTTCAGAAGAAGTGTCGAGCTCGATCATCAAGGAGGAAACGAAGAAAACGTGGACTAGTTATATATGGGATAGTTTGGATAAATCCCCTCAAGAGAGACGGTTTCTGTTCAAGCTTGATTTGGCAGTGTTGACGTTCGCTTCTCTGGGTAAGTTTTGTTGTCCATTTCCAACGCATTTGACACTCTCATAAATGAAAAGACTTCCCAATTTTGACTAACCAATAATGTAGGATATTTCATCAAGAATTTGGATCAGCAAAACATAAACAATGCATTCGTCTCGGGTATGAAAGAGGATCTAGGTTTGTATGGAAACCAACTCAATTACATGGTCGCAACATGGACTGCAGGATATGTAATCGGCGAGATTCCGAGTAACATTATACTCACTCGAGTACGCCCTTCTATATGGATTCCCACCATTGAAGTAGATACCCAATCCCTATTGATGATGGTTGAGTATGGTAGCTAACAGTCTTGCAGGTAGTCTGGACAATCTTGACGATGTGTATGTCGCGGTGTAATAACGTATCGCAAATATATGCATTACGCTTTTTGATTGGTTTGGCTGAGAGTGGTTTCTATCCGGGAATGCAGTACATCATCGGATCGTGGTACAGAAAAGACGAGTTGGCTAAAAGATCGTGCATATTCCACGCTACAGGTGCACTTGGATCAATGTTTTCCGGATATTTGATGGCTTCCGTGTACCATCTCGGTGGCCGAGGTGGTCTAAAAGGTTGGCAATGGTAAGAAAAGCGAAAGGGAGTATCGTCAGCCTGCTGTAATGGTGACTAACCGATACATAGGCTGTTTGTAATTGATGGTGTCATCTCCCTTCCCATTGCCATAGCAGGATATTTCATCCTCCCAGATGTCCCAGAAATTGCCAAGGCGTGGTACTTCTCTAAAGAGGTTTGTTATCAACGAACCTGTTGGTTCTCTTTGCTGATTCTTCAATAGGAATTGGACTATGGTAAGAAACGCATGGAATTGGAAGGTCGGGAACAAAGAAAGCCGTATACCAGAGCAAAGATAACAAAGATTTTCTCATCTTGGCATATATATGCTCTTACTCTCTTATATGTGTAAGACTCGAGTAATTCAAAGCAAAGTAGATGCAGCTGACATCCATTCAGAACTTTCAACAATGGGGCGAGCGGAGCGGCACCAGTTTTCTCCCAATTCCTCAAAAACTCGAAAAATCCTAAGTATACAGTGGGCCAAATAAACACGTACCCGACAGGTACTTCGGCAGTACAAATTGTGACCACGCTTGCGTATGCCTGGACTTCAGATACTGTCTTGAATGGAAAACGCTGGCCACCCATTGTTTTTGGCGGAGCTGTGAATATCATATGTTACGTTTCTCTCGCGATATGGGACATACCCATTGGTTGGAAATGGGCATGCTATTATCTCATGGGTTCCGGGTATGGCCTTTCTGGTCTTTGCATGGCGTAAGTTGCCACGGGCCTCATGTATATGTTAAGATACTAACAAATGACCAGATGGGCGCATGAAATCTGTAATAAGGATAATGAAGAAAGGGCAATAGTCATTGCGACTATGAATGAAATGGCTTACGTTCTTCAAGCTTGGTTGCCATTGATTGTTTGGCAACAAGTTGATGCTCCGCAGTATCGAAAGGGTTTCATCACCATTAGTGTACTTTCGTTCATTCTTATTCTGACGGCGTTTGCGATCAGAATATTGTGGAAGCGGGAGAAACTCAGGTAGGTAGCTTATGGATCAAAGTTGACCGTTTCGATGCTGATGCAGATTTAGGGAAGCCAGAGACAAAACGGCTGAGTCATTGACAAGTAATGAAAACAATGAGAGACAGTTTGAAGATGTTGGAGTGGATGTGAGCAAGGCTTTGGATATCAGTGTAGGAGAAGGAAGCGTCTCTGGTCCACATTCTAAAGACCACAGTTCTAGGATCGATGAATGAGCAACCCTGATTTGATGTTGGCTTCCCTGGAGGGGATCATAGCGCCACCTCGCCCATTATAAGAATAGGTACTCCAAACTGCCATTACCAGCAGCTGAAGTTCGGCCGCGGCATCAACTGTGCGATCGTCTGTTGAAAAGCACAACTGCCCGCCGTTGTCCTGAGACATAATCAAATCGAATGTTTGGCCCGATTGTCTGTGGACGACACATTCTTCCCATGCGGTCGATTTTCATACTATACAGATGGTTCACATGATACAGAGTTCATGACTACCCAACGTGACTATCTATGCAGTGAATGTTGAGTGATAGTTAGTCGTGATGGTATCAGATATTAGTTGCTGGGCAGTGAGGTTAACTCCCTCGTGTTCATTGACAAAATAGGCAAAATTGACAAAATGGTTGATTATCATTGTCCTATCGATAGAAGTGGGACCCTCATGAGTCGCATGTGGTGGGGTTAACGATCAACCAATGAGAAACCGGCATCTCGATGAAGCGACCAACCCATAACGGCTTAAGAGTTACAAAGCCTTTGAATGATAAATGAATGATATAAACTCATGGAAAGGAATCTGTAGAGGTAGAGAAGAAGAAAGAAGTAATAGTTACTACCAATATAATCTGATTACATCAAGAGCGCATCGAAACAGCGAGGACTGTTAATATAATTTCTCCCCCCCAGTTCCCCTCTATCCCCATTATTCGGACCACACAGGACGAGAAGAGAGAGCCTTCCGTCTGGGGTGTAACATGCCAAGAACTTCATCTCGAATTCTGCCCGTCAAGTAACCATTCACCGCCTGCTTAAACGACGTAGGATCTTCTTCGGTCCAGTCTAAATTTATTATCAAGGTGGGATGTGGGAGAAAAAAAAATCCTAAACCTTCAAAATGTCGTCAAAGTTATCTTCTGTTCGCAGATATCTGCTCAATTTTCGACCTTTCAGTCACCATCAATTCCATTTGGATTGATTGTATATCTTCCACTTGAAATTCAATTTACAACACGATTATCCTCTTTCAACTTTTCTCCAAAGAGTCATATTGGAAGAGTCCTAAGAGTAGGTTCGTTCTCCTTCTCTTGCAAGTTCGCGAATTTTTACGTCACGTACTCTTCTATGAGTTACACCACAATGAACCTCCTGAACTTTTTCCGGCGAAAAGTACAAATTGTTACACTCAAAAGCAGGATTCTGCGAATTCAGTTGTTGGAATTTAAATACCCCCCAATCTGACTTTGATTCCTTATCAGTAACGGAACTAACGGAGTCGACATAGAATCCAAATAATTACTCCATAAAACTCCTACAAAATGTGCGGAATTCTCGGTTTGATCTTGGCCGCATATGACGACCCCAATTCAACCACAGCGGCGTCGCAAATACACGAAGCTCTTTACTATTTGCAACACAGAGGACAAGATGCCTGCGGAATCGCTACATGTGCCGCTGGAGGTCGAATCTATCAATGCAAGGGTAACGGTATGGCTTCAAGAGTGTTCCAAGATGGATCTCGCATTCAGGACCTTCCTGGCTTTATGGGCATCGGTCACTTGAGATACCCCACAGCTGGAAGCAGTGCAAGTGCCGAAGCTCAACCTTTCTATGTCAACAGTCCTTATGGAATTACCTTTGCGCACAACGGAAACTTGATCAACGCTCCAGAGCTCAAGCGCTTCCTCGATTTCGAAGCTCATAGACATATCAATACCGACAGCGATAGTGAGCTAATGCTCAACATCTTTGCCAATGAGCTCAATGAGACTGGAAAGGCCCGTGTCAATGAAGAAGATATCTTCAAGAGCTTGGAAAGAATGTATGGCAGATGTGTTGGAGGCTGGGCATGCACAGCAATGTTGGCTGGGTTCGGCATCCTCGGTTTCCGCGACCCACACGGCATTCGTCCCCTCATCTTGGGTTCTCGATTGACCGAAACAGGAGCTAAGGATTATATGATGGCTTCTGAATCAGTTGCTTTAAAACAACTTGGATTCAGCGATCTCGTTGATATTCTTCCTGGACAGGCCGTCATCATCAGAAAGGGCTCAGAACCTCACTTCAGACAAATTGTTCCACAAAAGAACTATGCTCCAGATATCTTCGAGTATGTCTACTTTGCTAGACCTGATTCTATTATCGATGGAATTAGTGTTCATAGAAGTCGACAAGCTATGGGAAATAAACTCGCCGATACAATTAGCAAGGTTCTCGGCCCTGAGGCAGTCAAAGAGATCGATGTCGTTATTCCAATTCCTGAAACCTCCAATACATCAGCTCAGAGTGTTTCGAAACGTCTCAAGATACCTTACTGTGAAGGATTCATCAAGAATCGCTATGTCTTCCGCACTTTTATTATGCCCGGACAAGGTGCTCGTCAAAAGTCTGTTCGCCGCAAGCTTAGTGCAATGGAGTCTGAATTTGCGGGACGTACAGTTCTCTTAGTTGATGACAGTATCGTTCGTGGAACGACCAGTAGGGAGATTGTATTGATGGCCCGTGAGGCAGGTGCAAAGAAGGTCATATTCGCTTCCTCTGCTCCACCCATTACCCACGCTCACATTTACGGTATTGATCTTGCATCGCCTCAAGAACTTGTCGCACATAACCGTGATAGATATGCGATTGCTGAACATATCGGTGCGGACGAAGTCATCTACCAGTCATTGGAGGATTTGAAGGCAGCATGTGCAGAACTTTCTCCTCGCGATCCAAAGACACAAGAATTTGAAGTTGGTGTTTTCTGTGGTACCTATGTAACACCGGTTCAAGATGGTTATTTCGAGCACTTGGAACAAATTCGAGGTGAAACTCGTAAGATGAAGGTTCTGGAGAGCGCGAAAGAAGCTGTTATTCATGGCGTAGCAGGAGAAAAAGAATTCAATCTCATCAGCCAGGGAGCAGTAGTAGATTCAAAGGGTCAGGTAGTTCCAGATGCCAGCCAAGATCAGGTCGGTAATGGAAATGACAATGGCAATGCGAGGCCCAAACTAGAGTCTAGCGAGTCTAGCACACCTTCGGTCAGAGATCGTCAAGATATCAGGTATATTTACTCGCTATCAATACCTTACCCTGGACAACACACTGACTTTTGATAGTTTACATAACTTTGCGAGTGACTCTAACAGAGATTACAACTGAAACTTTTGAAATTTAGAAGTGAACTCAAACTTCAGCAAACTTTTAGATTAGATACAACTATGGCGCGGCTTTTTGAATTTGGCAACTTTGGCCAAATTGGCGATTCAACGAATACCAAAGAGATTTCGATGTACAATATTGGTGCTGAAATCTTATCATGAATAATCATTGTGCGACTCGTGAAGTGAAGGAAAACAGTCCGTCAAAACAACCTCAGCATGTGCTTCAGACTAAATGTTTGCATATCATGTACCTTTGTGCTACAGCCCTGCTACATAAACGCGCGTCACTCGCCAGTACTCTTCTTGCTTTCCATTCACAGTTTCCTTGTTTTGCTCTCGCATCTGAGCATTACAAATGAATAGATCATGCCATGTTTTCATCCATTCATACGATTCGCTTCGAACATGAATGATTATTATATCGTGTTCATTCTCATCACCGTATACCATTCAAACACACCGCCTTCGGTGATTCCCTGTTGCTATGTCAGAACGAGGGCCTAGATAATTGTCAGTGCTCGCTTAGGTTCTAGGCGGGTACTAGGTAGCTAGGGGTACCAACAACTTGGTTCGTAGACAAGGTTTGCGAAACCAACCGTTGCAAATATTTTGTGTCTCACATCTCGCATGTTGATTCTTGCTCCGCCCCGTTGCTTTCGGATGTATCTGGGCGGACTTTTTGATAGATTGCAAGTTGGGATTATGGTAAATGTGTGTTTGTTGGAGGCGCATGTGAGAGTTGTTTGTATGTCATTGTCGTCTTGTCTCTTAATGGTTCTCTAAGCGCACTGTTGCTGCGCAAAGTTGTGAGAATTGGGTTTCTGGGATGGGATGGGAGATTTGGGTTTGAGGCGTGGGGCTTTTGGTATCTGGGGGTGGTACGGGGTGGGGATCTATGAATAGTTTGTGAATGAGAGTTGGCTTGGTTGAAGAGCTTGTGCTCTCGATCAATGGCGCTGCGTTGAGGTAGTCTTTGGTTTTTGGCGCGTATCTGAAATGGTTGTATAGTGATGGTTTCTCTGGGTGTGATAGTCGTGAATATAAATATCTACATCTTCCCCCTCAAAATTAAGTTCTCAGTTTCAACATCACACAGTTATCTTTCTCATCAGACCAATCTTATTATCCTTTGTCTTCTTTGATCACTCAATTACATATTTGGCTTGAAAACCAGCCTTTAGCCATGCATATCACCCTATCACGTTCCCTCGCCATCTTGGGCGTATTTGCCTACTCTTCCACAGCTTTAATATTGCAACAAACACCTACCGGTCTTCAAAATGACTTGGGATATAATGTCGCAGAACGAACTATTTCTCCTACAGTAATAGATTTCAAAACTTTCTTACCAACATCTGTTTCTGTTACTCCTTCCAATAAATCATCGCCTGCAATTGCACTTGAGCAAAGCGAAAATGCCGATACGGGACCAGAAGAGAAACTTCACGCACGCAATCTGGGTCCATTGGGTCAAGAAGGATTCAACATCGCTACATACCTAAACACCAATCCCACCAACACCGAGGTTGCAGTAACTTCTCAAATCCTCGCCCCCGTGCCTTCAATTACTGCGGTAAGTAGAATTATCCAGATATTCCCATTCCGTATCAAAACATACTGATATTCATTCACCACTCCAGGATCCCAGTTGGAGTGAAGAATTCCTCACTCCCACAACTACAGTAATCGTTCCTGCTTCCACAATCTACTACACCGAAGCTACAGTTACCATCACCCAAACGACCATCACCGTCACTGCTCGGAGTGTCAATACATTGGCAACCCATCCTGCCATTCTACAGCTAAATCGAGCACCACCGCAAACATTGCAAACCATTACCAGGTCGTCTACACTCGATTCTTCGTCAAGGGAAAGAAAGGCGTAGTTTCGAGGAAGATAAAGAGGCTTGTGAAGCGCTAGTGCAGTCGGAGGTGCTTAATTGTTTAGAAACGAAGGGGTTGTTGGTGCCATTGACGACGGTTACGGAGATGGTGGGTGGCGCGACGATGGTTTTGGTCGAGGTTAGTGTGGGAGCTGGTAGGGGACGGAGGGGGGCGAGGGTTACGGGGAGGGAATGAGGTTTGGATGATGGGGTGGGTATGGAAATGGAGATGGAGATTGTGGTATTATTTTTTTGTTTGGGTGCTTTAGGGGCGTACTTGAGGAGTCGTTGTGAACAGGTTGAAGAGGTTGCGTGGTTGGTAAATGAAGGGGTGAATGAAGATTGGTAAGCGAGAATGTCAATGTCAAGTTGAAAACTGGTTCGCTTGGAAGTACACATTAGGATTATTTTCCAATTGAAAGGTAGATTATCGACCGTCCTATTCACTTCCATGAGACTATTCTTTGTGCCTCGAAATGGTTGATTTCGAATGTCAAATGCGTTTCAAGCTCTGGAAGCTAGTCTGGATTACAGGGTGGAGATATCTGCTCCTTCCTTCACGATCAAGTTCGGTGATGGTTCTTGCTTGTCATTCCTTCTTCACTTGTCTGCAAATTGGGACCATTTCTTTACTCTTTCATGCCCCTTTTCTTCATTTTTCAACCACAACAGATTCGTTATTTTTAGTCTTCATTCGCGTGTATCGCTCTATTTCACTTCTGAATCATTGGAAAATTAACTTCGGATATTCTTTTGTATATCGAAACATTCATAATCATGGCACCAACAAGTTCAGAATTTTTTAATTCGAAACTTAAAGGACCAATACTTCAAATCATAGAAGATCTAGGACCAAGCCCTCTAGGATCAAACCCTATAAGGGCAAGCTCTCTAGAATCAAACCCTGTGATATCAACTCCTCCAGTCTTGGTCCCTCCCAAAGCAGGCCCGAACTTGCTATCAAAGCCTAAACTAATTCGTGTCGCATCACAACCAATTCCCCTCAGAACTCTGATCACTCTCCTCAACTACGAACGCGTAAAATCGGATTGGCGATATGAAAATCTCAGTCTGTACCACAGCTCAGAAATGCAAAGTAGAGGAATCGAAGAGTCCGACACAGTGTATACAGAGGGAGCGCGATGTTTCTGCTACGACGACAGTCCTTACCCACCAGATCAACAAATATGGCGACAAACCACCTGCAGAGTACATCCTGAAGCACCTCCAGGAACACGACAGCTAAGTTCTGCGCAGCTTGAGCGCGCATTTTATGAGTCTCGGAGTGCAGAGTGGGGTCCTATGTGTGAGTTGATGTATCAACTTTTCTTCAAATTTTGTGGGAAAGATCAACAACTGAAAATTCAGATCAGCGATGAACAACCAGTTTTGGTGGATGCCTCTAGAATGTACGTATTGCATTTTGCTTCGATACATCCGAGACATCGGAATCTCAACGGGGAACATCAAACGCCAGACGGTGTCTTTCACACACTGATGTTAGGAAGTTGCGAAGGAAGCGTTCTGGTCTTCCCTCCACCGATAAAGAATATGGATCTATCGAGTAACGGCGAGGAAAGTCATATCGAGTTCGAAGATTGCTTTGTGGTTGATATGCTACATATGCGATATGGTAAGAAGGGATTATTTGAGGAGCCCTACTTTCTAGGCAGTGGTAGGCAGTGGGAAAGTTTTATGTTAGCCAATGTTTGTGCAAGTCTTATATATTGTGGAGTAGAGCAACCCAGTTTGACAGAGAATCGAGAAGAGTGTTCCGTGCAGATGTGGGATTGGTTTTATGAACATTCACTGAGAGCCTTTCATAGATGGATAGCGAATGACCAAAATCCGAATTTTCTATGGTGCGACTATTGTGGAATCGGAGGTGCAAGATTTGTTAGATGTTGTGGAGAGGGAGATGAAATGATCAGGTATTGTAGTGAAGAGCACAGACAGAGAGGATGGGCGTTACACCGGTTCACTTGTAAGAACAAAGCCGAGGATAAGTAGGATGTGGACTAGTGGCGAGTATTGTGGATTCGAACTCGAGAGCAAATTTGAAACTTGTAAGGAGTGTGAAAAGAGTGGGAAGACATTTAGGTATTTCAATTCAAAGCAGCGATGGAATGGGTGGCAGTTACACCATTATCGATGCGAACGCAAGAAGTATCCCGCGAGTTAGTAGAGGAAACTCAAGCGACCGGTATAAAAAAAAAAGAGAACATTAAGTCGACTGCTTCAATAGGGTAACTGCAACTCAGGCGTTTTTGTTCAGGGAGGAGAATTCTAGCCAGCGTCCAGTAGTTTTACTTGCAAATGTACTACACGTTTCAATCTTGAAGTCATTATGACATTTTGACATTTTGACATTTAGAATACTCTTCAAAAAGAAAGCGACATGAAGACACAAGCTATGTTTCTCATCTAACTCTCGTTCGCCAAACAAGATTTCAAATCCCATTGTTTGAGATACAATGAGACGACGAGTATGATCTGATGTATATTTCTAATCTCATCCTTGCCACCAAGGAATTCCTCTCGCTGTTGAAAGCTACGGTTGGCTTCCAAGTACTAATTGGAGAGGGTGTCGTTTTAACAGAATTTTTCTATCCAATCCTTCCGTATCTCATTCTTGAAGTATAGAAATGCCACTCATTGTTCATAATTTCCTAGTTGTCATGATACCAATGGGCAATGTGGTAATGTGCGTAGTTTCTCATTCGTAAGCGTAATGTCTAAACAAGATCTTCATAATTGAAAATCGATATCTCTAGTAGATATCTCAAAGCATCAGTTCATAAATACCGGTATCCATAACATCAATGAACGCTACGCGGCCTACAATACTTCGTAGGATGGATTGAACACTGCGGTATTTGGTCTACCGCCATAATTGCGATGCTTGGATGAGTAGACATTATTCGCGGCTGAAAACACAAGAGATAAACAACTTGTACTATACATCTTCCTTGTCCTTGTTCGAAACTTTGGCTTCATACAATAATTCACGTTGTGAGACCTAGCTCTTCGTGTCTTTCTCTCCGCACTACAGCACTGTGTAGGTTGGAATCCAATCCAGTCACTCTGAAATCTCAACTCAATCCCATGATCATGGAAAAGTTACGGGGAGATTGGATCAAATAACGCCTCTCATCCTTCCTAACATCTACTACGGCGTAGCACTTCAAAGGACTACCCGATTCAGTAACACGAGGCCCTTCGGTCCGTGTATTGCATATAGGCTAAATTGTTTAACGTAGTTCAACGTTGTCATCTTTCGGGGTCTTATGCGGAAAGTTCCGTGATGAACCTAGCAGGGATTAAGCTCTCCCCAGAAATTTGTTTGGGCCATCGTTACGATACTGCTTCTTCCGTTTCTCAGAAAGTTGTTGTTCTTTGAAAGCATGATTTAAAAGCGTTCATTGATAATCGGGTTGTATGAACTGATCTGCTGCGTTTCTTCTGGTCAATGGGCTTAGTGCTGGATATCCTTCTTTGAAAATAGGCCCCGCAATCGGCCAGCATATACCAATATCTACCAGTATTGCTTAAGTGCAGTCGACCAAATGGAAAGAGACCACCCCCTTCCCGATGGACCTTTTGCAGGCTGGAAGCATGGAGATGTGTAAGTTGAGCTGTCGCAGAAAATTTGGAAACCATTGCTAATCTCAATGTGTCTATAGTGAGAAGCTCATGTTCACGTTAGCCGCTGGAGCTACAGCAGTTGTTGGATGTTTTCTCTACGGAACAATTCGCTTTATTGAATGGTATAATGCGGAGCCAATTCTACGCTATTCTATTGCTGAACTCAAGGCACCAGAGGAAAAGAAGATTTTGGAAAATCCGAGCATCAAGGTTGGTGGAAACAAAATAGACACAGGGGCAACGACGCTGATGATATATAGGCCGCCGAATCCTCAAATATTCAATGTTATGCTCCAGCGACTGGTCAATTCCTAGGATATGTCACCCCTTCAACGCCCGAAGATATTGATAAAGCAATTGAGAAGGCACATGTCGCACAGAAGAAATGGGCGCGAACTACATTTACACAAAGGCGACAGGTACTACGCTCTATGATGGCATACATATTGGATCACCAGGATGAGCTTTGCAAGGTCGCATGTTTGGATTCAGGCAAAACCATGATTGATGCCGCATTAGGAGAAATCTTAGTGACTGTCGAGAAGCTTAGCTGGACTCTGAAACATGGTGAAAAGGCATTGAGTCCTTCTCGAAGACCTACGAACTTGCTCATGATGTATAAGAAGAATACGGTCCAATACGAACCCTTGGGAGTTGTCGCTGCTCTAGTCTCTTGGAACTATCCTCTTCACAATTTGCTTGGCCCAATAATCTCCGCGATTTTTTCTGGAAATGGAATTGTGGTGAAAGCATCCGAAAATACAGCTTGGAGTGCACAGCATTTTTCTCTTGTTGCAAGAGGAGCATTATATGCATGTGGTCATGATTCCAATCTGATTCAAGTTGTTACATGTTGGCCAGATACCGCAAATCATCTTTCGTCTCATCCTAGGATCTCTCATATAACTTTCATCGGTAGTCGGCCAGTCGCCAAATTGGTAGCCGCGGCCGCATCTAAGCCTTTAATTCCAGTCGTCGCCGAGCTTGGGGGGAAGGATGCAGTGGTTGTCATGAATTCCGCGGTCAAAGACCTTCCACGTATCACCGAAATCCTCCTTCGTGGTACATTTCAAGCCGCTGGACAAAATTGTATTGGTATCGAACGAATTATTGGTCTTCCTGACGTTTACGACAAAATTGTCGCAATACTCGAGCCACGGATTCGAGCTCTTCGTGTCGGTTCTGCTCTTGACTCTACAGCAGAATCGCCAGTTGATGTCGGAGCAGTCATTTCTGATGCTTCATTTGACCGACTTGAGAAATTGATCGCAGGAGCTGTCTCGGATGGAGCTCGTCTATTGGTTGGCGGTAAACGTTTCAACCATCCAGTCCATCGCTCCGGTCATTACTTTAGTCCTACTCTAATCGTTGATGTCACCCCTGATATGGCCATTGCCAACGAAGAGTGTTTCGGACCTATTTGCGTCGTTATGAGAGCCAAAAACCCTGAGGATGCCTGTAACATCGCAAACCAACCCGATTTCGGGCTCGGTGCATCAGTTTTTGGATCCAAAGATTGGGAGCTCAACGCCATAGTCAAGAACATTAAGGCCGGTATGGTGGCTATAAATGATTTTGCTGCATACTATGCAGTTCAATTACCATTTGGTGGCGTGGCCGGCAGTGGATATGGAAGGTTCGCTGGCGAGGAAGGCTTAAGAGGACTTTGTAATATCAAAGCTGTCTGTGAGGATCGTTGGCCATGGTCTCCTGCTTGTACTGCTATTCCTCCCCCACTTCAATACCCGATTCCGGACACTACAAAAGGTTTCGCATTTACGAAGGCGGTGGTGGATATTGGTTATGGAGCTGGGGTCAAAGGTAAATGGAGAGGAATTAAAGTCATGTTGGGGATGAATTAATTTGGGATAAAGTAGTAATAGATGGAATAGCGGGCTGGCTATCGGTATAGGCGGAAGTCTTTATCTAGTGTGGCAAGTTTTTGAGATAATATCATATGCGAGATACCTTTATGCGAATACTTATCATGTACATTTGAGATGACGAATTCCGCAAAGACCTTTCCTTAAGAGTCACAGGAGAAAGAGGCAAAAGAAGAACTCGAACAAATCAAGTAACAAGACAAATGTAAATTGTTTCCGAAATGATTTTTCAGAACTGGGAATTTAACAATTGAATACGCTTCACTCTATGCAAAGATTCCCTTGTTGCCTAGTGGTGACTACCAGTGCATGGCCGACTCATGTAGTAAACTGTAACCCAAGTCTGATAGAGCAATGAATGAGACTTTGCACGCAAATTTCGCGCAAACCAAACATCCAATTACAAATTCGCTCGAAGCCCCGCATGCCTCATAGCATCAAACTTCAACCCGTGAATTTTTGACCAGATCTATCTATTATACGATGTTTTCGGTCCCTATTCATTCACGTTCATTCCATTCTCCTTCCTGACTTTTGAGCTGTAGAATGTGTCAAATTCTAGGCAGACCAAACCCCATTACTTTTGAAATGTTACAAATGCACCTCGACAACGGGTCCATTCCACTCATGTCTCCCCAATATAATATAGTATATTATACTGAATATCATTACAGCACCAGTAACCAAAGAGCTATAGTTCATGTTCGCTGCAGTAACCGGTAATGCAGAGGGCCAAAAGCTGAAGAACAGAACAATAGTCAGGTAAAGAATAGCAAAAGTGTTGTTGATAGTACCGAATACTCCGGGAACATGCCATGGTCCTATTGATTTGCTTCGAGTTAGATTTTTGACACTAGAATTGGGGAGAAGATGTGTCTTACCCCAAACCAGTTGAGCACCTGTAGTGTTTACCAAAGCTGGTCCATCAGAGATATCTGTGAGTTTTTGAAACCCTCCAGTGAGACGACGATATAGTAAGAGAACCGCGCAGATCAAGTAGGAGCTATAGAGACCAGCTACAGATAGAGATACAACATCATTGAAGACGGTCGCGGATCCGATATTGATCAATGCAAGTAAGCATGAGACAACGCATGTGATAGCAATAGACCATAGCGGAATCGTAGTGCGACTATCAACCTAGATTAAGATACACAATTGTGTTAGTGTCGAATTGGATATAGGCCAAGTGCATATTCGTGGGATCAAGATTATTATTGCACCCACCTTTGAAATGGTTCTCCAACCAGGCACACCATGATCTCTAGCGAACGACCAAAGCATACGAGATGTCGAAGCGAGACTGCCAACAGTAGCGCATAGACCTAATATAGCCACTAGCGACGCCATAGTTGCTGACCCACTTACAGATCTAGTCGCTTGGAAGAAAATCTCGATAAATGGGTATCCAGTATCTGTCAATAAAGCAGCATCAATATCTCCAAGACAAAACAAAATTGCTATTATCATTGCAAAACCCATGCTTCCGTTCAGTATTACGCTCAGGATGATGGATCTGGGTACTACTAGAGATGGATTGCGAATTTCTTCTGACATCTGTATAGCTTGTTAGTCTTTCGTTGAAAATCTCGCTAGGCATCATTTAATTCCTCATCTGGTAGAAGACTTACGTGGAATGCGCCATCCGCACCTAAGACAGTGTTAGCAAATTATACAACTACCCTCCAAAGATGTCAAAAGCTCACCAAGAAACGCGAAAACATTTCCAATTAGCCCGACAAAAAACGAAAGTCCTTGACTCGACCAATTTCCTTCATTCAGCCACCCAGTAAACACATCCTTTGCCGAATCATGCGGTGCCAGTACAACCAAAGGAATCAAGGTACTAAAAAAGCCTAAAATATGCAGGACCAAGATCAAACCTTCAAACTTCGGTAACAAACTACTCCCTACCGTATTGATAAAGACCGCAAAAAATATCGCCGCCCAATATAGCAACGTGCCTTGCCATGAAGTTTCAGACGCAGCATACGAAGGTACAGTCAACACAATCAACCCCTGAATAATCGTCCCGGTGAGATAGCCACCCGAAGCAACAAGACCTTGCCAGCCAGTAACGGTCAACCAGCCTGTTATGTAGCTCAGAAATTTAGAGCAACGGCGAGGCGCAAGCATAGAAACCCAGTGGTATTGGCCACCTGAAGTTGGAGCCATAGAAACTAGTTCTGAGAGCGTGGAAAAAACAGAAAGATTACCAATCCAGACGAAGATAAACCCGTAGATGATTCCGGCTGGTCCACCGTTTTGAAGTCCGCTGATGAATACGGTTAAGCTTCCTTCCCAGGTAATTAGAATAGTGCAGCTGAAACCGAGGATGGACATGAATGCAAAGTTTCTCTATGGGAATTTAGTAAATGATGAATCATCTTGTGGGAAATTGAGTGATGAGCGATTTTGATGAAATGACAAAGTTGACAAACCTTCAAAACTGGCTTTTTTCCCAATCGTATCAGTTCATCTCGATCTCTACTTTCGGCACTATCATGGCGTGCTAGAGTTTTGTTGTGAACGGCACCGAGCTCCACAGCTTCGACTTCATCGTCGCGTTTGTGCGTGGTCATTTTGGTGATAGGAATGTTTATTTGTTGACTCTTGAATCCTGGGATTGAAGATATCTTAAGAGAGATTCTCATTTCTTTTCCTCGAAAAACGACGAAAAATGAGGTGATTTATCCAAACGATGTGGTTGCAGAAATTAGATGGTTGCTGGTTATCACAGGGGTCTAATGAAAATGCTACATGTGTTTTTATCCATGGAGTTGCACATGCACATGGGCCGATTTGTTGTTCTAGACTGGGATTCAGACCCCTGATACATATCAAAAATACAAATCTTTCCTGGGGCATTAGTCCGGGATTTGTTTTGTGTTATGCGGTAGTTGAATGCTCTTTGGAATGATTTCAAATGTGGTGGTATTGGTACTGATACTGATGTCGTGAGACTTCTTTCTATCCAACTAATTTACATTTAATTTCCAGGTACGAGGTTCGGATATGATTCTGGATTGACTAGATTCGCTCTGTCCATCCCATAAATTTCCTTCATCAACTACTATAACAGTACTTGATTGAGTAGCTGAACGGGCCGGCGCGAGTTCTGACAATTTCTGGCTCTCTAAATTGCCTCGACTCGTAAAGCCCAATCTCTGGCTAATCATCTTTCCTATCTTTGATTTTTTGATTCCTCGGGGATCAGACGTGTTGCGATTAAAATCGCCATCATCTTCTACCGCCCTGCCACCTCGTCGACGCAAGTCATCCAACCGTAATAATCCCGACTCTAAACTATCGAGAAACATCTTCAAGTATGGAACACACGCTGTGATAATGCTAAGGCACACCACGATCTGGTTGCAAATTGCTGTTCGCCACGGATCAAAAGTTGGATCCTGTACCCTTTTGTTCAGGTAAAATAGCTGACAGGATACAGCAGCAATGACACTAATGTAGTTTAGTTGATTGAATCTCAAATTCTTCTTGTACTTATACTGACCAGATACGAGTACCAAAGATACATATCAATGTGAGTTTCCTACTCCAGGTAGTCTGTATGTGTAATGCTATGAATGTTATAAGCAATATTAGACTGGTATCGGTCACAACTATCGCGCTATAATTCCAGAAAGCTATCTTGGTCAAAGAATGTCAGTAAGAGTTTGAATGCAAAAGTAGAGCGTAGAAAATACCGACTTGGTTGAAACATTCGCCGGCTATGCTATCCCATCCTTTCGAAGACCGACACTGGAAGGCAACGGCCAAGATAGAAGTAATAGCCCATAATGATATCACAAGCCCAAGGACTTTTGTCGCTATTCTTTCAGCTGCAATAGGTGTGAAGTCATAAATGAGCATTACTATAGACATTTTTGCAAAGAACAAGCTCGCGATATAAAGTATACTTGCTGCGTATTCTGCCTAAAGTGCTGTCGGTTAGTTTGGTGTATTCATCTTGAATCATGGTCAACTACTTTCAAAATTGTTTCTACTTGCCCATCTGTCAGTGTGTCGAAAAATTTACCAAACCCATTTGCACATTCAATTGCAACTGCAATTGTCTGGCCGATGGAAAAAGTCAAAAGTCAAAAGTCAGAACACTTCCAAATTTTATCAGAACTTGCTTCGCTCGCCATTGATATCATTACGAAATGATCTTGCCATTCAAACTTCTCCGAGATAGCCAGCTTTGTACCTAGATGCGCACATACTCCTAGAGCTGAGGCAGTAATTGGAATCCACACAAATATCTGCACCAAAGGGGTCTTGTTGGAACTCGTTATGAGCGCCTGCGTTTGATTCATGCTGGAGGCTAAAAGGGTGAAGTGGAGAAGAGAATAAAACGGACTGCACAAGATTGTTTGACATGAATATTCTTTTTGCAAGGCGAACAAAGGAACAGTATACAATATACTCTGGTTATGCCTGTAGGCTATGATTTTTAACAGTCATTTTGAGATGAGTATGTAAACGGAAGACCGGGAATCATAACAACACTTGTTCCATGAGCGATGGCATCCGAGTTTCAACATTACGAATTTTAAAGGGAGGCTATAGTGACGCTCCTAACGGTTGGAAAAAGTCGGTCTCATCTCCATGGAACATGGCTGATTTGTGCGACTGGTAAATGCAAATCTTGATTGACACTCATTGCAATATGCTCAAGCTCCTATAAGATTGCTACCAACAGATTGAGTCAATATAGAAGACTAATGTTACTTCTGAATTCCATGATTTTGTGTTGAAACTTGATAGCACATGCCTTTTCATCCAAAGCATTCTCCAAAATGAGAAGATTGATCTTAGAAAATATGACGTCTGAATGCTCGGCGCTATTGTGAGGTGTAGTTTGTGATCTTCCAGCTTTTGCTTGGAAGCGAGAACCATTTTAAGCTGTGATTAGAATCTAGAATCGAATGCTTGCCACACGATCCTGGTGCCGTTTCCCTATGTGGCAGCTCGAAGAAGATTACGGAGCAGAGGAACCTTTCTCGAACCATGAATTTATTTCGGCAAAAGAAGATTACGGCTTCTCTACTTGATAAGAATTATCCTTTTCATACCAGTTACATATGTTAATGTAACGTTGACAAAACCTAAGCCCCGCACTAAACTTGGCTCAGAGTCTTATTACCGTTTGATTTCAAATGGCTGCGTCTATGCCTAAGCCCCATCAGGGCATCTCTAGTCTAGACGAATCGTTGGTACGGAATCACTACCGGTAGTCTGGAACGCCCTGGTTTAGTGCTTACTGGCCCACTCTAATTTATCCGGGCCTTGCTCCGGACCCTAGTTCCCGTATCTTCTTAGGCTTAACGAGATATAACTCCAGTGAAACGCGACTTCGTAACGGTACTTTAAACAATGCCTAACCAATCTTATTCTAGGAATAATCGGGATATGGAAATTAGTTATCGCCTAGTTCCTCACCTGTCCAGAACGCTCGAAACAATCTCAGTTCTGTCCATCTCAACGATATGACTACATGTCAGAACTTGAATTCTCAAATGACTCTCCAGCTTCAACCCATTGATTCCAAGGTTGATTTTCCTACGCTTACACGGTGCCTGTTTGAGTCCTATGAAAGCCCTTGGCAAAAATTCTTTCATCTTTGGTTCCCCATCCAAGAAACAAGTGACAATGCCCGCGAAGATGCAATCAATGAAGCAGCAAGTCGGCTGAAGCTATGGCATACACACGATCCATCGAGTTACTGGCAAAAGGTCGTCGATACCTAGAATGGTAGAATTGCAGGTGGGGCTCTATGGAGAATTTATAATAAAAATCCATTTGAAACCCCACCCCCTTCTACTGTGATTTGGTTCCCGGACGATAGCTCCCGCAGGTATGCCGAGCAGGCACTGCAAACACATTCTAGACCTCGATATAAAGTGGCACAGAAACCACACATCTGTGAGTAAAACAGTCAAATATACTGCTTGGAACTGACCAAAGTATAAGATCTTCATATCGTTTTTACCCATCCAGACCACCGACGCCAAGGGGTTGGTCAACAATTTATGAATTGGGGCATGAAAAAAGCGGATGAGTTAGGGTATGAATTTCTTCTAGATGCAACACCGTACGGACGACCTCTATATGATGTGAACGGTTTTGTCTATGTCGAAGAGAACATAAATCATCCAAAGACCGATACACCGGATGAAAAATGGAAGGAGATCGACGAAAAAGTAGGCTCTTTTACTTTCTGGCTCATGAGGAGGCTTCCTGACGATAGAAACGAGGTAGAAGTATAAATCATGTAGTGGAAAGATAATTGAAAAACAATCGTTTACCAGTAGCTGACGTTCGAAACACACTTGACTATTCTCCTTAAATTTGCATCGAATACGGAGCAAAACCTTCCCTCCACATATCTCGAGCATCACTTTCTGAAGCATTGCATTCGCAGTTAAGGCTTCTAGGTGTTAAGATAGGTAAGTGAGCGGCCTTCGATAATAATGATTAGAAGCCCGTACCACTCTGAGGTGAAGGGGAGAGAGCCGTATAGGTGTCGCTATTATCAAGCGGAAACATTTACTCTGCGGAATCCCATGGATTGGCTGCAACAGTGAGCTTGCAATCAAATACCCAGTGTATATCATGTCTCTTCCAACCCAATCGTTCCACATCAGACTTGGGCACCAGGTAGAGTATGTGATCTTTCAAGCTCCATCATCCTCCAACATTTATATGTCTGATGTCAATCTCTAGATGTTTGACACTTATCTGATCATGAATGATTCCAGAGAGTGTTTTCAATCTTCTAGAACTGGGCATCGGGAATTGACATCTGGTTAATCAATCGACTACATAGATAAAGACAAGTGAGTGCTCAGTAAGTATCAGTAAGGTAACTAATCATTTTCACAGCTTCCTCTCCTTATTTTTAAATGGTAAACAATCCCCAACGTTCTTAGCAGTTCGTTTTTGTCCATTCATTAGCTGTATTCCAACAAGATGATGTATCAATGTGAATGACAGGACTGACCAGGAATTAAACCATTTCCATCCCTCTTTCAAGAGAAAAAGAGTGAATAAACTTTTATAGCTCCATTTCATCTAAAATGTTTGGTAATGAGAATGTCATTTGAAGTGAATTCAAGATTTCTCCTTTTTCTTTTGAGGTTTGAATTTTTCTTAATAGTTTTTCAAAGTTACTTCTTAACTATCTTTCTTCTGGTATATTTTCAAAGTTATCCCGAAGTTTCTCCAAGTGGGAGAACACTAGAAAGATACCTGGTGTGTCTAACGCTCGAGCCTCTCTACAGTCAAAGTCCATAAAACAACTGCTCATTTTGTATTAGTGAAAGTATCAGTGGCGTCGATATTGTCATCATAGAGAATATAGCTTCATTGTCAAAGGTATAACTTATTGACATCTCATCTTTGATTTTTCTACTCACACTTTACATCTTGTTTTCTTCCACCTCACAACCACAATTCACCTCCATCCTTTCTTGAACTCGGTCTATCATCTCTGCCTTGAATCTCCTTATCTCTATCATTCAGTCTCTTCCTTGAGCTGCTTTTAATTAACCTATCCTCCAAATTAATATTCAATTCAGTCAAGGTCAGATTTCAAGATTTGCAATTCCATCATGCCCACTCGAGCCGCCACTAAGGCTGCAGAAGCTGCTGCAGCTCTAAGTTCTGCAGCAGCAACTCTTTCATCTCCACCAACTACACCCGCCGACAGTAAACAAATCCTCAAAAATGTCGCCACCGGTTCGTCAACTAAGTCTCGAAAGCGTGCTCCACCAAAGAAGAAGGCAAAGTCAGCGGCGGAGCCAATGACAGGTGGCTGGGATGTTCTTCCTCATGGGATGGGACAAAAGGGTGATCTTCTTGATGACAATTTCGGCAATGCCGGCACGAAAGTGACTCCCACCACTCCTAAGAAAACCACCCGAGCCAGAGTTACCAAGACTGCCGTTAAAACTTCTATCAAAGATGAAGATGAAGAGAAGCCACTTAATCTTGGCAATTCAGTTATTCCTGATCTTCTTGAAGATATCAAGGAAGAAGAGCCCAAAAAAAAGAGATCGCCACGCAAGAAGAAGGTTGTCGATGTATCCACGGAGGTTGATGGTTCCCCAGCTAAGCCTGTCAAGGAAAAGAAGAAGAGCTATGGTATTGTCTTTGGTGAAACACCTTTCCCCGATCACGTCTCGCCCACTGCCCAAGAAGCCGAGACAGTCAACAGCTTGTTGACTGCTCTGCATGGTGAAGTCAAGCCACCAGATACAGTTCCAGCTCCCTCCGAGACTGTCACTGGATGTGGAGAGGTTCCGGATGTTCTCGACGCGACTATGAGAACCCTTCTCAGCGCTGCAACCACCGCTGGCAACGCCAACAAATCAATGGCAGGTCTGAAGGCGGAGTATGGATTGAGAACTTCTGGCAAGGGCGCAGGCAGCGTTTCATGGGAGGCCGTACATGCTTCATCAAGGGAAGATGTTGAGGAGGCTATCAGATCAGGCGGGCTTGCTAAGGTCAAGGCAGGCTATATCAAGGCAATTCTACAAGTGGTTTTCGATAAAAACAGCGTACTTCTAGAGACTCTACTGAAGGAGGCTGATACTGATGTTCCAGTTCCATTCGTCGGAAAGGTTCTGGAGACTAAGGAGCAAAAGGAAGCCGAAATCAAGAGCTTGCGAGAGAACATGCTCTCACTTGATTATGTTCACTCATTGGATAAGCCAGCTGCCATGCGGGTATTGATGGATTTGCCAGGTATTGGGGTCAAAACTGCAGCATGTGTTGCTTTGTTCTGCTTGGGACGACCCAGCTTTGCTGTCGACACACATGTCTGGCGTCATTGTGTTTGGCTTGGTTGGGTTCCAGAGAAAGCAAGCCGCGATCAGACCTTTAGCCACTGCGAAGTTCGAATTCCCGATCACTTGAAATATTCCCTCCATCAACTGTTCCTCCGACATGGAAAGACATGTGGTCGCTGTAGAGCTGCAACAACCGAGGGTTCTGTGGATTGGGAAAGCACTGTCTGTCCAATTGAGCACTTGGTCAATAGAACTGGAGACAAGAAGCAACCAGGCTTCAGAGCTGGCAAGAAGGCGGTTGTCAAGAAAGTTGTAAAGAAGGTTGGCAAGGGTTCTAAAAAGAGAAAGAGAAACTCCGAAGACAGTGACGAGGAATCAGAGGCCGAAGTAGATACGGAGAATGACATGGAGTTTAAGGAAGACAAGGTAGAAGACGAGTCTGATATTGAAATCGAAGCGGACACTGAATCCCGCGTCAGCGTCCAAACAGACTGAATAATTCTTATCACTGAAGTAACGAAAGGGGCATCTTTTCACGGCACATACATAGGAGGAAGCGTTTGCATACTTGAGGTTATTTTCTAGCTATTTGCTATCAATTTGGAGCTGGCATGAGGGTGGCATATTTGGCGTTTTTACTTAGATACCCATTTCCTTTCACTGATTACGGATCATTTCATGGAGATCATGTACTGGGAAATATGGGAGCATTGAGGTACATGAGAGGAACGAGATACACGGGGACGTACACTGTAATTAGGTGCACTGATTGCATTCACATGGGATAAATGGGGATACATTGTAAATAGAGCTTGCATTCATTGCATTGCAACAATAAGTACTGACATAACTATTTGGCACTTGTGGACTACACGTGATGATGTTTTGTTACTTTAATGCATTGGATCAAGGCTCTTCATCTAATGTGTATGTCATTCCACTTATTTTCACACTCTCCAGATCCAAATTCCTAACCTAGCAGCAGTCCACGGACCTCCATGCAAAAAAGAAAATTCACAATGGCTTCCTTCCTTTCTTATATCTGATCGTTAGGTCGAATTGTCTAACTTAATGTCAATACAGTGAGACCTAGTTGAGCTAGATAATTTTCTAACACTGAGCTTTAAGAACAACTTGGATTCATCAAAATATTGAAAGTGTCCGCGAGTCGATTTATATTGAAATTCTCAATAGCTCTTTGCTCGATCGGTTCCACTTCACTGCGGTTCACCATCCTTATCAAAACACTGCCTAGCATTTCGAAAGTGCAGACTTTCAGAAAGAAAGGTTACTACATAGACTTTTATATTAAATACACCACCTAGGTATCCCACAAGTAAGAAAAACTCTTTCTCTCTCTTAAGTCAACTTATCATGACCTCTCAATCCTCCCGACATCATCTCCCTCACTGTCTGTTCCATCTCCTTAGGCTTCACACCCACACTCGCCAACAGCTCATCCGACTTTCCATCCTTGATCTCACACTCTCCCTCACTCAGCGCCGTATAACTACTAACCCACCACTCCAACATCGCTCTTGGAAACCCCTTCTCCGCGTAATGATCGATATATTCCTGATCGGACACAATCTTCAATTTAATTTCCTTCCCCTTAATCTGCGATACCATTTTCAGCACCTCAGTCATAGACACCGTTTTCCTCGGACTCAAGTAAAAAAACTGTCCTTCATACTTCCCCGATGCATCAGCCAACACCAACGCATTCGCAATCCCCAAATCCTCCAAACTAATCATACTCAATCCCCCATCCCCCGCAACCACCAATTCCTCGCGGGGATCCGCAACCGTGTCGTAGAAACCCGCATATAAGGGCCACGATTCCTGGTAAAGTCCCTCTCGCACAATCGTCCACTTGATATCGGTTAATGTCTTCAGATACGCTTCAGTTCTCAAATGCGCACGCATCACCCCCGTCTTACTCTCTAATCCGAATGCTAATGATGCGTACACGATATGTTTCACGCCAGCTTCTCGCGCCGCATCTATAGCTGCAAAATGGTGTTTCTCGCGACCTTGGCCGTGAGGCGCATTGTTGAAATCGAGATCATTTTGAGGAGTGGATATTAAGAGGAGTTTGTCGGCACCGGCGAAGGCGCTTTTCATGGTTGATGGATCATTGTAGTCTGATTTTCGTACTTGGATACCTTGGGATTTGAGGGTGTCGAATTTGGCGTCGGAGGGGTCTGAGGAAGTGCAGATGATGAGTTCGGAGGGGGGGAAGAGGGAGCGAGAGAGGATGGCGTTGAGGACTGCTTTGCCTATTTTGCCGGTGGTTCCTGTGAGGGCGAGCATGTTGATGGTGTGTTTATTGAAAGTGTTTGCAATTGTTGGATATGTTTTTATGATGAGGGAGTTTGAATTGATCAATAAAATAGCTACTTATCACAGTCCTCCTCAGGTATTTATATCTCATGTGAAGTCAATGATCATTAATAATTTCAAGCACAATGAGACTCTCCTGTGGGGTCTTATGGGGCGCATTGAATTCGGTGATAGGCAATAGATGATAAATCATCCAAGTTGTACAAGAATACGTATAAATAGAGAGACCAGGCAAATATATTTGCCTGATAGGAAGATCTTCTTTGAGATTCACATTCGCTCGAACCATCACAAGCACGCTTTTCTTGGGAATTTAGGTATTTTGAGAAGGCCGTTGGACAGAAACATATCGAAAATAACTCCAAAATTAATAATTGGTTACGAGATGAAGCTGGGGAAGATTTCAGGTTTTCCTTTGGAAGTGAAAGGAGGGGTTGCACACTTTAGATCACGTGGGCTTCGGTCCCGAGATGGATAGTCTTTGACTAAAAAATCTGCATGAAACTTTAAGATCCAGTCTTGGTAGTTGGTGCTTAACAAGACTGAGATTATGCTTCGAAATCTTCATCGGAGATATCGTATATCTCCTAGCCATCAATCGAGGAGTGTGGTCTTGTTTGGTACCAAAAATATACAGCGTTCTCGTTTGCTGTATAACAGACTACATTCCATATCTGTTGTCTTCGTCATTCGACACCATAGAAAACGAGCTCGAAAGAATCTAGTATTTCCTCGATTGCTTTATTAGTTCTAGAGGTGGTATTGTTGTCTGTGTTACGAAGAATCTTCGGTTCATCTTCTAGATCATTCGATTTGACCCTCGTTCCACACATCCACTGGCCAATACCAACTACGAGATCAGAATTCGAAGCTTCGACATAGTCTCCTGGATAGATCGTGGGAAGCAAAGTCATGGATTCATTGCTCATAATCCATGAGCTAGTGGCAGAGTTCGGAGGAGGGGAACAAAAGTCCCCGTGATACAAGCTCATTTCAGAACTTCTTGGTGTATCAAATGTATCGAAGCTCTTGCAACTCTGTTCATCATCAAGGTGAAGCTTCGAGCTGTTACTTGATGTAGATGGATCGAGCCAGATGTCATGAAGCTCCTCGCATTGCTCCCATTGGGAATCAAAAAGCTCGAAGTCCACGAAGTTGAGTCCATCATCGAGATTGGTCGGCACGTCGATTAATCCTAGAAAAGATCTCGGCGATGATTCTTGGAGTTGTTCAATTTCATGATCATCTATTGATGCATAGGAATCAGCATATTTTCAGTAAACCAATATGAGGCATGGCATCGCACTGTAGTCACTCGTTTCGGTATTAGAACTTCTAATCCTGCAACAATGGTTCGTAGAGCAGCCCACAATATCAATGGATGGGACTAGCTCATCATCAGAATGAAATTCGTATTCGTGAGTGGTTGTCGGAAAGATAAATTGTGATATTGGCTCTTCTTTATTGGTGTCTTCTTGTCGATCTTGAGGATATGTAGGGTTTAGAGACGCTTGGTCGAGCCGCGGTAAGTTTTGATTATATTTGCAATAATGGTAAGGAAATCTATTAGATTGTGTCATCTCCATTGTTACGCAGGTTATTCGAGAGTAATTCGTGTGAAATTTGCAAAGCATAAGTACAAGTAGGAAGATAGTATGCACAATGGGCTGCTTTTGTAGCCATCTTACCTCTCATATAATATGGCTAGTGACCTGTAGACTGGAGGCGGTCTTCTGGTTAGAGGGTAGATATTTGCAAGCGGTCTCATCATCGACTTTGGACATCTTACATCTTACATCTTACATCTGCATAATGTGGTGGCTGACCCCGAACGCGGGATGGCCCGAAGGTGATTTCGTTTCTTTCTGTAGGGCTGGATTAAAAAAAGGCGGTCTTTGTGGAGTTCTCTTTAAAAACACCCCTACCTACTTACTAAAACCGCACTGCTTGTTCATTTAGTATAGCTGCAGGTGGTGTGTTTCTATTACTTTATATCGCAAACCTATTACTCACATCCGAAGCTATGCGATGTCCAATTATATTTCAGGGTGGTATATATATTTCTAGGACCGCCTTCTCTTTCTCGCCTTGGGTTGACATCTGCATCCCTACCTAAAAACCCACGGAATAGAAAATTTCTTTATCAAAACAATTTAATCAGTCTGCAATAACAAATTCTCACATACACTCACTGTCAAATCTATCATCCATATTGAATATCTTGTTTCTTGTTGTTTATTAGTTGGATCTTTAACAAGGCGCTCCTCAGGAAGATCAAACAACCGAAGGAGAGCAAGCACCGTAGCCTTCTTATGTCATACGCTTCAAGACTCGGATAGAACCACCCTTGCCGATTCCATGTCAGTGATCAATTCTATCAACAGTCAATTTGTCATTTATGTTATTGACTTAGCATACCTCAATAGAAAGAACGCTCACTCTTCTCTTGAGGAGCTTTTGTACTCACGTGACCGAGATTGATGAGAAACGAGCTGCCTCTCTCGATCATTCGTCCTCATCATGGATGACTTCTTAGATACGACAGGAATTGGTAAATCTACTAGAGTGACCAATCATATATGCTGATTCTTATAGACTTGAATAACAAATCAAATCTTTCCATTTATATACAATTGATTACCTTCAGAATAGGCTCGGCGGATGAAATAGTCATTGATGTACGAGAAGATTGTCAAGTCGAGACTGCTCGATGTCTGTCCAAACGGTTGGATTTTCGGTTTCGCTATACATATGATACTCGCAGGGTCACTATCACTCGGAACTCATCTCTCCATACTTTGGAGCTACCCGACTTGCACAATTATCAGACTGATTTGCAAGGATCATTTTATCATGACTTGATCATTGATACTGGAGATTCAAACATGGATATGGATATCTCTGCATACCAAGATTTCTTAGCACCACTACCTGAATTCTCTGGTGATTTTGATGCATTTGCGCAAGATATGGGACTTTCAGATGAGCGGTCTACTAACATGCTATTGAATGATTTGGACCTGGACGACAACAACACCTTTGGTACATCTACAAACTTTCAGATCGAGCATGATGGCGACGAGAGCCTGCCAGACTGGTTTGATCTGGTAAATATTGTGGACCAAGATCACTTTGACCCGGACACCAACATGCTGAATAATACTCGATTCGACAATAGTACTTTGGATATTCCACATGAATCATGCGAAAGTCTTCAATTGGTAATAGATAATCCATTTACTAGCGGATTTCAGAACTCTATAACCGATATACCAGCATGGAGAGGCACACCTCCAGCTCCTGTGGCGGTGCTAGATGTACCAACACCTCGACCTCTTAGTCCTGTAGAGCCAGTCCACAGTGTGCCATCAAAGAATTCACAGTCACAAGGGATCGACATTGTTGTCAAACCTATTCTGAATCGAAGCGATTCTAGCCTCGACAATACAGCATCAAGCTATCAAGAAGGGGTTTTTAGTTCGACGCCCGGTCATTCGAGTATGCCAACTGCTTATGGATCTTCGCCTCATCGTATGGGCCCTTTAGACTCGGCCACACGTGCCAAAGCAAATGCTGTAAAAGCTATAGGGGCTTGTTGGCGCTGTAAGTTTTTACGAAAGCCGGTAAGTCCACCGATCTAACTTCCCTTCACTTCAGAGAAGAATTTTCAGTGGTACGATTTTGTATTGTTTTTCTTCATATTCATCAGGGTTGCTTGGTGAATCTTCGTAGCGACTATTCCCAGGAACGATAACTCGGTTAGTGTTACCTTGAGATATGTGTCGCGACACCAGAAAAATGTGAAGATCGTTATTCTTTGACGTTTGGTTTCGTGTTACTGTACACGGCTCTCTTATTCATCAAAATTCGTTCAATCTATACTCAAAGTATCTAGAATAAGTAGCTAACATTTTAAAGTGCGATGCACAAAACTGTTGCATTCAATGTAAAGGGAAGCAGGGTGGACCGTGGCACAGTATCGGATGCAAACGGGGCGATATCAAAAAGAAAATGCTCCCGATATTCTTGTGTCCCGAAAGAACCATCGAAACACGGAACCCATCTACAGTATCGGAAATGTACAAGCCTTGGCTTTCTGCGAATCAATGTCGCCTCGAGATATCCAAGCGTCGCGAAAAGGATCTACGTCCTGAGATTGTGAGCACTTCACACCCCACGAAAATTGGGCAGTTTCTTCAAAATTTGGCAAGTGGTAGGCCGCTAGCCGTTGATCTACAAAGAAACAGATCATCCTTGTTAGAAAGATTCAAAGAGACTGCACCAGCTGTGTTGGAGCCGCTTGATGACTGCATTCTGACCATACTTTGGGGACTTCTTAATTGTGAAAGTGCAGAAAAAGCAGTTCATCCCTGGATGACATTACACAATGGGACCCTAGAAGATTTTATATTACTTTTAAATTCTGCAGCGATATATCAAGCAAGTTTTGAAAGTGTAAGTAGTAGCATTCTACATTCCTTATGACTTGAGCTCATTTAAATCTGCAGAACCAACTAATTGCTTACTCACTCACCTGCCTTCGGACTTGCGTCGAAGCACTGCACGTCAATACATTGGGGGGTTTCGAAGATTCGCATGGAGCATGCGAATTATCTACTTGTAAGGTAGATTGCATACGGGATCTCGAACTACAAGTAGAACAGTACCTTGATGAACTGTCTCGAGTTATTTTCTTGAAAGAAAACATGCGAAACCGATTCTGGTGGCTGTCAGCTTTTTACAGTCTTTGTATTCAGGGAGTTATTCGACAAGCATTGATATTATTGTCCTCAAATGACCACAGCGAGACATTGGGAATTGAGAAGTTGAGTTCTGCACAGTATTTACACATTGCGATTCGGTTGTTCTCTGTGAGTTCCGGTACCCATGATCCGTTAATTCGAGACTGGTCTTCTCAACTTGCGTCTCCACCGGCTGAAGTTGGAGCCCCAAGTAGCGAGGATTACCAAAATGCTCGATCAGCAATCAATCAATTCCAGTGGAGACTCAAAGGTATCAAGAAGTCTGGTAACTATCTGAAAAAACTGTTTGAGGATGATGGAAGTCCTCTTGCAGAACCCCTCGATGAATCTGGAACACTCGTTATTCTACCCGAACCATACCTTCCAAGAACCTTTACTTTAGAAACTTGTCGTCAAATTCGCGCCGATTGGGATTTAGCTCGATGCAACTACACGAAGAATTTGTTACAAATCGTCAAGAACTATGGACATGGCTCGAAAGCGTATACTGATGCTGAAGAGAAATGGGGGCTGGTGGAGGCTGAGTGGAATAGGGTAAGCGACGAAGCTATGGCGAACACCGTCAACCAAGCGCACAATGGCCGCGAAACACCAAAGCCCCTTCTTCCAGAGATATAGAGCATTTTGAGTAAGTTGATGGAATACAAATGTCAGTATTGCAGTCATTAACACGTTGAAGTGGGCTACCCAACGAGAGGGTATCAAACTATCTCATAAAACCCTTGGGAATACCAACGCTAGATGTCAAGCATCCTCGAAATTGCTTCCGCGTCAAACTACCCCACCCAATTTCCGATTTCACGTCTAACATCCTTTGCCCGCTCTCACTGCTTTCTCAAGCATTATTCATGTCGCCCTCAAAGCCGAGTTTCCAACAACTTTGTATTCAGCACGAGATCATCGCAGTGCGCTCCTGTTTGTGGGCAAAGTTTCATAATAATCTCAATTATCCAGAAGGGTGATCTAGGAATATCTGAGAAGTCAACATGTATCAGGAGAAGTAGAAGATGTGAAAGGAAAGTCGAAGGTAAAAGGGCCAGGAGATACGCATCCACTATATAAAGAACGTGAAGAGTTGATTTCACTGTGTCCACAAAGTTGAAGTCAAGGAGGTACAGGGGACCGGCTGATTTGTGTTTCCTTTTGGGCGTTTTCGAATTGATTATTTTTGGAGGTTTAATTCAATGGGGGGGGAAGGGGGGGAAGGTTCAGATACCAGAAACTTCAAATATGTAGGGAAACATGAGGAGATGGCCGGCTTTCTTGTCTGCTGTTATATACGGGGGATATACACATCAGTGTTGAGAAGACAAGATTGGATGTTATGTGCATGAATGAGGAGAGATCATATATCAAAGCTACCTAGGCAGGCAGCAATAAGTATGTAATGAACATGAAAGATACTCAAGCTTGTTAATGCACTGCTTCATAAAGATGCACCCAGCACACTACCAGGAAATCATTGTTTCCATGTCCTTGGTGGACATTTAGCATTGCTACACGCACTTACGTTCACCATACCATCCAATTCCACAAATCATCATCGAATCAATCAACCAGCCAAACAAATAAACAAATTAAACTGCAGTAAATAAAGAGAAGTGAGGTATCTCATTAATCAACATCCCAATCATATCTTTCCGAGAGAGGAGTCCCCATCCAAATCTCAAATCTCACCCATCTATCTAATCTCAGTAAAGTACAGCTAGACCATTACCAAAGCTCCTCGCCACGTTCTTGTAAGACTTTTGCTAGTGAGAAACGCCCGACTCCTTTTTTCATACATATACTCATTCATATTCGTACACACATATCCATGACGCCATATCAAAATATACTCTCGCCCTCCCCCCTATCCTCTGGAGGAATCTTATATCTAAGTATCAGTAGCGGTGTCTAAGCCCTTTCTCGCATGACCATGGACATGTCCGTGACCGTGCCCATGCCCGTGTCCTGCACTCCTAGCTGCCATCTCCCTTGCCCTCTTTTCCGCATTCCCAGCAGCCTGTGCACTCTCATGAATAGATTTCCTCTGTTCCATCACCTTCGCCCTAACCTCTTCCATAGCACTTCCCCTCTCCTCTTTCAATCTTCTTCCCCTATCCCTCCTTCCCTTGTCCATTTCCAAAGCCTTCGTCTCATCTTCCGCAACTCTCCAATTGCGACCGCGCATTCCACTTTCCCCCCACATACTGACGCGTTGAACTTTCTTGAGTTTGGAGATTCCGTAGAACCATACGATGGCGGCAAATATTCCACACCAGCCTGATACGCCTAAGAAACCAAGGTCGGATTCTTCGATATGGTTCTTTAAATTCATGCCGTACAGAGCGGCGATGAATGCGCCGGAACCCATACCGAGCGTTCCGATGGATATTTTGAGCTCGAGAAGCATGAGAGAATTGCGATTGGCATCAAGGATGGCTTTAACACTGTAGATATTTAGATTAGTACTTGTATAGTGGGAGGGAAATGGACGTTCTATAATCGTACATTTCTTCGGTGTTCCTAATGTTGGAAACTAAATTTCCAGACTCTTGAACAATTTCGTCGCAAAGCTTGTGGTAAGACTCTAACAGCATTTCGACTTCTGTATGATCATCCTCCCCTCTCTTTAAATCATGATCTTTCTCAGTCAGATACATAGCAGCTAGATCGTCATCTGCCTCCAACAACTCATCAATCGAGTCCCTGACCAATTTCGCCTTCTGTTCGAATGTGCCGAGTTTCTTGGAATAAATAAGGAGGTAGCGGAGCTTGTCTCGATCGATATCCTCTTCTAACTCCTTCAGAACCCTGACAACCGGTTCTCGAACCGTTTCAAATTCCTTTTCCAAGCCAGATGTAACCGATATGAGGACAGCTTCGAGAGCACGAAATTCATATGGAAGAGCACCAGCAGATGCAGAAGTTTGCTTTTGGCTAAGCTTTCCTTCTAAATCATACATGAAAAGCGATTGTGTATAGGTATCAGTAGAGCCATAAGCGTCGAAAATCAAGACCCTATTAGACTTTATGAGGACTCGAAGATGTAGGAGATTTATGAGAATAGCTGAAGGACGAACGAGGATATGCGGAAGCGTACTCGAGTCGATTTTTCGAAGATCTCGAGGAAGCAGACCATACTATGTACAAATCAGTATTGGCACAGTCAAAATGTCTGCGAGGAAAGATATCTAGTCCCACCTTAGCAATAAGCTCGCTCTTCTTGAACTCCCCATTCACAAGAACCACATTCCCATTCTCATCTAACTCTGTACATCGTAGCCGAGGCTCACTGGCTGCCTTCACAGATACAGATCGTCCCAGGCTGAAAACATCTATTTCTCTGCCATCCTCACTGAGGTGTGGTAAATCGTCCGGTTGTAATGGTTTCCCGTCCCTTTTCGAAGACCAAAGCTTGAATGGCCATTTTCTTGCGCCCGTGAATATTCCGCGACTTGACTGTGAGCGATTTTGAGTCGCAGATTGCTTGCTCGATAGAGTTGCCCGTTTGGGTTGAGTAGCGTTTGAAGAAGAATTGGAGGTGGCCAATCGCGATCCTAAAAACTTCGGATTTTGGAACCCAGCTTCAACGGTCGCTCTACGCTGTAGTGAAGTGGAAAGTGGTCTCCGACATGACCTCGAAGGATAATTGTATCCTAGGCTAGAAGCTGGAACATGAGGGGCATGGTCCAAAGAATGACCTTGTCTTGGGTTGGAACTGAAAAAACAGACGCCTTCAGATTGTGCCCGCAGAAATCTCAATAAAGATGCTGATGGTACATGGTTATGTATATGTGACCGCATAGCAGCTGAAAAGAGCTAATCCAACCGTTTACGAATCACTTGCTGCTTCATGTGCCTTATTTTGAACCGTTGATGGCGTAAATATATTTCTATCAAAAAAAAGCTTGGACTATCCAAATATCCAGATCTAAGTGTTACCATGATCACGTGAATTGTTTCTCTGCTACTTCTTGATTCTCGAATTTGCGTCCGCATAGTAAAAGCTTTTGAAAGTCGCATATGAACTTGGGTATTAGAAAGCATTTAGCTATCAAATCTAAACTTAACACCTGACTCTAAGCGGTCAAATATTGAATACCGCAAGGAAATCCTCGACCAACCTAACCTTCTTGTTATCATTCTCATGCTCATGACCACTTCTGAAGCGGAAAATCTCTTCAATGATCCAAGGGTAAGGATCTTGATAAGGAGGGTAGACCATCAGAAGTATGGTCATAAAATGCCTGTTTGGATCTGCATTCTCGAGAGTATATTGAAAAATGTCTTCATCAAGCTTCTGATTGACACCAGCATACAATAAGAGGTGTATTACCTCGATTCTACACTCTCGAACAGCATTTTTATAACCGATAATAGCTGCCTAGATTTCTATTAGCCATTACCTTGACACAAATCGTTTTCAGGGGAGTAATACCTCTCCGCTCGTTGACGCGAGCCAGTCAATACGTGCTCCTCCCATAACTAACCAAAATAAGAATTTGACAGCTTTCTCGTCCCATGGGCCCATTAACAGTGTGTGAGGTATCTCGGTACCTCTAGCAACATTCGCATAATTGCGAATACCCAGGTCAAAGATTTGCTCTCTTTTCTCGACCAAACTCGACATGAAATCAATTGTTTCGGAGGCATCCGTTGTATGAGAGACATCCATTCTTTGAAATGCATTACAATATTTGGCAAAATCATTGTCAAGTAATTCAGCTGCTGAGGTATCCTTAGGGTCAATACCTTCTATATCATCCCCATGGTGAAAGGCAACCATCCCAAGAGCAAGTGGAAATGGACGTTCTAGTGCATATTTTTGAACCCATAAGTCTTGACCTTGGAGAAGCATCGGCAATTTTGCCCAGCGAAATTTTAGAATAGTAGACTAAGTCCATGTCGTCAGTCAGTCCTGACCCAGCTATAACATTCAGGCTTACCTGTAGACTGCTATTGCCACTATAGTCCAAGTCCAACCTTGGATCCAACAGTTGCCCATACCATTTATCCCAAACTGGACCAAAAGCAGCAATAATGATCTTGTTATAGACAGCAACACTACTTAGTTTTCCTCCTATGACTGGACTACATGCTGGCAAACTCAAGTTCCAACAGCCGAAGAAAATCTGCTCGAGAATCTCTGTTGGCAATCTTTCAAGTTCCGACATCTTACGTCTCGATTTGATGTTCTTCAAAGTGCGGACTTTTGATTCCCGAAGAATAGAATTGAAAGACTGTGGCATTTGTGATGCGACCTTTGGGGATCTTTTCTTGAGAGGCCTCCCAGGTGGTCGTTTCTAGGATCCGAGTCAGTTAAGTTAGTTCGATATGTTTTATTCTATCATGAGAGTCCATACCATGATCTTTCTGGCCAGAACAGCAGATTTGCTGGAGTCACGAGTGTTCTTTCCCGGAACCTTGATCGGTGTTCCAGCCATGATTTGATGATATGCACTTATACTCCATATAGTCTAACATGAAGGACAGAAAATCCCGAGTTATTGGTTGCAATGGTGTATCATCGGTACATATCTAAAGTCCAGCAAGAAATACACACAACAAGATTCACTAAATCGAAAAAGTATAAAGTAATGCAATCTACATAGTGAATGGAAGACGAGACCAATCATTTTTTATTTTGCAACTCACCGCTTTCATTATGCCGGTTTGTCGATAGCGGTGAGAGTCAAATATAATCACCTACGAGTAGCTTGAGATGAGAGTGATAAACATCCTCTGAAGGGCGGTATAAATGGTCTGTCAATAGTGATTTCGGCGACAGAAGGTTAAAGGGGACGGACTATCCATCGTCACCCTAGATCTAACTACTCCTTATGCCATCGTCCTGGAACTGGGACCACTCCGAGAACATTCATCGTCTCCGGGCTAGCCTAGAACAATCATGATGTTGATATTGGAAGAACTGAACTATTGCCCGGTAATTAGACAACTAGAACGAGATGCGATTGAGTATGGAAAGTAACGCTCGAGTACTATCTCCAACAACGACTTCCATACTAGATTTGCATGTTGCTAAAACTAAGTTCTCAGTACGAGGAACATCAAATACCCCGCCTCGGGAAAAGTTACGCTAAAGACCCTGCATATATAAATACCCGATAGTCTACGTCGTACAGAACGCTATCACACCTCGCACGCCTTGTACACCCTACTAGGCATCCACCGGAAAAATACCTGGCTTGCAAAAAACTGTAGTTTGTAGAATCATCTTTGTGTTAAATTAATCATTAATCTTCAAGCGAAGTTGACAGTTCTTCCGTTACCATTCTTCCAATGGTCAACTTCGAATACTAAGCTAAGCTTAAATAACTACCAACTCGCACCTCATTTGTTGGGTCGAAGATTCCCTTAACTTAAAATCATTGTTTTAGACGATACTACCAAGCAGCAATCGAACAATCGAACAACTAAATCAAAGAAAGAACCCTCAATGTCTGCCAATCCTGAGTCCAGCTCTCACCCCCTCATCCTAACCCATCCTCCTCCACTCAACCCAGCCTGGGAATCACATATTCCTCATCTTCCAGCGCCCAGTACCTCCACCTCACCTGATGTCCGCAGATCTGTATACAGTCAAAACTGCATAAATCAAAACGCCAGTCTTCTCCGCACCTCTCTTGTTCACCTTACTCGGAACCTCCTCATAACCTCTTCTTCCATCCCTTCACCATCCGGCCACGAGATCCCTACTCGCCTCTACACTCCCACTTCCGCCACCAACTCTGCCTCTGTTCCCAATTCAGATTCTCAGCCACTGATCATCTATTTCCACGGCGGCGGTCTTTACGTTGGCGATCTCGATTCCGAAGATCTAACATGTCGTCAACTATCCCTTTCTCTTTCTCTCCCACTCCTCTCAATATCCTACCGCCTACTGCCCTCGTTCACTGCCGACGATGCTGTCTCCGATGCACTGACCACTTTCACCCATCTCTGTACTGAATACCCTTCCCAAAAATTCGTCCTTGTAGGAAGTTCAAGTGGAGGACAATTGGCTGCTACTGTCGCTTTGACTTTCCTTCAAAAGGGAGACGGGATTGAGAAAGAACAAGGAAGGCGGATACTAGGAGTTATTTTGAGATGCCCAGTAACATGTGATGCTACGGATAACGGGACAAGTATTCCAGAAGAATGGAAAAGTATACACACTAGTATGAAAGAGGAGTTTCATACAGGGATATTGAACAAGCCGGCTGTGACGAGAGAAAATAGAGTCAAGCGGTATAAGATGCCTTTGGAAATGTTGAAGGAGAAGCCAAAGCTCACTGAGGCTTCCAAACCTGTTGGAAGCGATCAAGAAGACATCAATACAAAATGGTTCATACAGCTTTGTACTAACGATATATATTATTCTGACGGGGTATGTCTTGCGCTTGGGTTGAAGGAGAGAGGACATAGTGTGAAGATTCGAGTAGAATTTGGGTGGCCCCATACGTTTTGGTTGAAGGGGATGGTATTGGAAGAAGCTCAGAAGACCGAAATGGAACTTGTTAAAGGGGCGAAGTGGGTTCTGGATGGGCTGGGGGTGGCTGACACCAAAGAGCTCCAGGGACACAAAGATTGGGTGGAATGGAGTAAGGAGGCCAACCTGTGAGGAGAAGGGTTGAATAGGGTATCTCAAAATTCGTGGGTAGTTTAACTCGGTTATGAAACGCTCGTACATTTAATGACACTGATACTTTGCTTTTCCAAATTTCATTTCTGATGACTCCAGGAGTGATGAATATGATATACATGCAGTTCCGACACCTTACAGGCTTACTTTGACGACTTTTTGTAACAGCATTCAGTCAAAACAATAAAATTCATCAGATCTTCAAGAGATTGAGGAAACAGTTTCATGATTGGCCAACTTGGCACTTAAACGATTAACCACCATGATCTTACTTCTTCAATCACCGGTCCCTATCTACAATAGTGCGGGTAACAAAGAAAAGGGAAAGTCGAATTTATTCCATCTAAAGCATAGAAAGATCGCCGAATTTCTCCTATAGACATATTAGCAGCCGTATCATTCCAAAGGGCAAAACTATGCCATTTCAAACGTACCTTGTAACCTGGAACACCCCAGCGACCCTTGGAAACGAGTTGAGCAGTCTTCTCATCGATGTCTGGGCGAGCAGCAGCAACTTCGTCCTATAGACACACATCACACATTAGCCAACCCCATTTATTTCCTTTGACTTTCCACATCCTTTCCTGGAGCTGATACATACCACAGTCAAATCCTCAAATGGTCTAGCCTCCTCGATGTTCTTCAATGTCTTCTCCAAATCCTTCAACTCCAAGTCCACTCTACCCTTGGTCTCCTCTGCGTTCTTGATTGCTTGGGCCTCGAAAGTCTCAATTGCCTTGATTTGTCTGGCCACATCATATGTGGCTGGCTTGAAAGTAGAGAAATGCTTCTCGATTTCGTCAACAACGGCGGTGTTCTTGAGAATCGACTTGTAGTGTGCGAAGTCTACTTTGGTAGGTTGCTCAGAGAGAGCTTGAACGCGGCGACGGGCATCTTCGTTACGCTTCTTGAAGGCTTGGAGGGAGGTCGCGGTGGCTCCCTTGAGTCCGAGGGATTGGGAAACTTTGGCCCAGTCGAGTTTGAGGGCTGCGCTGCGCTGTGAAGGTAGAATGGTTAGTAATAATCCGGACTCATTAAGGGCGAGGGGGTGGAAGTCGGGGCAGAAGTCTTCGGAATTCTTCGGAGGGGTGCAAAGTCTGCACGACAGCGAGGTCTGGGGGGTAAAGTTCTGCTGGCGGCAGTATGACTGCAATTAGTAAAATAGACTTACTCCGGCTGCCATTGTGAAGGTGTTGATATGATTAGGGAGTGGAGAACTGAGATGTGTTGAATTCGTCGTCAAAAAGCTGCAAGTCTCGGTTCGAGCTAGAAAATGCAATATCACGTGATGCTGCCACAACATTCAGCCTGGTGAAAGATCTCCTAATTTATCAGTATTTAAAAAGAACCTCAATTTTGTTTTCCATTATAATTGTTATTTTCCTGAACTCGTATATGTATCAGACGTTTGTTTAAGTGGAAACAATTTTGAACAGATTTCATTTTGTCGCGAAGTCACATTTCAAATCGGTGAGTATAAGTAGGATTCTATGCATACGAAGGTGACATGGTTTAAATTGGAGTTTTACTATTCAACACTCCCAAATTCATTCGGGATGTGTGTGACTGTACGCCCACGTAATACCATTGCCATGCATTCATAGAAGTCGACCCAGAACAGCAATACATAAAGATCCAGCTAAGTAAGCTTAGACCTATATGCTTAGAGCCATGATGGAATTGACTATATCGTTGTCATTCTCCTTCAATGCCTTTACAGCCTTGTTGCGCGAAACACTGGCTTGGGTCATGACTAATTCAATATCCTTGTCCTCGAGTCCAGTGGCATCGACCTCCTCTGTGTCATCCTCTTCTTCTTCCTTCTTCTCCTCGGTGTCAACAGCCTTGCCCTTTCCGTGATCGTGGGAGTGGTCGTGGCCAGAGTGATCGTGACCGGCGTGATCGTGGGATTCTTGAGCAGCCAATTGTGCGGCAGCAGAAGCTTGAGCTTGGGAGTTAAGGTCCTCAATCTTAGCCTCACCGAAAACACTGGAGAAATTATTAGTCTAAAATGTATTTTTGGAGTGCGGGGTAGAAGTTCCTTACATGTAGGTGTTGCTGGTTGGGGACTTGTAAACCTCTGGCTGGTTGATAACAAAGAGGATCTATAATCCGATATTTGATCAGTAAGAAGTCTTAAGGTTATCCTCAAATGTTGTCAAAGCTACCCCGCGCTTGTGAAGCAGCTGCGAAGCACCAGCCCTTAATCGCGAGAGCTTCCTTCATAAATCGTGAACTGACAAACCAACTAAAAGCTGCTTACGTTCTTTGGTCGTCTCAAAGTGACTCTGGTGATACCAGGGACTCTTGTAAGACCAAGCTTAGCAATTGACTTGCGTGCCTTCTTCTCGTTACGGGAGAAAGCGACTTGGGAACCTGCTGGGATACCAGCTACCTCCTCTCCCTCTGCCTCGGAGTCAGAGCTGTCGTCTCCCTCATCCTCTGCGGTAACTTGTTGCTTGGTTGGCTCCTCGTTATCTGGGAGTTCTTCAATACGTGGGTTCGACATGTTGGGTGGTAGTTATGGCTGTACAAAGGGTTGTTAGAAATTTTGATGATATTGTCGTTGTTTTGGTTTTCCGAAATTTTGTGCGTGCGCTAAAGAAATTGGGGGGCAGTTTCCTTGTACGGCGGAAAACTCCACCACAACAAGGCTGATGAACATTGTGAACATAATGGTATTCACTAACCTGACTTTACAAGAAGACGATGATATTAGATATGGGCTTAAAGAATCAAACATTGAGGTTGTCACCATTGCAATTAATTAGGGTTGTGAGAGTTCGCTAAGTATTAGGTAATCAACGTGTCTACTCCATCTGGCTGAGATTGGGCTGGGGCAATTCTGGGGGTACAAATTGTTGTAACGACGTCAGACTGGGTCAAGGTGCATTTAATATCATTTATGGTTGTGGAATTATTAGTATCAATATCTGAATTTGTCCGATAAAGCAGTAAAATGGCTCCTAATTCATTGTGCAGGAATAGGTTCCGCATATCTCATGTCGAGAATATTTCAAAGTTCCAGAACCAAATCACAATCAAAATAACGCCCAGTATTCAGATCTTGGAGAGAATTGGTTTGGAGGTATTTTTGAAGTCCATATGCTCATTACGCCGGTCAAATTGACGCAGGATACAAAGCTCAGTTAAGAGCAAAGGAACCCATCAACCCTTATGTAGTTTTGCTTGCGCTCCCAAATATTCCATTACCAAATCTATGCCGCGGCGATCTTAGCCCTGGCAACCTTGACTTGGAATCCAGCTCTCTTCCTCAATCTCATAACCTTAAATCGCTCGAAATCTGTCAAAGCAGCTCTCTTGGCTTGCTTCTCACGCTTCTGGGCCCATGGGCTTTGTTGCCACAACTTTTCGATACCAGCCTTCTCCCACTCCTTTTGAACGACACCAGTGCGCGAGGCTCTTGGGAGACCCTTGAGGACGAGAGGTGTGAGGACGACATTGGCGAGGGAAATGGCTTGTCTTGGGACAGCTGCGAGTTTGTCGGTTGCTGGGCCATCGATAAGAGCCTATTGATTTCAATGTCAGTTTTCTTCCTCTTTCCCTCCAATCTTCACCAATTTTACGTACGCGCTTGTGGTCGATGATCTCAACGATCGCGGCAAGCTTGCCATCGTGTGGTCCACCAGTTACGAGGACGACACGGCCGACCTCAACCAGTCTCCAGGAAGATGCTTTGATATCTGCGTCACCCATTGTGAAATCTTCTGAAAAGAGTGTATTAGTTGATTGATTTCTAGAAGTTCAATGAATCGAGTAGATAATTAAGGAAAACGTACGGGGCGTCGTTGGCGAGGATTTGTCGATGTTTAGTTGTCGATTACTTTCAAAAAATCCGAAAATCGAAAAAGTGCGGCATAAGATCTAAGCGAAATGGCCCTAGAGATTTACAAATCATGTGATCAATCGGCCGCATTTCTGGACATGTGGGATAAGGCTAGAGCCAGATCGAATTAGCGTTCTTTTTATTGGGTTCAAAGCTTTCCAAATGGAACTTCAAAAACTTATAAAAAAATTCTTCCAATCAATTTCTTCATCTTTCTTCCATTTCATAAACAACAATCACAACACAAACACAACAAGTACTTGAGTACTTTATGGCTTGAATTGATTTATTCTTGCTGCAACATGTCTCTTCCTGAGCAATCTTCTGCACATCTACAGGTATAAGGTTCGTACATCAACATTTCTTCAACCTCTTCTTTCTCTACTTAAATGATGAGATAATTTGCGATTGACCTCACTTCGATGGCACCCTCGCCGGGGTCGCTATATCATGCGAGTGGATGAAATTCATTCTTACATATTCTGATTTCCTTTACATCACGATCATTTATATCTTGGTATCATTTTGGTCGAGCTTTTTGCTAACAGTTCGAAGTATTAGGAAATGCCTTCATTGATCATCTTATCACGACCAACTTGCTACACATTTCACCCCGCCAACTAACATAGATCACAACAATGATCCCAACGTTCACCTTACGCGGTATGTTACAATTCTTCCTCGCACAGCATCTTCCCTATCCTACTATGATTAAGAAAAATGCACTGAAAATACTGAACTCCCCGGAGTCATGAAAATTCAACTTAACCAAGATCTATGAGCACAACAAACTTCCGTTCTTCCTACTAGTTGCTTCACTTCTAGAATCTCTTGCTAATCAGCTCAAAGCTTAGGAAGAATTTTACGCCACACACAAGAAGAATATTGATGGATCGTGCCAAACACCTTTCGAGGCATCGCTGGGGCCTCCTAGACGGTTGGACTCTAACAAAAGTAATAATTGGTCATGGCTATGCAGATACTTGGGACCTCGATGGAGGCATCATTAGAGAGATTGGCAGCTTAGGAATAATCAAATTACATTTACTACATTACACCTCTACTTCACATGACTTATTGTACAACTTTCTCTACTTTACCCTGCTGTGCCTTGATCTATTGCTTACGTGCACAATTCATCTCGTTCACGTTTGCGACAGCAGCGGTGACCTGTTGGCATTCTGTCTCCTTTTCGTAGCTCGGTATGTCCCAAGATAGCAAAATCATCACACTGTGTACCTGTGATCCATATCTCAATAATTTTTCATCAGGCAGTTCTAATATTACATCTCATTTCATACAATCTGAAGATGTTCCAACTCACATCTATCATCAACTCCGCATCAGCTCCGCCAAGCGAAGAATCCTCAATCATATGTCAATCTAATTAATCATGATCACAAGATGGTAACAGATTCATTGCCGTCGCTATATTAAATCGTCCTCATCTGACTTCATACCGACCTCAAAGTCTCCTTTGTAGTATTCTCCAAAGGTCCGCTATCACAATGAGCATCACATGCACCCAAACATTGGTAATCTCTTGTGAGAGTAGGATTACATACTAAACAAACGAAAATCACCCATGGCAAATTGCGGTATTCGGTACCACCAAGGACAATATCTCTTGGTGCCACTCTTCACGCTGGTATTTTGATAGTTACTAACGTCGGTGTTGAACTTCAGCTTTTTTCTTTTCTTGGCCTGGTACCGTGAATGAAAGGGTAGTGTTTGTGAAGTTGAATTACGACTTTGGATTAGGGTTGTGAAATAACCATCAGATCAGATCATGTTGCATTATTAGCTCATGCCAATCAATTACACTTTATAGTATCAATTATTGCATTAAAGATGCTGCTGCTGCTGCCTCCTCCAAGTCTCGATCGAAGTAGAAACATTTGCGCAGAAACACTACTTCATCTCTGCAATGATGTTTTCAGAATCGACCTCTTCTATAAGTCCAAAGAGCTCACTGATGAATCTAGGCTTTTTTCCCGTAAAAATTTCATACTTAGCATTAAGAAGAGCTACATAGTGGAGAGACCTAGACCCATGCTAGGAATATCATGCGTCTCAAATTGAAAAGCTTTCTGCTTCTCCTTCCACAAGTGTGCACTACTGATAAACATCAATTCCATCGACGGCTTCGATACTGAGCTCTTCCTTGGATGCGTTGCCTCAAGCGGGCTGACTTCCAACCGTAAAGGGCGTGCAAGACAGAGAATTAACTTCATCTCATAAGGTTTGCTTAAGTCAGATGGCGGTTCATGTTCACTCGTACCCCGCAGAACACTCAATACCGATGAGCAACTAGAATATCACCAAACAGCAGCTTTCTGGAGCTCAGATTGCTTCAATGCAAGCTGGTATCCGTCTGTGCAGTCTGCTACGTGTGTTTAGTTCGTTTGCTGCTTGAATCTCCTGAGTTTGACTTCATTCCGCTGTATGCTTTACGTTCCGAGGTATTCTCCACCAGCGGTCACCTAGGCCTCATAGTCTGAGATTCATCCCGCCAGCAATTTTCGCTTTCGCTTATTTGTGTTTAACAAGCGAGGTCCTCCTATGGCTTTCGATTCACTGCGTATGTTGTACCGGCCGCTGTGTCTAGCGCCCATCTCTCGACTTCATGTTCTCTTTTTGTTCTGATATTATCAATGATATCCTCTTGACTATTGTTGTAGTTATGATTATGATTGTCCTTGTGGTTATTGCCATTCTTATGATCATTATCATTCTCATAGATCCTCATGGTCATTATCATCCATCTTTATGAATCTTCATGATCATCGTCATCCTTGTGAGTCCTCATGATCACTATCATCTTCATCATTGTTATATTTATGATCATTGTCATTTTCATACTCGTTGTTATTCTCATGATTATTGTATCTTTCTAATCATTGTGTTTCTGTAACTATTGTATCTTTATGATAATTGCTATCCTCGAGCCCTAGTTTTCTATTCCAATTGACCACTCAGTCTTCCTCAATCCTGCTTTCCGGGCTCTGTAATGCGTTAGTAAATAAGTACCCGCTTCTACATGGTGATGAATTGCCCATCTTTACCCCGCGCACACTGGACAGCCATGAGCATTATCAATTCATAAATTGAGACTCAAAACCAAAGTTTGAAATAAAAGTAGCTAGAAGTTTCGAGATACTTAACAACGATTCTCAACATCCTGAACTTAATTGCAAGCACTGTTGATTTACCTCACAGCTTCGTCAGAGCCTTTACTAGATCGATTGACGTTTCATGCCATCAATAGACGAGGGACCTTTACCACGTCCAATCTGGTCCATAAGAAAATATGATGGTAATATTTCATCCAGCTTAACTTGAAAACCATGCAAACGGCTGAATGCAGTTGCGCCAAGTGATTCATTTGCTCTTGTCAAGGAACATGTATATCATGAACAATAATTCTGAAGTGTTCAATGATAGGCAATCATTTGAAAGAATAGTAATACTTCGCAAAAACTAATGAATGAATTCTCCTATTTTGACTCTCATATAACCATCGTTCTTAGCTACGACTTAATCATGAGCTATTGGTACAAAGCATATCTCCAAAATTTTCTTGGAGAAAATTGAGCTTCCAAGTTACATTCTGCGTAGAGTGTGAGTATCGAGAGTGTATCCAGACTCCAGAGACTGGATAAAATGGCACCAGTGTTTCAAGGACTGATATCATGAATACTGAATTCAACTTTATATCTGGTATTTTACTTATTTCTTAAACACACTAAAGTATCCGTCGGTATCCCTCAGACATAATCACAATCCTCGACTACCCAAGTACCAAAATCTTACAACCTTGCTTTTCCAAGCTCCAAATCTGCCCAGTGATCCCGGTGGAACTCTACATATGTATTTCCCTTACCCTTCTCCTCTATCCATAGTAATTTGTCATCTGCTTTGACTTTATCATGATTAACACCCTGTTCACGAAGTGGTGTTTTATTTTGTTTATTGTTATGAATTGGTACCATTTCCTTCACGATCCGGAGGAATACCGGAACTGCGTATTTAGGTAGATGTTTCCGTGTGTGTCTATGATTCGTTAATTTTGAGTACATAGAACCAAGAGGAGACCCTTGAGATAACTTACTTCAAAAGCCCAGCAAAGTCAAAATTGTTAATACTTGGATCGATGAACACGGCAGCACATCCAGCCCTACCATCATGAGAAGGTAATTGGACACCATAAACGATGGCCTCCACAACTCCGTCGTATTTCCCTAACACCTCTGCAACTTCAGCTGTACTAACATTTTCTCCTTTCCAGCGGAAGGTATCGCCCAATCGATCAAGGAAAAACCATCGCCCGTCGTTATCTCGACGTAGAGCATCGCCAGTTCTGTAATAAAGATCTCCTTTCTTGAATACATTACTCTCAAACTTCTTACTCGTCGCTTCTGGGTTGTTGAAGTAACCCGCAAAGGCAGCTGTATTCGGAATCGCAACGATGATCTCGCCACCTTTCTCAAATGGTTCCCGAGTTGCAAATCCAGTTTTAGGATCTCGTGCAATGGCTCCAGAAACTTCGTCTATTTTGACGGGAACATACAGATCATTGAACTGCCATCTGGAGATAAGTCCATGATGTCCCACGCAAGTAGCCAGCCAATCTCCACGTGCATGATTGGTGAGTGAAAAAACCCCTTCCGTACTGTTAAAGAACTCAACAACTTCAGGGACTCCAAATCGAGCTTTGAATTTGTTCCACACATCTGGACGCATACCATTTCCATACATGACGCGAACGCAATGATCTTTATCCTGAGGAGAAGGAGGTGCGGCGAGCAGGTAGCGAGCTGTCTCTCCAACATATGTGAACCATGTTGCTTTGGAGTCACGTATATCTCCCCAGAATTTCGAAGTGCTGAATTTCTTGCCGACGCAATTTGTGATTCCACTCATCAGGTTTGCTATGGCGGTAATACCACCGGTTCCATGATACAAGGGCATGCAGTTGTACCATCGGTCATCATCCTTTACTGGGGATTTACCAGCTGCTCTCTACGGGAATTATCAGCATTCATCGCGGTAATCATATCTTAATCTAGGCCTTACCCCAACTCCCGCTATGAAGCCTCTGGCTACCTCAAAATTACATCCTTTAGGTAACCCTGTAGTTCCACTTGATGATCGATTAGCCATCTGATTTTTACAGCCCGGAAAGAACACCAACCTGGTATACAACAAACCTAAAGGCGAGTTTCCTTTGACTTCCTCTCTATAAATATCTTCTGGCCTTTCAGCCTTTCCACTGCGTATTTCCGACAATGTAGAGCTATCCATGAATACAATTTTGATCCCTAAGTCCCCCAACTCCTCTTTCTCAGCCTCAATCCTCTCTCTCAACTCCGCATCATCATCCACCAAAATAAGTTTGGCTTTTGGAACCTTAACACAGTGAATTAATGCTTTTCCAGCCAAATTGTAGTTGATCATTGCTGGAGCAGCTCCTATCGACCATAATCCCAGCCAGGCAAACAGAAAGTCCGGAGAATTTTGAAGATAAAATGCTACTAAATCACCAGGCTTTACGCCCTGGGAGAGATACCATTGACCGTATTGATTTACGAGATCGTAGGATTGTTTCCAAGTGTAGCAGCCCTCTCGTGACCAGATACATTCTGTGTTTGGATGACGATGCACGCTTTCTTCGAACAGATAATAAAGACATAATTTTCTATTTTTCTCTATGTTGGGTTTTAGTAAAGGGCAATGTGATTTGGGAAGGCGTCTTACCAGCTTCGGCGTACCATTTCATGGTTCGTCTCATTTTCAATTTATCATTCAAATCTTTTAATATAGAATATTTGCCATCGAGGTACATTGCTGCAGCAGATGTACCTGCTACAACTGCTGTTGCTATTCATTTTAATTAGTATGCTGCTTGGAGATCAAAAATGAAGCAGTCTAGAGTCGGCGATTGTAGAGAGTGACATTTGTTTTCCAATTCATGCAGTGGAGCCGGAAATGGATTGTGTCTAACCGTGGCTTGAATGCGGGGTTTAGTGATAGGATGTGCTTACCGAGCGCCATAATGATTGGAATCAAATGCTGTTACTATACAAAAAAATTGGTATTTAGGGATATCAAGAACTGCAAAAAGCTACAATAATCTGTGAAGCGTCAATAAGAAAGGATAGAACTTGGAAAGGAGAAAGAACGTTAAACAGAATCCCCTAACAAGTTACATCAGTGAATGTCTTTCGTCGGTAAAGCTACCTAGGTATTTGTCGATCACCGAGGCAGGCTACCCCGGATTTCTGACCCAGGACTGAATCTTGATTGGTTGGGCTTGAGGCACAACTACGGACGAAACCTTTGCCGTCGCTCCTATCCGCCCCACCTCCGCTCTTTGATACTTCCGACCCACGCGATACCTTCCAAAGCGGGTAGACTCCTTGTTGGTCGAAACTAAACGTGGAGTTGGAAGTAACCTGTTTGACGCGTGTGCTGCGAGATATACTTGTTTGGACGCCACACTGCTTGTCAGTCCCTTTGGCAAACGACCGAATTTACAGATTTGGACGATGCTCGGCGTTCGGAGCCTTGAGTGCTTGAAGAGAGGTGGGCTCTGTGGGTTAGGACATCTGGATTCGTTTTCGGAATCATAGTCGATTTTGGTAGTTATGCACGGACCCCCTTCAGAGGAAACGACAGCAATGAAGGGGCAATCACCATTCCTTGGCCGAGAGTACTAGACTTTGAATTGAGACTCGCAAGTCAAGATTATCTTCGAATGAAAATACATTGGTCATCCATTGTCTTCATTCACATGAACATCAGTGCATATTTTATTTTATTGTAGATTTTACAACCTTGGAAAGTGTGAGAGTACGGATCTATTTCAGTAACCCGTTTGTTACCATTTTCGTTGGCCCCACTCATGCGTATCTCGTCAACTAATTGTGGAATCAAGACCTTCTACCCCAATCCTTTGCAAGATCCCTCCACGGCTCTGAATTCCGACGCTACTTTTCTATCAGATATCTACTTGAAATGGAAGGAATTACGTTGAAATTTACTTACATTTTCCTGACTTGAATGTCCTTGATTTGGATGATTAGATATTGACCAGTGGCCTGGATTTTCCGGTGGACTATTTGTCTGCTGGTTTGTTGAGGACGAGACTACCACCGGGTCCGGCCTGTCAGGTGACAGGGAGGAACGATCATATGTCCCCAAGGGTGGGACTCCGTTATTATCTGGATATATCAAATTCGAAGCTTGATTGTGCCAGACACCCCTTTGCTGTCGAGGCGACAGATTAGACGGCAATCCACTTCGAAAACTCGTCTGCGTTGCGGTTTGGTGAGCAGAATGAGGGTTCTGGTGTGATCTAAACTGAAGCTGGTTATTGTTCGAGTTTGGGGTTTCTGTAGGCCCCCCAGGATCCGGATTCACGCCCGAAGCTTGTACCTGCGAACTAGAATTTTTCTCTTGCGTATTCCAGTACCGGCCAAAAGGCTGATGGTCCGGACACTTTCTTGCTTTTTCTCCAAGGATGACCTGAATTGGATTTTTGCAATGCTGTCTCGTAACTGCGAAGTCAGGGCAAATTTGTCCATAGGCAGGATGCACCTTAGTCGTCTTCCATCTCGAGCAGTCAACAGGGCAATCGGTGAATACGTCCTTGAACTCCCAGCACATCTTTCATGGAATAGAAATTTCTGTTTGGTGATTCTCACGAATTTGATATTGGGCTAACCGTTCTATATCATTTGATTCGTGATAAAAGACGGTGTTATGAAAGAAACTACATGGCGAGTTCCTCTACAAACTAGATCCACAAATTGAAGATGAGTACCTGATCATACAAAAGTATCAAGCACGAGAATTTACCAGCAAATTTTGAGACACTGCTTTGAAAGCCGTGTCGTCTGAAGAACCAGCACCTTCTAGTGTCGTCTTATGATTAGAGGAAAAATGTCCGCATTTCATATCATAGCCAAAAGAAGTGTTCTTAGCTATATATTTCACCTTGTACAGCTATGTAACTTTGGCTTTAAGATCTACATGGGTCGTTGTATGCATGTCATGGTGGGATCAATAGAAGTCTATACAGTATCAATTTAAAATCCCGTTCTCGATTTTCTAAAACACAAAACTTCATATTAACCTGTCAATTATACTTGACTGTTTTTGGCCACTTCTGAGCAAAGTTCACATGTTAAAAATTCACCCACTCAAGCATGTCTTCCTTGCAGAACCTGTAAGGCCAATTGTGTAGAATCGATCATTAAATCAACTACCTTCCTCAATTATGTATCCCATAATCTTTACTGAAGTGCTTTTACCCCGTGTATCTGACCAGTAACTTGGCTATGATTACGAATTGAATAAGCCCCTAGTACTCCATCTGCTTTGAGTTCCGTTGATTTGCCTGCTTGGACCCTGGACCGTGTGAGCTGCGTGAGATTCGCTGGTCTGTCCCCCATTGCCATCATTCTGTCGGTCAGAATTTCCTGAATTCTGTCTGGTTTGATTGGATGAGCGTCTGCCTGCGCGGCCCCCACCCATTCCAGTTCCACCCCTTCCAGCTCCACGCCTTTCAGTTCCGCCCCTACGACCAGCGCCTCTGCGATGTGCACCCCAAAAACCTCCACTTCTACATTCACAGCCTTCACCCCATCCATGTGCACGACCACATCCTTCACTTCCAAACTCAGTTTCACTTGATGCAGAATCGCTATTGAGATCACCCGGGCTACTGGCGGAACGGGTCCTCTGGTAACTACTCACCAATTAACCGAGCCGTCTTTGAAAACCTCATCGCTTATATCTTACCTCCGGAATCTGCAGTTTGGACAAGGACACTCGTCCAACGATTGCAAGTAGACGAAATGATAGGAAGATACTCCACAAGGATGCATTACAGTGCCGTAAGTGCAAGGAAACACGCAGCGACATTCCCGATAGCCATCAGGGCAGGATTCCCAACGTATCCCTAGATAATAGCACATTGTGTTTTCAAGTCAGTTCTGAATACACGAAGGGAAGATCTCTCGAAATAGTCAGATAATGTTGAGTTATATAGCATGGCTGGAGACAGGCTGTGCTTGGGCTGAAGGAATTGGACTCTGATCATTGTAATTGAAGATATGTCGTTGCTTCCAGAACTCCCTTTGAGAATTGTAGCCTAGGGATCATTACATTAAAGAGTTAGCTCACTATTCTGGGGTGTTGGACAGTCAGACTTTTATATATTGGATCCAGACAATAGTAAGTAGTGATGTTTTAGAAAGAGGAAGAAAGCGAACGTGGCAATGATCCAATGAAATATTTATTCCTGTATCATCTTTAGAGATCTTGACCAGAAATAAAGGTCTTCCACGATAACAAACACCTCGTTGTGACGAAAGAAGCTTCTATAAGCTAAATAAAATGGCTTAGTTTTTCAAAGAACTTCCAACCTTCATTTCAGGAGGCTACAATTCCAAGTACATGAATAGGAAAAATGAAAGGAAGCACTACTTCCATGATTTTCTACAGTAGCACTTTTGAAAAGAGTTCGTAGAGCCATGAGCCACCTCTCGTTTGTCCCTCATGCATTTTATCAGAAAAATGGTGTGATAGATTCTCGTGCGATATCTGGTATGTATCGTAGAGAAATCAAAGGATTGGTAAGATTTGGAGACAATTTAATGGTGATAGACCTTTCAAATCATATAAATGATCTCATCAAACGGAAACAATCATAAACTCCTGTACTTTTTAGCTACATGAAGCACTTGATCTCAATTCCAACAACTATGCATTCAATGACCTCGTTAGCATCAACAAAATGATCAGAAACAACAAAACAAAAGATTAATGCGTACATGGTGTACGTGTTCTCACAAAGCCTTCAAATCAGATCAATGGTCATTTTATCTGCGTCTTGGAAGACACCAGTATCCTCGCGAATATCAAAGACGCCAACTCGCTCGTAATATTCTGGTCTACGACTTGAGAGTTTGCACAGAAGAGTGCAAATCCAAGAAGCCGTTTTTAGCTTCGCCGTTGGATCTCTCAAACGCATAGTACCGACAACTATACAAAGTACTTTGGTAGATTCATTGGTTGCATGGTCATTGTGGAGGTTATTGTAGAAGTCGAGACTTATTATTGTTTCGGGAGATGAAGCTTTCGCTGAATGGTTTCCAAAATTCAGAGTTACTCCTCGTTCGTCACCAAGTTTCTTCGCAATTTCGCCAGCCACTCCCAAGCCTTGGATTCTTATTGTGGGGATATCCATTTCCGGGAAGTTAAGAATTTCTGCGGCTGTTGTTGGTAAGTTTGTACCGATATAAGAGAAGCATTCGTGTGGTTTGAAAGTACTATCCTGAGTAGCAGGAAAGGTTATGATTCCGCCATCCTTGAAAAGTGCCGAAGCCCATGACCAACTACATGCAAATGTGGTTTTGTCTTGTGACGTATCTTGCTCATTTTTGTTATAGCTACTTGACTGGTAAACCCCCCTTAAGGACCAGAGAAGACCTCTAGCAATATCAGACTGCCAGAGACCAGCTAAGTATCCACATTTTAAGCGGTCCTAAAATGTACTTGCGACTCCAATGAGAGCTATGAGTCGGTCAGACGGTCGTGTCAAGCTCAACTTGCAGTACTCTCGAACTATATCGAACCATCGTTCAAATACTTTTAAGTCTTCAATTTGCTCCAGATCAGACTCTGCTGTGATAGAATTCGCGTAAACCTTTTCGAGTCCCGTACATTCGCACCGTAGGCCTGACTTACATTCCATTACTAGTTCCGATGGATGAAAATGAATCGTACGAGGAGCTAATTTCCGTTCTTGAAAGACCCAGGCTCGAGTCAAAAGTGGCGTACCTATGCTTAGCACTTCGCGATGCCTTAAATATGGGTAGTTAGGTGAGTTGTATCGATGATGAATCACCTCAAGTGAGGGTCTGACGAAGATAGGGCTCTGATCCCCTATTTTTCTTAATCTTCTAGAACAGATTTTATGCGATCGTATTGAGAGAGTTGGATTTTTGAGATAAAGTTTTCGACGATAAAAGCACCCTCCTCGGCTATCATACGAACCAGTAGCCGCCAAGTTTAGGTAACTATTTGAGTACACAATAGCCATACGGGCAGCCTCCTTCTCCCAATCGTCCTGGTCATCCTGAACGATGCATAGACTGTCAATCCAAATATGCCGAATGCCAAGTGCTCTCACAATCGAAATAGCGTCTCTAAACGTTAATGGCAAAGTTTTCCATGCAATTCCCTTTCTATGTTGCCTGAAAGATTCCCTTTTGGTTTGTAAAGGCTGGTAATCTCCCCAGCAATGGCTGAGAGTTGCATAGCGCTTCTTGAAACCAATATTTTGGGGACTATTAAATGACGCGTCTGTCTTCTCAACCAAGACAACTATCGCCGACTCTCTTCTCAGTTGACAGACATCAAGTACACGTGTTGGGAAGGCGTTATAGTTAGCTCGCGATGCGCATTTTGTGTGTTGACTGTCGCAATTGGCGATCCATTCGCGCATGATTGATGCGCTTCTTTGAATGGAATTGAAAGTGGAAATATCCCGAGCAATTCCAAATGCTGATACTAGTGCAGACTTTACATGCATCGTATTTTCTGACATTCACGTTAGATGTGACTTTCATCAACAAGTTCATTGTGGCAAACCTTGAATAGATTTCGAATAAAATTCCAAGTCTACAACTCCATCAACTTTAGGGCCGCTGGTCTGAATTCCGAAGTTCTTTAATCCCCAGTGTAGTAGTTTAGGTACCATACGAGATTCTCTGTTATAGTAGGCCTGAAGCTCGACCCGTAAGGAGCAGTCATTGCGAATTACAAAACGGCCATTGTAAGGTCGTGAATCGTCGAATATCTGCATTTTCGAGCTTCCGATGCGCAGACCTCGGAGAATTATTGAACAATAAGGACAACCTGATCTTGCCGCACTTCGTACAGAGCCAGACTGAAACTCGAGGCAATAATTTGGGATTAATTTCGTATCTAGCTCCAAAACCCATTCCTGTCGTAGATTTCCGTTGTGATCGCGATTATTTAGACATGAGCAGACTTTACATGTAGTCGTTGAATCGAAAGTCATTTCCGCTACTGTCGATTCAACTATCGATTCGAAATAAATCAGCCCACTTGCTTTATTTTTCATGATTACTATATAGTATCTAGATAGGAGTGAAATAATGTGAATATACCTTTCGTGGAAAGTACTTGCTCATGAAATGTTATCGGATCTTGTAGCGTATCTTTTCACTCGTGGCAAATTTTCGTGCTGTCATTTGAGACTTCGATGCAATTTTTGCCAGGAAGCATAAGAATTTTAGATTCTGTAACGGCTTCATGTGATATTCTTATAAGGCTATAGTCGCGCAAAAAGTAGCACAGCATTATCATAGTTTGCACCATGGGCAAGATTAATAGGTCATGAGGGTTCCATTCGTTTAAACGAGAATGGGTAAGTTTGTGCAACGTTCTTGAAGTAAAGTATCCGCGACCATTATGCGAATTTGATAGAGTATGTTGAGCTCAACGCGTTGTGCTATATGACTGTGAGTCTGGGGTAAATAGGCTATTCGAGCATATTGTTATGATACATGTTAATAAAGCCAATTGCAAGATGCCAAGCTTGTGAGTTCCTGGTATTGACTCACCGGTCTATAAATTTAGCGTGTACACGTAGATTTAAATAGCCTCCTTATTTTGTCATGCATAGAACCTAATCCCTTAGACAAATCTTCAATGAAATCTATGGGCAGTGTAATAGAAATCATGCTACGCTTGAAATTTTATATTAAAGTGAAAGGGTGTCAGTAGTGTTGCCCTTTCTTTAAATTTCCAAAATCCATCTGCTCAATTTTAGTGGAAGTAACATATCCCATTTGTCTTGTTGAAAATATACAAAGACAAGACAAGGTCCTACATCGTGAAAGAGTTTCCTTTGGTATATCAACCTAATTGAACATATTTAATGATACAAGCGGATCGCTCTGAAAGTAAATAAATATAAGTAGGCTTTTTTGTTCCTACGATGCCCTTGAAAGCGTGCAAATGATGTGGAAATAGATCTTCATAAAAATCTAGCCTTGGTGTTTGTGCTTTTTACTCAGGAATCTTCTAATCTTCAAAGATCTCTTTGAGTATTGACTTCCTTTCGATTAGAATCTTCTTTCATAGTCAGACAGTGCTATAAGCCCCCAGGAATCTCAAAATGGATCTATTTCAGTGTATTCGTGTCGTTGTATTGAGCGACACCCAAAGGACACACACGTAGCACAAAAAGCAATATTTACGACAGGTCTATTGCGTATGGAGAATGTGTTCATACAACTTCATCACTTACGAGAGGTGTGCACAGCGTCCACAACATCAAAGAGTAGCTCTTGCGTCAGTTTGCAGGTATGGGGATGCTCTGAATATGATTCGTTGCAATAGGGTATTCGAAGAAGAACCGTCAACAGGTGCAAGTTATCAAACAAGAGATCTGACGAATCCGTGTCCCATTTGCGAGTAAATTGAAATTTTCGCTCCCGAACCAACCTGTTCCTTAACACTGACAAGTTACCAGACAGGATTTAATCTTCGCGAAGCTTAGACCCCGCCCAAATAGTGGAAGCGGCGATGAGAAGTTCAAACGAGCTTTCCAGAGTACGGGTAACACATTGAAAATTTGGTTATCACGGACTACAACTGGTAACCCTGCAACATAGACTTCTCGATCGACAGATACAGTTCGCCCAATGACATCAGTATCAGAGCTAAGCAGACTCAGAGTAGCTTCACAACATGGTAGAAAGTGTCTGGAATTAGACTAAAGTTGACCGAAGTCTTCAAAATGACTTGAATCTCAAGTTGCCAGTAAGCTACCATCTCGTTTCGAATTCCACGTTGGGCCGTGTCGATCTTGTTTCCTATTCCAAAGATACGTGCCTAGAAGTATCATGGGTAGATCTTCTGAACAAGGAAAAATTACAAAGCTCTTTCCATTATTACGTTACGCATGGCAATCAAGTCAAACAAGCCTCAAGTAATTCCTGACACCTGACTCAACAATATCTGCATTTGCAGCACCTAAACATCATCATCCATCCACCAGACTTTCCATCGTTTCCTCTATCTGACTTCAGACATAACCCTCCGTCAATCTCGACTTGATTTCGCCAGTATGAGGTCGGTTGAGCTATCAATTTTCGTGAAGATGCATGAAATGAAGTATATCGAAAAAGAGCGCTTAACATAAAATTTCTCTTTTTACCATACTCATAACCGACCACTAGTCCGTTCGTATGCGATTGAGATCTGGCACAAGAAATTCACTTCAGTAAACCACTTAGTAAACACAAAAACAACATCAAAAAACACCCCCCCAGCATCTCCATCTTCCCCATCCTCCTCTCCACAATCCCCGACATATCCCCAAATCCATCAATTGCACAAAATCAAACAAACACCCAACCAAAAATCCAACCCATAAACCCAGCCCATAAATACAAAGCACAAAACCTCCCCAACTCCACTAATAAACCCCAAACATCCGTGCCCAACCAAGCCCACGCGCCACACCCACACACGCGTACGCAAGGAACCACATCTGAAAAACTGTGGCTCAGCTATCAGCTAGCTAACTAGCGACGATCATCGTAAATTTTCAAACTCTAATAGATGATTAATAATTTTTTTACTTTTTGTGAAACGGGTTGTTTTGGAGTGAGACTTTTTTTTTGACATTGATGTTTGTTGTGCTGGATGGATAGGAGATGGATGGGTGAGGGATGAGGTAGTTTTGTTTTTATTTTTATTTTTGGGTGTTTAGGTTGAGATGAGAGATTGATGAGAGATTGTTTTTTGGGATTGGGGTATTGGTCTGTTGCTTATGTCGGAGGAGGACATTGAGGGCTTATTATTGAAATTGAGAAAGAGCAATAATCGAAGTTTCGAAGCAACTTCGATTAGGTACTTACCTAGAGTTATGCCAACATGTCATGATTGTCAAAGCCTGAGAATCAAACCAAGTCAAGTCAAAAAGTAACCAAATAACAAGAGATTTCTTCTCATTGTCCTATATAAAAATACACTCCATCTCTGTATCTAGATATTTATCTCAAATTATATACAAAATGCCCGCCAAAATTACACCAAACCACATCATCCCCATAGGTATCAAAGAATCTCAGACTCAAAAATCTAAACCACCAATAACAAAGCCATGACCCCCATAGCTGCCATAATACTTCCCCGAACACTGACCTTTGAAACTCCAGAGTCCAAATATGGATAAGCAGTGACAGCACTAGCATCGCTTGTTCCAGTCGCGCTATAGGCGCTTGGCATGGCGAATGTGAAAGTTTCGGTGCTTCCAAGTGTAGAGGTGTCAATAAGGATACCAGTACCGGTTATCGATACACTGCTTGAGGTAATAGTTTGGGTAGAGGTAGCGTTGGCGGATGCAGATGTAGGTTTTGTGATGAAGGAGGTGGTTGCGTAGGTTGGAGTAAAGATTATTGGGCTGGTGGTTCCAGCTTGGGCGACTACGCTGGATGATTGAGGTGTGCTAATGCCTTCGACAGATGCAGCGGCTGGAGCTGGGGCAGATTGCATGGGGACCACGGTTGCGGTGGAGAGGACGACTGAGGCGTCACTTGGAATTGGACTGTTGGTTACTGATGTAGTGGATAGTTGAGCGGAAGTGGCCGCACTGGAGCTAACAGCCTTGACTGGAGTTTCTGGGCAGGCTGTTTCACCGGAAAGAAGAGCCCCGGAAGCGACACATGCGGCAGAAGATACACTAGTAGTCTCTCCAGAGAGCGAGACACTAGAGGCGGCAGAAGATATAGCTGGGGTAGGAATAACGACTGAAGAAACACTGCTAGTAACCTCACCTGAGAGAGCACTAGTCGAGGCAGCGGGTGTTTCTGGGCAAGCGGTTTGGCCAGATAAAAGAGCACCACCAGAGGGTACGCATGCTGGGGAAGATACGCTGGTGGTCTCACCAGAGCTAGCTCCAGCTGAAGCAGTTGGTACTGAACTATCACTCTCAGCAGATACTGGAACACTTGGGCTTGAACCAACAGGAACAACAGTGCTGGTTCCCTCGGTAGTGACAGTGCTCCAAGCATATGCGGCTCCAGATACTTGAGTTGTGTAAGCTTCTGGGATGACGGTAGCTGTTTGAAGAACAACAACAGCACTGCTAGTGTTTTCTACAACTGGACTGCTAACGGCAACTCCCAAAACAGAAGTCGAACTAATAATAGGACTGCTGGCCACAGCGATCTCGGTAGATGAAGGTTGAGGAGCTGGGACAGTTGTTTGTGCAATTCCGCTAGTGGCTACAATGATAGCAGAGGAAACTTCACCTGGAAGTGTAACAGTGCTGTAGATTGTAGCGGCAGATTTAACGCTTGTGATGGTACTTTGAATAGTTGTGGTCGAATCGATATTTGCGCTGGATGGTGAAGGAGTGGCTTCTCCCTCGGCAGCAGTGATTGGGCAAATAGTAGTCGAAAGAATAACAGTTTCGGTTACAACAGATCCAAGCTCGTCAGTGCGTGTGTTTGTTCCATAAATGGTAGAGGTAGTGTGGGGGTATGGAACTGAAGTAGTGGTAAGAACGCCGGCGACTGAGGATTGCTCAATAGAAGATGCTGAAGGTACAATGCTAGCAGCGGAGGATTCTTGAACGGGAGATACTGATGCAATGATACTGGCTGTGGAGGATGCCTCTATCGGAGTTGTGGGAATAATTGTAGCCACAGATGATACTGAAGCAATGATGCTTGGGGTAGAAGATGCCTCTACGGAAGATACCGGGCAAGCGGTTTGGCCAGAAAGGAGGGCACCTGTGGAGACACATGCTGCAGAGGTTAATGAACTAGAGGCGACAACGGAGACAATCGATGCGGCTTCGGAAGTCGCGACGCCCAAAAGAGATTCAGCTCGAGCAGTCGAGCTAATTATTGGGCTAGCAGTAGTTGAGATTTTAGTCGAAGAAGCAACGATAGCGGCTGATGTAGACGAAGCACTATTCATGATTAGCATACACTACTTCTCCGGGTTTTTGAATACTTACGCAGCAGCGCTAGTAGCGGCCAAGGTGTCATTTTGATAAACCTTAACACTGTTGATGAGCCAATAAGCTTCCTTGTATGCTTCTGGGTTTGCTCCAACATAACTATCACAAGTAGGATATTTTTCTGCATCATAACAAGTTGTTTCTTGCCAGAATCCAGTTTGCCCAGCGTATCCTCCACAGAATGTTGTATCGAAAATGATCTTGTGGTTGGCAAATAACCCATCAATGTTACAAACTCCTCCTTCAGTAGTAAAAGCAGGAAGATCCCAGGTGGATGGATCTGGTGTACCAGCAGTTATATCGGCTGGAATCGCATCAGGTCCAAAGTTCCACATTCTGATAACATCACTAGTCCATTGCATAGCATATACACCACCCCCGTTGCTGTTGAATGTCGTTCCGTAAGAATTTGGATCGGAGTTAGTACCAGAGCATGCAGAGGTAGCATCTTGGGCTCCAAATATGCTTGAGGTAGCAGAATCATCGCAGTTATATGTTGTGACGTTATCTTTTAATTGAGTTGAATATTGGTTGCCAGAAATATAGCATCCTTCTTCGGTATGAAGTGTTTGCAAGCTGACAGTCTTCTCGTTGATGTTTTCAAGAATATCTATCTCTCCATATTGTGGGTAATTAGTAGCATTGACGGTCCAGAACGCTGGCCAGGTACCGCAAATACTGGCCGGCATATGCGCAAGGTCGGCAATAATCAAGCCATGAGTATAGGTCTCTTTACTTTGTATCCTAACACTGGGCCGGCCAGTGGTGACCACATTGACGTAGTCGACACCCATATAAGCTTGTCCATTTTCGACCTTTGTCAAGGCTACACCAAGCTCGCTGTTTGCATTTTCGGCTACTTCTTTAGAGGTATATGAAACGAATCCGGTTGTTGGGTCGGCTCCCTATTTTCAATATATCAGACAAATTCGTTTCCCAATAATTCCGTTTCAACATGTATGATTCGTCCGATAACAAGCCTTTCCAATTGTCACCCCATCTCTTTACTTCCATCTAATCATCGACGGGATACTGTACATACCGTATAAAAATCGAACATATCAAAAAAATTGGTTCCTGCATAATCATCGACTAACGTATACTTGTTCGTCGCGGAAACTTCACCAATGAAAGCAAGCGCCAAAGTGGCAGTGGAAACGATTCGCTGAATCATAATTAAGGAATTAAATGAAGAAGAAAAATAATGAGTGACTAGACGTAACAACGTCGAGGAATTGAAAAGAAGATGATTGACTTTCTCTCAGAAAGAATGATGAGAGTACGTCTTAAGCAATAAATGAGAAAAGAATGTATTGTTGTGGGCGACAACAACCTTTTGAACAAGGTACTACGAGTTACTTTTTCGCAAAGCCACAACCCATTCAGTACCAACTTTGATGACTGAGGGGCTCAAAAAGACATTTCGAGACGTTGAAGCCATTTTCCTTATATGAGGGCCTGTTCTAAAGTGGAGGTCAATAGTCCCTAAACCCGATATGATACGATGAAACAACCCAAAATGACTGGGATTAAAGATTCGAGATCACTTTATCTTAGATTCTAAGAACGGATCAAGGGTAGAGTCCCTCTTTCTGAGCATATCTGGACATAACGCCGGGTGTTCTGGATGAATTGGTTACGTGGAGATGAAAATTGTTGTGAATATATTAGAAATGTGGAGCTTTGGAGACCTTGTCCTAGTGTCTTTATCGAAAAACATTGAATATCGATTCGTAGAAATGATCTCGGAATTACTTGATATGAAGCCCCCCTGTTGCCCCTGATTTTTGGTATAGTGGAGATTTTTTACTGTCCGCGACTATTCAACAGGGAGTGCAGGGTGTGGAAGTGGAAATTCATCCTAAGAATGGTACGCGCCTTTGGTGTGTCGTGCTGATTGGACGAATGTTTGAGATATTTCTTGACGCTCTTGATCTCGAATACCTACCGCCCTACCAACATGAAGAAGAGATGAGATGCACCTATGAGATGAACCTTCGAGTTATTTTTAGCAAAAGAATCCATTCGCATTCTCTGGTTCTGGAGAGGCAATTGAATTGCCAGCGATGTTTGTGATAATTGTGATGCCTGCGCGAGTCATCAATAGTATTGGTTCACATCCTGCTCGTGATTTGACGCCCTACTTGCCCTACTTGCCCTGCTCACTACGAACTCACTTGTGCATGTCATACCATGCTGGAAACCCTCTCAGCCACAAAATGTGTCGTCATTCTGTGATTGGTCGCCCGATGTTGGTGGAATGATCAAAACTTTGGGCTCATATTACATGAAACTTCGGTAGCTTGCTCGGATTCTTGGTGGTCGTGCTGGAGGGTCCAAGAAGCTCGGTTGGAAATAATCTTCCGCTCCGATAGTCACGTGGTGTGATGGGAAATTCAATGAACCTCATTAAAACATATACTATCAAGTGTGCTGCATGTTCATGTTCAATTTCAGGTTACAAGTGATGCTTTAGCGCTGAACAAACATTAAGGGGAAGACAGATATATGTCACGTGAGCATTTGAAGATTAGTTTTGATAGTGGATTATCTCATCCTCAGACCACACAGTGATTACATAATTTAGTGTCTTGATTTCGAGGTAGGGGCTTCTTGAAGGTTTATTACTGTAGGATCTGAAACAATTTGGTTCCTAATTAGGTATAAAAACCAATAATTTGTTATTTTTTGATTTTTCAATTAATAATATCAAATCATACAATTATTATAGAATTCTATTACAGATTTATATTATATAAATAGCTTTTCTTATTATTTTGATTTAATTTTTATTATTATAATTCTATTCAATTATATATATATATATTGAAAATATAGATTTTCGAAAACCAATATTTCAATAAAATAAATACCTATTTTTTTCAAAATCAACTACTATTACTATTCTAATTAAATATATATATATTCCAAAAATCCTATTATCTATCTTATTCTCCTCATATAAATAGAATCTTAAATAATAAAGATTATTATTGATTTCAAAAAGATTGAATATTCTTAGCCCTAAAATTCAATCTTTATTTGAAATCTAAATACTTTAAACTTAAGACATTTAGTATCAGAAATTTAATAATATCATTATTAATAATGTTTTTATTGATAATATAATCCTAATACTATTAATATAATTGAAAAGACTTACAAAATATTCAATTCAATAAAATGATTCGATTGATACTATTTTTATTATTAATAAAGATATTCTGAAATAATTGAAAATAATTTATCTAATTTCAAAAAAAATCTTATATCTTTTTTTATATTACTACTACAAATCCAATCAATTTGATACAGATTTATATAATAATACTAATTAAGCTTTTTCAAATACTCTAATTAGTTTTTCAATAAATAATAATTGAAAGGATAAAGTATATTGTTGAAATACTTTCATCTAACAGATTCAATTCCTCATCAAAAATGCAATCAAAAACTCTTAGACTCTCGAGAAAATAAACATTCCCTTTAATCCCTAATTAGCCAAAAAAAATTCGATTATTAATAAGCTACAACATTACTATAAAAAAGATCAAGATATTATTTAGAATTTAATGAAATATGTTCTATCAACGAAGAGGGTCTGAATATTGAGATAAATAGTGGATGTTGATAGCTAATAACTAAAGAGAGATCATGGGACTTAAAAACAGTGACGAGAACGGCTGACTATGCGAAACATCCTCCTCGAATCAAAAAGTATGAAAGGAATGAAATGAAATAAACGTTGCGACCCCCCGTCAGTCGCTCTCTCTAGAAAATTCAACCTTCTCGACAATTAATCCAGACCGAACACAATGCCAAATCAATGAAATGAACATGCAATAAATTGAAAACCCTCCAGTATCTCGCTATGCGGATCATATCTGTGGCTTTGACTCCATGGAAAAGGATCCTGCTGAGTCACCACTGCTATTGATGAACTCGTCGAGCGTGATCCATCATCTTGTCACGACGATAAAATTCCCTGCCACATCCGGGTGCGTGGCAAGAGTACTCTGGAGCTTCATGCTTCTTCATGTGACGATTGCAGTCACTTTGGCGTCCAAACGTCTTACCACAACCAATGAAGTTGCAAGCAAAACGAGGGGCGGGGGCGATATTATTCGCGAAGGACCCAATGAGGGGAGCTGGAGGCGTAGCTTGTTGCCCAATAAGAGTAGTGTTGGTATCAGCCTCTCCGGAAATAAAGTCTTGTTGTTCCGTAGTTGTCTTCGGTGCTGACGCGAAGAAATTCATTTCTTGGCCGTGAAAATCGATGCCCATATCGATTCCATCGCAAAGACCCTGAAAATACCTATCGTCACTTGAGGAGAACGTGTTTGGCTCAAATGATGTGAAATTTTGGAAGTTCATGAACGGATCCAAGGAAGCGGTTGCTATGTCGCCTGTTGAATTATAATTCCAATTCGGAACATTTGAGTGGTTGAACTCAGTTGGAAGTAATGCTGTCTGGTCGGCTCTCACATCGTCGTTCCAATTAAAAATGTCGAGTGTTTCGACATTGTCGTACAACACATTGTCGTTTGGATGCGTGAAGGGAAAAGTTGCAGGGGAGTGATCCAAAAAAGTTTCCAAATTGAGCTCCCAACGAAGGTATCTGGAGGCATACTTGCGTTAGTTCGAAAAAAAAAACTCACGGCTGCTCCTTGTTAGTCGTGGTCGACATAATTGCGTAGCACTGCAGATAGATTTTGGGCGGCCAATGAAGTAATGGGGCGATGTAGGGCGGTATGATGAGGCGAGCAGAACACGCTACACTAGAATTCCGAGATTTGATTGGTCGAATACTTGACGAAATTCAAAAATTTAGAGAGGGGAACATCTTCCTATAAGTAATTTATGGGTAGGAAAGCAAGATTTACCACGCTACAGACTCATCTTCCATACACCGATTTCGTGCATACAGTCCCTGTAGTTTTCAAATCTCAGAATTGATACATTCAGCCCGATCGCATGCTCTTAGCTTCGCGCTTCTTTCATTATTTCTTTCTACTATATTTAACTGTTGAACTAGAAATCAGGTCCTACATAATTTGCGTATTCGATGATGTTATGATGACAACTAGCACCGCCAGTTTTCGGGCTCCAGGCACGTATGGGTGCGAATTCTGTCCAAAAGCCCTGCCTACTAAAGGGTCTTTGAAGTAAACTTTTCATAGTCTCCATCTTCTCTATAGTAAGAGCTTAATGTAGCTAATTATGAGCTCTAGTCGTCATCGGAACACTCACATACGACCATACAAGTGTGTTACATGCCAAAGCGGTTTTGCTTTGCGCAGCGATCTACGACGCCATGAAGCCAAGCATGGAAGTGTGGATCCACGATACATGTGCAAGTGGCCTGAATGTGAATTCAAAGGATCGGCACGGAAAGACAATCTGATGAGGCATATGAAAAAAATGCATTCGAAAGTAGTTACCACTGACGAAGAAGACACTTGCAATACCACTATCTTACGAGATGCTTACGATGAAGCGGTTGAAAATAGGAAGGAATCTGAAAAAAGTCTCACTATTCTGAGGCTCGTGCAAGATGGGAACATTATTTCGCTCAAGTTGCTGCTGCACGGAGGGGGAAATGTTATGGCGACAACTGATTCTGGCAAAACCGCACTGCATGTAGCCGCCTTCAATGGCCATTTGGACATACTCAAGCTCCTTCTCGACACGAACATCGAGCATAATGCGAAGGACACCGCTGGAAGATCTGCACTTCATGACGCTGCCAGAGGTGGAAATTTCCATATCTTCCGAGAACTCATAGCTGCGGGATTGAATCTACATGATAGAAACAACAATGGTGAAGACCCATTGTGCGACGCGTGCCGCAATGGGCATCGAGATCTCGTACAAGAAATGCTTGAAATTCAGTCGCAGCTCAGTTTAAGTGATGACTCGCCAATGGGTTCTACTCCGAGTGAACGGACAATCATCACACAATCAACATCTGATGAGTATCATGATTGGGTCAAGACCGTTGGTCTGAAAAAGTACATCAAATTGGCAATTGAAAATGGACACCGTGCTATAGCGGAGATTATTCTAGTTCAACACTTAGACATCGACCGGAAACACTTGGCCTATGCCCTACAGAAGGCTGCAAGTATGGGGGAATATCAGCTTGCCGTCTTGATCCTCGAAAAAAAGATCGACTATTTGTACCTGACACTTTTCGCGCGCTTCGGCTTGCTGCTGGTCAAAATAACATACCTATCATGAAATTATTGGTTGAGGAGGGAGTTCCCGTTGATGGCTATGAAGCTGATATGTTCACCCAGAGCCCGCTTCTCCGAGCGGCTAAATGCGGACATAGTGATGCCGTTGAGTTTTTGATTGAGAAAGGGGCAAACCCGAATCGCCGGTCTCGCAACACTCACACTACACCTCTATGTGAAGCTATTGGTTGTCACAACATAAAAATCGCCACTATATTAATCCATGCAGGGGCTGATGTGAACACTCCTACTATGCTAGGTACAGCGCTACAAAGAGCTACAAGAGCAGATAAAGGGCTCGTTGCATTATTACTTGAAGCTGGCGCCAACCCCAATGCTTCCGTCCATTCTTGTGTTGGTACAGCACTTCAAGAGGCTATTAAAAAAGGAGACAAAGTAATAATTGACTTGTTAATCGAAAAGGGAGCGAAGGTCAACGCTCCGGCTAATGATCATTCTAATACAGCACTTCAAGAGGCTATTAAAAAAGGAGACAAAGCAATAGTTGATTTGTTGATCGAAAAGGGAGCAGAGATTAATGCTTCTGCTGATTATTTTTCTGGTACAGCACTTCAAGAGGCTGTTAAGAAAGGAGACAAAGCAATAATTGACTTGTTAATCGAAAAGGGAGCGGAGGTCAACGCTCCGGCTAATGATCGTTCTGATACAGCACTTCAAGAGGCTGTTAAAAAAGGAGACAAAGCAATAGTTGATTTGTTGATCGAAAAGGGAGCAGAGATTAATGCTTCTACTAATTATTTTTCTAGTACAGCACTTCAAGAGGCTGTTAAGAAAGGAGACAAAGCAATAATTGACTTGTTAATCGAAAAGGGAGCAAAGGTCAACACTCCAGCTAAAGGTTATTCTGGAACAGTACTTCAAGAGGCTGTTAAGAAAGGAAATAAAGTAATAATTAACTTATTAATCAAAATGGGAACAGAGATCAATGCTCCGGCTAATAATCGTTCTGGTACAGCACTTCAAGAGGCTGTCAAGAAAGGAGATGAAGCAACAATTACACAGTTGATTCAACTTGGTGCTGATGTCAACGCTCCAGAAACCCCAGGAGAATACTGGGACCCTAACCCTGGGTTGGCAATTCAGGAGGCTGCAAAAATCGGAGATCAAATTATTGTGGATATGCTACTACTTGCTGGAGCCGATGCCAAAGTGCGGGCTAACAGAAAGTGCGGTACACCTTTACAGGAAGCTGTAAGACATGGCAATGAGTATATGGTCAAACAGTTGATCGCCTTCGGTGTTGATGTCAATGCTTCGGCTGTTCGTTCATCGGAATACTCTTGGGGGCGCAATAGTAATCCTGAAATTGCAATCCGAGAAGCTAGGAAGGGGAGATGCCAACCGATCGTGGATATGCTCATTCAAGCTGGCGCCATTGACCCCGGGGAAGATTAGATTTCTATGGTAATTGAAATGGATATTCTCTTGTCAATTTATGCTCGTGACTAAGAACTTATATATCATGACTGCCTATGTCCCGCAGGTAAAGTGCGATTTAGCAATGCTGCTAGGTCTGTCGGGCTCTGTGTCTCAAATTGATACCTGCATATATATGACAGATCATTACTCGCGAATCGAAACTCTTTGTATATTCTTATTAGATGTTAGTAAAACATCACTGTTGACTTCATTTGTGATACCCGTAGCAATGTTAAAGTGAGTGGTGGCATAATGGGACTTGTTTAGTGCATAGAGGCCTACTAGGTTTATACCTAGGTAGACAATTGAAACAACTGAACAAGGACTTTATTATTATTTCTTGACCTCACCCACTTCAGATCAAGCATCTCAAATGTGCAAAGGTGAATGGTATAAGAATATAATGTATCAATTAAATTCGACAGCAAAGAAGCTGGCAAGTTGACTAGACTCCATTATTTAGACTGTATCAGTGTACCACCAAGAAAAGTTCACCTTTCCACATCAGTTATCCTCAATATCCCAGAATCCTTCCATAAACTTCTTTCATCTCAGACAAGATATCTCAGACAAGATCGAAGCAACTCACCTTCAGCTCTTTATCTCAGTTACACCACTGCATTTCTGGCGGTAGCACTTCATCTCGCTTTTCTTTGTTCGCCATTATATGTCTCAGCCAAGATTCTCCATTCTTTGACTACACATGTGATAGATTCCCAGCAAAGTACGACAAGATAATACTTTTCATTATCAAACTCAAGGTTTATCAAAACTTCTTTGGAATAGGAACTGTGCTAGAGGATAATACGCGCGACGATTGATTGAGAAAGTCAAAGCCGGAGATTTCAGCTGACTAGTTCGAAATTGCAAAGCTTTTGTACTCTTCGCCGGCTTCTTTGTTAGAGCTTGAGGACACAGAGAGGGTCCTGAGTAAGAGTGGAAGGTAATTGGCGCATAAGGCTTTTGTGGATAGATCGATGGTTTAGGTACGTTATACTTCTGTGCGCTGGGTGGTTTGTATCATCAAAATTGTTGATATGAGCCTCACGAAGGTTAATTAAAACCTGCATCAATCCCAGAGTCATGATCACTATTCACCTTCCACTCTAACTCTTCCCAGAAATCCAATGGAGCCACCCAACGCGAAATCAAAGCTTCCCAGCAAAGAATATCCTATCCCACAACTCCCAGGAACAACTCGAGGCTCCATACCATCTCGCCACCATCAAGATTCCGCAGCTGCTCAACGTGCCAGAGAATCACTCAGAATAAACAACCGAATCTTCAAAGGATATATCAACACCGAACTCATCCGATGCTGTGCACTCCTCGCAACCTCCGAGTACGAAAGAGCTTTGAGTCACGTGGAAAATGCTTCATTTCTTGCAGAAGAACAGAATTTTTTCTATGAGATTAGTAAATGTTATTTGTATCGAGGATTGTGTTTTATGGGGATGGAGAGGTGGAAGGATGCGAGAGTTGTGTTGGTGAGGGGGTTAATGTTAGGGGATGGGGTGGGAAGGTGGAGGGGTTGATGAGGGAGGCTCAGATGAAGATTGATGAGGAGAGGAGGGGGAGGAAAGTGGGTGCTTGAGGGTGGCTAGAGGTAATGTTCGTTGTGGGGTTGTGAGATTGTGGCTAGGGCGGAAACATGATACCATTTTTACATAGAATATCGTTCTCCTATGATATGAATTCATTGTGAACAGTTTACTGGGCATTGCTGAGACTCGTTCGACATTGAGATCCGAGAATGTAATAGTACAAGATCTCAAGCGAGGCTCGAAGCGGATGTATATTAGGAGCTCTACGCCTATTGTTCTGTTTCTTCAGAAGCTATAGCATGTTTTCTTTCAATACGACTCCAACCGAATTGACAACAAGTGAAATCTCTTTGTGATTGGGACTACAAAAAATAGTTGTATGTGCCGGATGCGTCAAAAACAATGAACCGAGTTTCCATAAAGAGCTTTCTATATAGTGATCCATGATTTAGATCCATGATATGTTTCTATACTCGACATCAACCACAAGCTTAGATATATTGGCCCGTGAGAAACCTAGCTGGCCTTACTGTACCAATTTAAGAAAGTAGCTATTGAACTTAGTCACAATGACTGCGGTGCCACCACCAGGTGACGTAAGCATTACCCCATAATCATATCCATAACTCCAAAGACCTATCTAATTGGTTTGATTCAGGATGATCGGTGGGCTCCGGGGTTCGAGTTGCCTATTCCGTCCGCAGAGGGAGAAGATAAAAAAGATGAGGGAACGTCCGAATCCAAAGATAACGATAAAGCAGTGCCCACGAAGAAAGCAGAGACCATACGAGGTACGGCCACTGTCAATCAACCTGGGCCGAACTTGGCTGAGAGACCCGAACAAGAAACCACGGCCGAATACTTTGCGAGCTGGGCTGAGGCGGAGAGAATGATGAGAGCCGATTTGGAAAAGGGGAAATTCACAGCAGAGCAAGTTGATGAAGTTAAGAAATTGATGGAGGCTGGTGTAAGTTCATGTGTTATTTCTATTCCAAGCAATATCTGAGCACCGCGGTATAATATGGATGTAAGACCAGTACTGATTATATCAATAGGCAATAAAAATGAAATTGCCATATAAAAGAGCACCCGGGGAAATGACATTGGCGCAATGGGAAGAGAAGGCTGCAAAGCTCGAGGCTGAACTTAAGAACAAGGGACAAGAAGGCGACAAGTACGTGGCTCAATTGATGGCGCTCCAAGACCAATTAAGGCGGTCGGAGGTCGCAAATCTGGAGATGGAAACCCGTAATGCAAAACTCGAAAAAGAAAGGAACGAGGCTATGGCTAAAATTGATAAGGCCGCACAAGAAAAGCGCGACAAAAAGAATCAAGAGGACAAAGAAAAGGAGGATAAGAAGAGAAAAGCGGAAGCTGAAAAACATGTAAAGGCTTTGTATGATAGAGATAACAAAATTCGGGCACTCGAACAAAAGCTCGATGCGTTGTCTAAACGCGCAGAGGCCGAGAAAAAAGAAAGAGAAAAGGCTGCCGCCAGAGATACATACAAAGATAAGAGGGCGGAAATTCTGCAAAAACAGGCTCTCGAAAAGGATGAGAAAATCAAGAAATTAGAGAATGACTTGGAAGCCGAAAAACACAAAAATGACTTGGAAGAGGCCGGATATCACGGGGGTGATGAACTTCAAGCCATAATCAAGCGTTTAGAGCACGAGAAAAGACAGCTCAAGAAGGAAGCAGCTAAATTGGAAGATGTGATTCAAGGCTTGAACGAAAAGGTTCGGGGATTGGAGAGCTCACAAGTGAGATTCCTAGATGCAGCTATAAGAGAAGAGAACGCAGGAAAGGAGAGAGATAATCTAGAAATCAATGTTGTCGCGTTAAAACAACGGATCGAGCAATATGAGGACGAAGAAAAAAGACAAATCGAAAGAGAGCACGTTTTGAGACTCGACAGGCAAACTCTTGGCGCTCAAGTTGTTCAGAAACAAACCGAAATTAATCAATTGAATGAGAAAGTCAATCAATCTAAGGAGAAAATCACTGCGCTTGAGGGTACTATAGAGACCTTGTCAAAAGCAGTGAATGACTCATCTGGAACACTAGGCCGGGAATTTGTAATCTTGGAAGCAGAAATTAAGACACTAGAAAGACGAGTAAAAGAACGAGATGCCAAAATTTCTCAACAGGAGTCAGAAATTGGGGCCCAGAAGAAGACAATTGAAGAGCAGGCATTGAAAATTAGGATTGGGACCCCGGGTGCAAGCCATGGAGAAGTGGCCATGCAGAACCAGGCCATACTTAAGGAGAATATGGAGCTTAAGAGACAGTTGGAAGACATGCAAAAAAATCTAGGTGCAGAAAACTCAGAGGAACTCAAGAGGCAGCTAGAAGCAAGTCAAAGAAAGCTAGAAGCTAGTCAAAAAGAATACGCCGTTGTTCAAGAACGCGTAGAGAAGTTATTGCAGGAGCTCGAAGAGGTCCGAAAGACAAAATTCGGCGACGGAGCAAATGCGAGCGAGATTGAACGTCTGAAGCAAGAGTTAGAGAAGGCTACGAAAGATATTCAAAATTTTACGCAAAATTCAAGGAGAGCTGTGAATGAGATCAATCGACTGAAGAAAGAAAATACGGGAAGTGTCACAATGATTCAAACTATTACGGGAAAGTTAAGCAGAGCCACAAACGAGATCAATCGCTTAGATGAGAAGAAAAAGGAAGATGCCGAAACGATTCGTCATCTAAATCAAGAGAACGGGGCACTCCAGTTCGAGATCTCTCGTTTGAGGAGCCTGCGACCACAAGCACAAGTTCATCCAAGCCAGAAAGAATTGGAGTCTAAGAGAATCAAGATTGGTCATTACCAAGATCAGGGACACGAATGGCGCATTCGGGAAGATGAACTCAAGGCTCAAGTTGACGACTACGAGAAGCAAATTGAAGAGCTGACAGCAATAACGCAACAGAGTGATGCTCTAATCAGTGACATGACAGCGGAGCAGAAGGAGCTTCACGAAACCTTGGATAAACTTAAGCTCGAACTGGCAGCGAAGTCAATTGACGATACTGGGGGTGGAGGTGAAACACCTGCCGACGCTGCTGAACGTGAGCGGGTTCATGCTGAGAAGATCAAAGAACTTACAGACCGAAACAGCGCACTTTCCAAACAAGTTGATGCGCTCAAGGAAGAAATTGAGAAGATACGAAAGAACCTTACTGAAACCAACACGGATGCAGAAAAGGAAAAGACTCAACTCAACCAACAACAAGCACATGCCAGTGCTCAGACTATTCATATGTTGATGGGCTTCATGATTCTCCAGCGAGCCTTAAACGGTAAGGTCAGTGGTGATATGGATAGAGTGTTGGCAGCAGTGGATCAAGCTAGACTTCAGGCTGAAGCAATCGGTGATGAGAAGTTGATTGTGGAAGTATCGTACTTGGCCGCTATTGCTGTATATTACGACGGTGATACACCTAAAGCTCTCGCAAGCTTCAATGCCGTCAAAGATTCCAAGGATTGGGATGATTCGAAGAAAGATCTCGTGAAACAATGGATTGCGCATTGCGAGAAGGGGACTGATTGCCCAAAGGGAAGGGGCGGGTATAGAGAAGCTCTAGGACTCGGACCTGTGCCACCATCTTTTCGGGCTCCTCCGAAACTCCCCAAAGATAATGATGACGAAGAAGCAAAAAAAGCCAAGAAAAAAGCTAAGAAAGCCAAGAAGCAAGCAAAGAAAGCGAAGAAGGCAGAGAAGAGGGCAGCGAAAAAATCCAAGGCAGGGACTAAACCAAGAAGAGCTTCAGCACCTAAACGTCGTGGTATACATAGGCCTGATTTATACGTCGGTATCCTATCGCCGAGACAACAACAAATTTGGGATACTATCGATTTTAGTGATTTCGATTACAATCACCTAACTCCCGAGCAGCAATCTCTGTTTTCATTTTTTCCAATAGATTCTGAGCCTGAAAGCCCTCGACGACCAGTAGTCCATCGAGCAGCCGGACCTTCCAGTGAGCTCTCGCCCCTGCCAGCTCCCCGTGCACACTTCGGGCTCCCACCATTACCACTTAGTGATCCTGATTCTGATGCAGAAGCGCCACCACCACCTCCTCCTCCTGCCCCTCAAAAACCACCAGGAAAGATCAAACCTCAAAGATCAGCTTCAAGCGGCGCTTCCTCTGCCGCCTCGGTTCAAGCCGCCAAAGGAGTTCAAGAAGGGCAGCCCAGTCGCATGAGTCGGCCTACCACAGATGCAGCTCTGCATATCCAGTACCTTGTTGCTCAACTGGCTGAAAGTGGAAGACGTATCAGAGAACTCGAACCTGCAGGCGCCATCGTAGAAAGTTTGACAGGTCGAGTGGAAAGGAGAGATAAACAGATCGAAACCTTAAAAATCTTTTGCGAGCAGGTAGTTGCTGAAAATATAACGTTGAAAGGTGATGCTCAGTAGTGCCGGTACAGAATCGTACCTGGAAGCGATCCTGGGACTTGAAATACCTTTAGTTTTCTTCTCTTTTCAAGAAGCATACCTCAATGAGAATGGTGGGTCGTACTGTTTTTGTACATTTCATTATTATATAGTCAACTCAACTAAGAGGCATGCTAATACCAAAACCACACTTGTGGATACCTCTATTGCCACAACTTGCTATGAAGTATTGAAAAAAATTATGTATAAATATCATTTATCTAGAATCTATGCGTACATTATTACAAGAGCTGATTGTGATCATAAGCCGTGGGCACGCCGCCCCTTAAAAAATATAAATGCTTGAAAATGGGACATTCCATACCCAACTTGCAATACCCATAGCTCCCAAGCTCATAGTCAATGCCATAAGAAAATTGACCTCGTTATTATCAAGGATGTTCAAATATCCGTTCTCAATGATTCGACTTGGATGGCTAGGCTTGAGACTGGACTTAAGTGGAGTATTGGAAGCATCGGACTGGGTGGTTTTTTCCTGGTGCAGACCAACAGGATCACCCGCAACGACCAGTACACGTTTCCCACCTTGTCCCTCAACGATACGTCCAGTCCTTGTGTCCACAACGCTCATTTGGAACCATCCGCCTAAGAAGCTATCCACCACACTGCCAAGAGCTCCCCATATGGTTAACGCATAGGTAAATCGTTGTCGCTGCAAGAAGGACCATCCATTTTCCGCAAATTCCTGAGGGCTACAGAATGGCACCAGAGCCATCGAAACAGTAACTATAATGAGAGAACCTAGCAGACCTGCCATGAGACCCCAAACTGTAACACCTCCGTTTGTTCCTGGTGGTACTTTTCGCAGAGTCGGGGACGTAATAAGTCGTGGATGGGCTGAGGATAGGATTCCAAGTTCCGAGCTAAAGGTATCCGCCGCAACAGCTGCGTAATTTGCTATTATTCCCACTACAAGAAGATCGCCACCCCATGTGTAACATGCGTCGTTGGACGATTCTGGCTCGTTTCCTCGTTTGTCCAGTTGATATGCGTGCATAAGAGTAAGAACGGAGGCAACGGCAGAATTCGAAATAACTACATATGTTAGTTCTAGCATTGGAATAGAGGAAGTAGTTCCGTACCTTGCATATGAGTACGAGCTCCTTCACCTCCAGCAGATCCGGTAGATTGCACTGTTAGCTTAGCCTTTACATCGTGTTTGACCTATACTCATCAGAACGGCAGATGGATGAGGTTACAAAGAAGTAACGAACCTTGGTAACTCTTGTGCCAATGAGATAGAATATAATCAAAAGCGCAAAGGGCAAATTCCATGGATGTAAAGCGTGTGCGGCAGCTGTAAGAACAGCTGCAACAATACCTGCTGGAGTTAAACTTTTGTGCGATCCAGCTCTATATACCATAGCCAGAGTGACCGGAATAGCGATAGCCGCCTTCATAGTGACTCAAACTATATATCAATTCTTATTGAAGACTATTGGAAGAACGTGAGTGAGTGGTAGGCAGGAAGGTGCTGCTTTGAAATGTCGCATGTCAAAATTGTGAAGAACAATGAGTCCGATGTTGATATTGTGGCTATTCGTGGGGAGCCAATCAACAATGCCATCATGGTATGATATATCAGTATCAGGCTGGCTGACACATCTTCGGACAACACGACTTACTAATCCGTAAGAACAGCATCAATATAAGATTCAATTGTAGATAGATTTTGAGATTGTCATTTTCTATCATACAAACCCTTTTCCTTTTTTGTCAATGTCCCTTCTCCATACAATCACAACCAATTTGTTGAATCCATAACTCGAGTAAACACGTTATGGGACACACGGGATCGGTAACCTGAAAAGGTTTCTCCGTGATACGTGACTTCCGTCTCCCGGTGGCCAGGTGCAAGTTTCCATTTGTCAAAGGCATAAGCTCTCTACAAACGAATCTCTTTCACAATTTCTTATCTTCTTCCCACTCTTGCTTTTAAAGTATAAGCAACGAACTTACACCGTCGTTCTTTATCTAAAGTGAATCGGCAACATCCGACCGCTTCACCGGTAATGGAGTGGAGGATATATGATAAATATTTAATGGTTATATCCAGCAGAAATGATCTGCTACCCATGTCTTGGCTTGCATGAGTGCTGAGATGGAGATATGCAGGTGTATCTGCAACTCCAAAGGTGGGTGATATTTCCCCTCTTAATGGGAGCATACGCATCCCTTATCGGAATAGCTGATAGTCGTCAGTACATAATGTTTTTCTTTCTCTAAGTCTTGCTTTCTCTATTCTTGCATTTCCTTCTGCTCTCTCAATTTTGCTAGCACCATGGTGCTCATCAAAGCATTGGTCACAGCGACTACATTGATTGCCTCGACAATTGGCAGTCCAAGTCCGAAGTACCCGAAGCCTGTCTCTAATACCACCGACTTTGTTGAAACCCAGCTCTTAGAGGACCCTTCTCCATATGACTTTCCTATTCTTCAAAATGGCAGTCTAGCGGACAGTGGTCAATTTCCCATGCCGTTATGCAATGGATTTAAGTTAGAGGAAGCTTCTATTGACCAATTGCAATTAGCCTTGTCAAATGGGACATTGACGTCAGTGCAAATCGTTATGTGTTATTTGGAGAGGATTTACCAAACAGACGAATATATCAGGTGAGTAACATATGCATCAATTTCTAGCGCCATGCTCCATGCACCGATGGTTGACAATGTTGATAGAACTGTAATGCAAATCAATCCTGAATTCATCCAGATAGCTTCTGCGCTCGACCATGAACGTAAATTAGGTAAAATCCGCGGACCATTACATGGCATACCATTTCTAGTGAAAGATGTAGGTTTCAAGCAACAGATTCTTTTGTGGCCCTACTGACAGGTGCCAGAATATTGCTACCAAGGACAAATTAGAAACTACTGCTGGTTCTTGGATGTTGCTTGGTTCCATCGTTCCTCGTGATGCTCATGTCGTGAAACGGCTTCGCGAATCTGGGGCCATTCTAATGGGACATAGCACTCTTAGTGAATGGGCCGATATGCGCTCGAACTCATATTCCGAAGGTTATTCGGCCCGGGGTGGACAGTGTCGATCACCATATAATCTAACTACTACTCCCGGGGGAAGCTCATCGGGCAGTGCTTCGGCTGTTGGCGCAAATCTTATTACTTTCGCACTTGGTACTGAGACCGATGGAAGCGTAATCAATCCCGCCGAGCGAAATGGTGTCGTCGGTTTCAAACCAACTGTTGGTCTTACTTCACGCGACGGGTAAGTTTTCTTTGCTATCAAGGTTGTTAGATAGTTCTACAGTCCTGCAATGAGAGATTCTGGATTTGAGAGCCCATTTTGAACGTTGAACATGTTCAAGTAACCAGATCGTCCTCGAGCCAGACTGTAGTTCCGACTATTTGATACTCTTGGTACAACAGCTTCATGGCCGTGTATTATATTGACAGTTTTCTTAGTGTCATTCCTGAATCTCATAATCAAGACACCGTCGGATGCTTCGCTAAATCTGTCCGAGATGCTACCTATTGCCTTGACGGAATTTATGGTCCCGACGCCCGTGACAACTACACGCTTGCGCAAGATGCGCCAGCCGGTGGCTACTCTCAATATCTTAGCAACAAGACCGCTCTCCAGGGTGCTATTTTTGGGCTGCCCTGGCTCAGCTTTTGGAAATTTGCCGATTCGGATCAACAGTCTCAACTTCTCAACCTTGTTTCCGAGATAGAAGCCGCCGGTGCTACGATCATTAATGGCACTGAACTACCTTACTGGCAGACCATTATTTCTCAAGATGGTTGGGACTGGGACTATGGTACTACTCGTGGATATCCCAACGAATCCGAGTACACATATGTAGCAGTTGACTTCTACAACGACATTGTAAAATATCTTGCAGATCTCAACAATACAGATATTCGCACCGTTGAAGATATTGTCCAGTACAATATCGACAACGTTGGATCCGAAGGTGGTCTTCCAGGCGTTCATCCCGCCTTTAAATCTGGACAAGATGGGTTCTTAGCTTCTCTCGCTACTAGCGGTATCATGAACGAAACATATTGGGAAGCCCTCAATTTCTGTCATCGCACTACCCGTGAAGATGGAATAGATGCAGCCCTTTATAACAACGGTACTCAGCTCACCGCATTATTGGTACCGCCCGATGTGGGTCAAACTTATCAAATCGCGGCCCAAGCAGGGTATCCAATGGTTACTTTACCAGCAGGCGTGAGCCCAGTGGACGGAATGCCATTTGGGTTGGCTTTAATGGGGACTGCTTGGAGCGAGGCAAGTTTGGTCAAGTATGCGAGTGCGATTGAGGATTTACAGCAGAGTTTAGTGGGCTTTCAACAAAAGAGAACGAGTCCGTTGTGGTATGATTATAGAGCTAAAAATGTTCCTATTATATAGAGGGTATTGATAGTTGAGATGCAAGCTGTTAATGATTATACAATGAATTTATGACTTCAATCCAGTCTTTTAAGCTTCCATCATTTCCTTACTTTCAAAAGGTTTGAAAGCCAAACGGCATTTCGAAAATCACTCCCTTCCAAAGATGTACAGACTACAGAAGGATATCATCTAGAAGTCAAGACGACGAAGATAGTTTACACTATTATTTTTTTCCAGATATCGAGTTATGGTTATCGAGCCGGTGGGGACTCGTGGCGCGCACGTGTTTGCGTCTGATAGAGAGTTGAAGTTTAGTTTAGTTTATATTTGGGGTGGATTGTGTACCACAGAACTCACCTGATGATGTAAACAAAATAATCACATTTTGCATATAAAATGTTCGCTAGGGGTGTGTAAAGCGGAATGTGAAGGTGGTATGGATTGGAGTGACTAACCCAAAGTGAGTGTGAGGGAGTCAAGATATAAGAACAAACTGACGGAACTCTGAAGTGCTTTCTATAATTCCTATAATTTATCAGCAGGCTGGATCAAAAATATGAAGTTTCAGAACTAACCCAATATCCAGAAGTTAATAATTCCATCCGCTACAGTCAGTAGATTATTCACATTGATAAACAGCCTAATCTTCATTTCAAAATCCAGTACAATCCCGAAACATAACACCTAGATACATTTTTGGGGAAATGACAATTCGATCTCGAACTCCAGAAAATATGCTGGTGTACTCTTGAGACTGGTGATTTCCAAATGTTGGGGTTTCAATATTCTATCTTGAATTATGAGCTATCTCGTGGGATTCACCGGAAGCTTTTTTGATATTATGGTAGTATCATTGATATGAAATGTCAAGCAGTAGTGGCTGGGTTAGCCGAAATGTTGGATTATTTCAAACTGTTATGATAGCAATACTACTGTGTGCTTGTCGACTAAACTGTGATCTCAGATTCTAGTGACAGTCATCCTGAAGTATAGGTCTCCTGCGAGATTTACGTGTAGGTTCTGACTGAAATGTCTACGCAGTTCACCAGACAATGGAATAAATTTATAGCCATAGAGTGTTATGTCTAGATGAAATTTTATGCTCTCGATTAACTTCTCACTACATGATCCGCCGAGTTCCCAAGCTTCCTAAGCTTACCTGGGCCTTTGAAGTGATCCAATTTCTCTGCTTTCGCCACTCGGCCCCTGTTGTTCAACCTAATTTCGAACAATCATAGTCCAATCTTCGACCAAACCTCAAACAATCATACCCCATTGACTAGCTCAATCCCAAAAAATCACCCTTGCAAAACGTACGGCCGTATTGATCGCCACTATATTCTCGTTCAGATCTTCTTGCATCGACATAGAAGTACCTAGGTAGCCAAAGGTCTATTCCTCCGCTATATTTGCTCATATCAACAGTAATTGCGGAAGAACAGAGCCATCGATAGGGATTGCCTCTCAATTCAAGAAAGTCGATGTTCGATGTAAGGCAGCATTGAGCAACTTTCCTTTGTTGAACTCAGCACTAGTATTCGAACCTAGCCTGGAAGAGTTCACAGAGTGGTTGAACAGCACCGAATATGACGAAGAATGGTGTAAAGAGAGAAGTGACCTTGCAAGCTTCCAAATTTCGCTGCAAGTAGAAGAGTGCCCTCGTGAATAGTAATTGCTAGATTCCGTAACGTACCGTTTCGAAAATTTGAAATACCATTTGTGAATAAGGGGTTCGAGTCCGATACTCAAACTTAAATACAAGAGGATTTGCGGAAGGTGAAGTATCTTTCTTTGGTGAGTGGACAAAAGTATGTGGCCCCTCAAAGAGAAAAACCGAATATCAAAAGCTTTCTACATAGAGTTGCAGCTCCGGTATTTCAACAACTATTTTTAGAATGGCTACATAATACTACGCTGTTAGAGTTGAATGGTATGAATGAGGAATATATCATCTGCTTACAATAGTCTCGCTTGTCGAATATCGATATATACTCCAGTGTTAAAGCCGTAAACGAACCCTCCGCCGTAACAGCTATAATCACCGCATCGAAACGGATGATCGTCCTGACTCTATGGTGTAAGACAAGCTTGTAAGTTGCCGAGTCATAGGAGTTGAATGATGACGCATTTATCGTTCAGCATAGCATCCAAAACTGTACAAACAATGAAGCTTTCGAAGGAGAGACTTCTTTGGATGATGGGCTCTCGATAGCCGCTAAATCCTTGCGTTCATGCTTACACTGCACTGGATTTAGCTTCTTGGATGGATCTTTTTGGTCTCCTTGGTTGCCTCTCTGTTGCCAGCGGGAACCTTTTTTCCAGCCCACAAGTATGACACTTTCGAACCAGGACGTCAGCCCAGGGTTTCTTTCCCCCCTTGCTTTGGTTTTCAACTTTGGCAGTACATGTGGTCCCTTCCAGCAACAAAGTTTGACAATTCTTACAGATAGAATGCTTCATATCAGGAGACATTCGCATTAATCCTTTCAATGAGACTGAGCGTAGATCGGTGATTAATCTACGGGAGAGAGCTTGATGTGGTCCCTCTGTGACATTTGCGACAGCCTTTGACTCATCCTTCATGACATCCTCCATTGATGAGTCTAGGGCGGTTCCCTTGGCCGATTGTTCTTGACTTTCTTTGTCTTGTACAACCAGATATGTTGCTGCTTGATAGAGATATGACATTCTACTGTACAAGACTTTGTTTGGTACTTTGGATACTCCTTTAGTAGCCTGTGACTTTGCCATTGTGATTAAGAACCCAAATTTGATATCGAATATGTTGCCAAAAGGAATGCTGAAAAGCTCAAAACTGCTTTGGCAAATTTTTCTGGAGCTCAAGAGGTTGTTGACCTTGATATACCTAGGTACCCAGTAGAGTAAAACAGTTTATTAAATCAAATATCAGAGCTTGGGAATTCAATAACACGTATGAAATGAGGAGTGGTAGTTGAATTTTACACTTCAATTATGATTATTGCAACTTTAAGATGCTGGCTAACGAGAATGATGCCAACCAATCAGTCAAAGCTTTTTCTTCCCAAACATATCTAGCGTAGAATCAAAACCTAAGCTGAGCTAAGAACACACGTGATATAATGCTTAGCGGCGAATTGAAGCCGCGCCGACAAAGCAATCCCTTAGTCGCGCTCACCCATCTTTCTTCCAACACCTCTACCTCCATCCATCTCAGTACTTCTTCCCACGACTTCGATCATCACGATCTATCTCTTAATTGATTTGTTTCTTCTTGTCATTCCTCATTTACTCCTAACAATTTTCAGCAAGAATAACGACCACTAAGATTGACCCTCGCGATCGACTTTACCTTTTAACAACAACAACAACGAACCTAACCTTTTAACTAAACCAATATCATCAAAATGTCTGCCGCCGAAGAAGATTTGATCGATTACTCTGATGAGGAGCTCGCAACAACAGAGGCACCAGCACCAGCTGCTGGCGCAAATGGAGGAGTCAAGGGTGATTCGGGAAATTTGACCGTGTCTGGAAATGCAGCTGCGGCCAAGAAGGGCAGTTATGTTGGTATCCATTCGACTGGTTTCCGCGAATTTTTATTGAAGCCGGAGCTTCTACGAGCCATTTCCTGGTGCGGATTCGAACATCCTTCGGAGGGTTAGTCATAACTTTCATCCCTAAACTCCATCATTGTCCTTCTCGCAGCGCGTCCGTCCATCTCGCAAGCAAAAATGAATACTCTCTGGTCAAAACTTCAGCAAGTTACGAGCGATCCTGGAATGTCTCTACCGGTCCGATACAAGATTCGGAGGGATGGCAAACATATGCGTTAGGCGAGAATCTCGAAAGAAAGCGGCGATATAATTGCTGGCAAAATTGTAGGAGATACGTTTAAAGTGCATGCCTAGAGACTTCCAGGATTGACTCAAACCGACGCCTTTGTTGCGTTTGTGTAAAGTTGACGATTTGTGCCTTCCAAGGCAAATATCGGGCCTATACTTCGATCTGTGCATTCTGGGTGTTGTGTTGTGGATGTATTTTGCGTAGATGGGCGGACTTGCGATCTCTTGCACCTGATTATAAATTTGGACACTTAATCTAACTTCGGTCCGATCACTACAGTTCAGCAAGTCTGTATTCCCCAAGCGATTCTTGGTACAGATGTCCTCTGCCAGGCCAAATCTGGTCTCGGTAAAACCGCCGTTTTTGTCCTCACAACTCTACAACAAGTCGAGGTAGTCGCCGGTGAAACATCCGTACTTGTGATGTGCCACACTCGTGAATTGGCTTACCAAATTCGAAATGAGTATCAACGCTTCTGTCACTTCATGCCAGATGTCAAGATTGGTGTTTTCTACGGTGGAGTTCCTATTAGCAAGGATGTTGAGGTATTGAAGAATCCTGAGACCCACCCACACATCATCGTCGGTACCCCAGGTCGATTGAACGCCCTTGTTCGAGACAAATACTTGCGCCTCAACAGCGTTAAGGTTTTTGTTCTTGATGAGTGTGACAAGATGTTGGATCAAATTGGTAAGCTTAATTGCAGTCCTTCTAGGTGCACACTGTTGATATTCTTTTAGATATGCGTCGCGATGTTCAGGAAATTTTCAGAGCCACACCACCACAAAAGCAAGTCATGATGTTCAGTGCTACTCTTTCTCAAGAGGTTCGACCTATCTGCAAGAAGTTCATGCAGAACCCTCTTGAAATTTACATTGATAATGAAACAAAGCTCACCCTTTATGGTCTTCAACAATATTACATCAAATTAGAGGAGAAAGAAAAGAATAGACGTCTCAATGAATTGCTAGATGAGCTTTCCTTCAACCAAGTCATCATTTTCGTCAAGAGCACAGTCAGAGCCACTGAACTTGACAAGCTCTTGCGCGAGTGTAACTTCCCATCAGTTGCAATCCACTCTGGTGTCAGCCAAGAGGAACGGTACGTCTTATAGCATCATCCGTTCTTGTGCATTACTGACACGTGAATAGTATCAAACGTTTCAACGACTTCAAGGATTTTAACAAGCGTATCTGTGTTGCTACGGACGTATTCGGTCGTGGTATTGATGTCAACAAGATTAACTTGGCTATCAACTACGATCTCCCACCCGATGCAGACTCATACCTTCATCGTGTTGGACGTGCTGGTCGTTTCGGAACCAAGGGTCTTGCTATCTCATTCGTTAGCAGTGAGGCAGACCAAGAGGTCCTGAAGGCTGTTGAGAAGAGATTCGAAGTTGCACTTCCGTAAGTAACCCCCAAATCTCACTTCGCTTTTCGCTTGCAATACTAACAATCTATAACAGAGAGTACCCCGAGGGAGGTGTCGATTCCGCCGCCTACACCAAGACTGACTAAATATTCGATACCTTTTATGCTGATCATACGAAATCTCTCTTTTTTAACATTTCGGCGATCGCGGCACCGATTGTTTATCTAAGTTGTGTCACTTTGAGAAATCATCGCGGTGCAAGAAAATTATGATTGTTTTCACGGAAATTTCTCCTTCGCCATTTGTTTATTTGGGGGGTTGTCCCCTAGTCATTGGGATTATGAGATAAATTGTGCCTGGATGTTGATGGCTAGAGGGTAGCAATGGAATGATGGTTGTGGTTAAATTTCACACGGTGGGAAGGAAAGCAAGTTAGCAAAGATATTAGGTGCAATCGAAAAGTTTTTTTCTTTGATATGTATTTGTGATCTGTATTCTATGTTCCCTTAGTGACATAAAACTAGTATTAAAAGAGGTGGTCTTGATATCATCATTGAAAAGCTTCGTTTGTCCAATCGCCTGACTATTACATAGATCTGAGGTTTCAGCAATTGGAATCATTTCAGTCAGCTAGGTTGAATGCCTGAGCCCATCCGAACGTCCAAGTCTCTCTGGATATCTAAACCTCTGTGAATGCCTGAGCTGGCATGAGTGTCCACCTAAACTCCCCTGCATTGACCTTGCTATTTATCAAGAGAAACATCCCTAACCCCTCCCTTCTCTATTCCCTAGACAAGCTCCCAAATCCAAACAATTCCATCATGAACCACACCATCGTCCCCGACCATTTCTCTTCTCCGAGTCCAAATTCGGCCTGGAACTGCCAGTTTACGACTGACTTGGTCAACAAAATCATTCAATTTCCTCTGATCGATCAAATTTCCATTATTGTAGCCTAGAAACTTCAAACGAAATTGAGGCGCTTGAACGCTTGCAATCACTATTTCGCAAAGTTGATACAGAATAGAATCAACGTTACTGTTGGCTTCATACAATTCGGACTCGGTGGTTTGTGGTGTGCGAGTTGGCTGGATGGCAGTGAAAGTTATCTTACGGAAAGAGTTTTCAAGCTTACAGTAGTGGCGAACGAGGAGCTTGCGAGAATTATCGTTGAGTCCGTAGAATCTGTTTTTATCATGATATCAGTAATGTACTGGCTGTGAATTTGACAGATTTGAGAATTGATTATACGAACGTGAAGTTGTCAGAGCGTATATGTAGATAGAGAATCTTCTTCAATTTGTTTCCACGCTTGGTAATGGTTGAGAAAACAGGCAATGTGGCATCAGAGAGGACAAAATTGATGATCTTGTATTGTGCCTGGAGGATGGAATAATCGGAAGTTCCGGACAACGCATAAAGAATGGGGGGGAGGCGGCCGGCAACGGTCATGCAGAGAAGTGGAATGTAAATAGCAAGGCGAAGTTCAAGTGGTAATCTGCTGCCGAGGCGACCTGGTGGTGGGATGGTCGAAATGGCAGAAATCATGGTAGTGATGCTGCTCATCGTTGTGCTTGTGGAGGGAATTGGTGGGGGGATGGTGATAGCGGTGGAAGTTGGTGGAGAGATGGTGGTAACGGTGGAAGTTGGTGGCGGGATGATGGTAGCGGTGGAAGTTGTGGGAGTGATGTTGCTCATCGTTGTACTTGTGGAGGAAGTTGGCAGTTGCAAAGCTGTAGTAGCAGTTTGATTTTCGTTCTCCATTGCTGCAGTTGTAATGGCTGATGATTCTTGTGATGTGCTTCTCGTTTCGTTGTTCTCCACTGTACTGGCTTCGACACTAGCTGATGCTGTTTGCAATATGCTTGTGTTGTCAAGGTTGGTATCCATTGTTATGATTCTGGTTATAACTGATAATAACACAAATTATACCTTTTGTATTGCCACTGTTTATTCTGGGGTTCAAGACACTTCTGGGACAAGATTTTGTTGCAAGTTGGTTGCTGTGCCGATTTCTGTGCAGTGTATTCGCGTAATTTTCAGGAGAACAAGGTGAGAATTTGATTGTTGAAACATTCAACCAATTCGAATTCCTAGTAATGACGAGTGCACAATAAATTTATAAAAGAAATGGTATGAAGATGTTTTCCAAAACTCATTCATAAGAAAACTATTCTCACAATGATGATCATGTTAAATTGCTTAGTAAAGTGTAAAATTATTAGAATCACACTAGTTGCCTACACTTTCCAAGAACAAGTTTTACATTTAGATTTGGCATATTAGCTATATTTACACCACATCTGGATTTTGTTTGAAATGTTTTACTTATAATATCGCCTTAATTTGAACCTTCTCATCGTTTCCTTCTCGACCCAAAACATTATCTTTTAAGTCCTTCCTTACTACTCAGAATACCCACCATAATATCTCAATTTCTATCTTCCGACTTCCAAACCTTTACCAACCCTCACACTTACCAGTTATAAACCCCAATATCAACTTTAAAATACATCCATTCCGATTCCCAGCTCTAGATTTTCAATCTCTCTTTCTCTACCTCGTCTACCTCCCCACTCCGTCACCTTCGAGATCCTCTAATGGTTAGCTTCCATTTCAGCTTCCAACACTTTCAGATGATCCACTCACAAAATTTGGCTCCCTTTCCATCCTCACCCTTCCGCAGTATCTCAAAATCCTACAAGTCCATTGGAGTATCTCGTAGGTAAAATAGGTTAAATCCATCATCTCGTAGCCCCAACTTTCAAACTCTCTCTTTACACTTGAGCGATGCCATAGAGTGGTTACCATTCTACAAACAAATCTCAAATAAATGTGATATAAGGGCCACTAGAAAGGAAACTAGGTGTGGGCTCGATGATTTGAGCATCTTGGGGTGCAGCCCAATTCACTATGATGCTAAGATGAGCCGAATTCTCTGTTCGGCGTGCTCAATCGAGTGGTTCCACTCCCTCGATCTCAAAACTTGAGAAATGGGCAAGTACATAACGGCCGTTAGATAGCTTAGAAGGATCAGAGTGGTCATATCATCTCAATCAATTCTTTGAGGCAATCCCATCACTTGAACCGACCTCAATATTATCTGTAGAGCTAAGATCACCAACATCATCCCTTTATTCACTTACATTGCTTAAACGTGTTTTTTTCCAGCTAGATATCTCAAATCTTTAGTGATCTGAAAGATCTCTTGCTACACTACACATGTAGATCGGTAATAGACGTTATAGATTAACAAAACTTTTGAAAGTTTTCCCAATAACAGATTATGCTTTAAAAAATGCTTATAACTCTCATTGGTACTCAAAGAAGACATTACGAGGCACCTAATGAGTACACAGTCTTACGATCTTAGTATCTTCTAGCCTCGTTCCAACCAGCAGGGTCTTTTGCTACAAACATTCGATTGCAGCATCAAAACCAATCAACGTACCCCCCCGATCGGCTACATTTACCTCTCTTCTAACTCAGCTAATGCTGGCTGATATTCTCACATCTCTGGTATCAACACCTTGTTTTCATACTCTTCTTCCACCGCATTCTACTATTCTTCCGCTCTCGTTCCTTTTTATGTTCCTCCTCACGAGCCTCAGCTACACACTTCTAACTAGCTGGAAGCATCCGCTGGCTGCATATTCCATGCAGAAAGTCCACCAAAATTATGTTCGCTCTTGGTCGCGAACTCGGTCCTGGGTATAATAACTCATTCGATTTTCCCCTCAGATTGGATACCTTTGAACGATCTCTCAACCAAATCACAGCATCGGAACGGTGTGGGCAATGACCGCAGGTTCTGTCGGAGGGGTCTTCTGGACCACGTGGGAAAGCGGGCTCGATGCTTCATCACTCTATACGTATTTATCACTGGCTGGTCTGTTTCAACAGCCGCTAACAGTCCATTTAGCCGACATTGAGCGTTGGTTTTCCTTCGTGATCGGGAATTTCTCCTGCAGAGCGCTCGGCAACTCTTCATTCATATCTGTGCAATTTCTCTTCACACGGGAGAAAGAGAAGCCCCTACGATTAGCTCACAAACACTGAAAGAGAAGCCATCAACAACCGAAAATGCCCAAATCTCGGTCAACAATCTACCAGTAGTTATTGAGATAGTATACGATATATTCTCTATACGCCTCATTATAGTAAGGCGTATTGCATTCTTTATTACGTATTTCAATATGTAATATTAAATACCATATCACTGGAATTATTGAGATTATTATTTAATATTGTATATTACTACTAGGATATGAAGATATTGGAATTCGATGAATTACTTTTCAAATAGGAAATATCGAAGTTATTTCTATTAGAATTTATTGAATATTTCTGAATTCCTATAAGAATGTGGCTGAAATTATTAGGAATTTATCAAATTCTAGTAATTCAATATATTATTAGTATTCTTTAATATACTTTATATATATTCTAGTGGATAATTTAGTAATTTATATGTATTAGTGTGATATATAAGCTTTTAATATCAGTCACTATAATACTAACTCACACTAACTCAATGACTGTTTACTAGTATTAGCACTGGCAATTAAATCCAAGTAAGCATCGTAGATATGTGAGCATCAAAATTGCTACAGCATCATTCAATATCGTCATGAGCCCGGTTGGTTGTGGCAATTCTACTTTACTTCGTACCATGTCAGACAAAACTGATAAAGCTCTCTTCAGATTACTTTCCAGAACAGTCCCACACACCATCTCTTACTCACAAGTTCAGTATCCGCTATCGCCTAGCAGCTAGCAAGTCCTCCGCACCTAGAACGGGCTCTAAGCTCAGATCCAACGAACAATGAGCCCTATGAAGAAACTGTTAGATATTCCCCCGCTCATCGGCGTCTTTGTACACGTTCTGAACTCTGTATTTCTGGTTTGATACGGCAGATTGACACTTTCTTAAGATTGCAAAGTTCATGCACAAGGTATTTCTCAATGTTGTTACGACAGCCACGCTGTCTCTCCTCTCGGGTTCACGCTATTTGAGAGATTTAGCCATCGTATAACACTCTTTACATCGAACTACCACATTACGTTTTTCGGGTATCCATCAGCTTTCCCATCATCACCATCATCATTCAATGCATACATCTCATATCTGATCATATTACACGGTCATCTCTATCCACTTCTCCCCGGGATCCTCTAGATCTTCCAGAGCTACACATTACCTCCACACACCCCTCCAAATCCGAATCCTAGACCCGGAGACCAAAACATCTTTATTTTCCGCGAATGGCGAGATAGCTGCTCGCGTTAAACACATTCGTGCTTATGGGTAGCAAGACCGCTGCCTCACAGATACATGAAATGCTGAGGCGATCCCCAAATTCGTTCTTCTACATACATATATGCATTTCAGCGAGGACTTGTTATTATCCTGAACACAGTTGCTACTGTAATAATGATAAATAGCGAGCTGGGTAGTATCACTCTGCTTGTCGTTTGCCTCGTCACAAGACGGGTTGGGTTTAGCTTTGATGGCTGAGGTGTATCTATCTACAAGCAGATCTAAACTACATTTTTACAGAATGTACTGTTCTAGAGACTTTACTAGAAGCTGTGATGCGTCTGCAGTTGTTTGTGAAGGATACATCTAGGGGGAAAGGATAGAGCAGATGTCATAGAAAAAACTGGGACCTAGCAGCGTGAATATTATTTTTACAGGCGCAGGTAGGAGATTGCGCTGAGGGGATTACAAAAGGTGATATAGATACGCAAAGGTCTTCACAGGATAGATAGATCTTAAACCTCAAAGGCGGTTTTGCAAAGATCATTACAAAAAGTAATCTAACACAAAAAAACTATAGGATTCTTAACTCCAGAGAGTATATGAATGATAACCTCTCCCTCAGTATCCTCATCTAAAATCTACAAGTATTTTTTCACCTCTGTGGCTGTAGATATTCGAAAGTTTCCTCGGTTATATTCCATTCTTTACTTCTCTTCCCCCATTCACTTTTTTCGCATCTACCTTCTCTCGTCTGTTCGTACACGTTGTTTTGACGTCGTTATGTCTTCTCCCTGTAATTAGCCTTTACCCTATACTTAATAATTTTACACACTTTCCCTCTCAACCTTTTATTGCTTCTCCTTCTCCTTTTGCTTCTTCTCCTCTACATCGATTTCCGCGTCTTTATCCTATCCCCCAAGCGAACAAAGTAACTACTACTATATGTCACCAGGAAGCAGACGCTAAAAGATTGAAAAGGAAGAGGAAATGATGCAGGTCAATGTCTGTAGGCGGAAACAATTGATCTGTCGATAAAACAAGATTGCATCTCTCTACCCAACATCAAAGACCTCGAGCTCAAGAATATCAAGCAGAGTGTCCAATAGCCCAGAGAGTTAGAATAGATGTGAGCTTTCACTACCCGAAGAACAGATCCATATTCGAATCGAAATTGCTACCTCAAATCAGTTGGATGTTCTGATCCGAGAAAACTTCTGAACATCGGGCTGCATGCAGTCCGAGCTATTGGACACGCTGATTTCAAGGTACATATTGATTGTAAAGGAGAAAGGATTAGACAATCCAATCTTACTCTTTGATCTTGAATGCTTATTTTTCACACAATACTCCATCGACTTCCATCCAAGTCTCACATCGAGAAATGAAATCGTTACAACAACGACCAAAAACCCCATCCCAGAAATGTAGAAAATATACCATGTCGTTGCACAACCAATAAAATCATTTCCCCAAGCACGCCACAGCATAAACAAAGAGGAGGTGGCGTGCCTACCTTTCAAGCGCCCTACACCACCCAGCGTTACATCGAAGCAACCTGTCAAAATCACCGACAGCCATGCGTTCCGCATCCTTCATCGTCCAACGTTTTGACCGCTGTGGCAATGGGTAGTTATCTTACAGCACGATAGATTATCCGCTCGGAGATTTGATTCGCTCGTGGGCAAGGTAAACAGATAGATCGAAATTTCCTGTCTTTTTCAAAAGATCTTATAATCTGTACCTGACAAAGCATTTTGTTTTCGTGGACTGGCGGGATACTACCATTGAATCGACAGGCTGAGACAGCTGAGACAGGGCGGGTATTTCGAAACACTAAAACGACAAGATACTACATATATACGGTGAATTTGCATGCATACACGCACGTGAAATGCACCAATGTATCCAGGCTCTGCCATTCTTCTGGGTAAGAAAGATTTCCGCAATGTAGTATTCCTGCCTTACAAGCATTATATGAGAACGAACGTGATCCGAATCTCACATTGAGATTGAAAAGCCTCGGTCAGAATAAGGAACCTTGCTTCCATAATTGCTAATAAATACTGTACTACAGTATGAATGACATTTCAGAGAGTGATATCAGCGTAAAGATAAGATAAGTATAAGATTGCGAGCAGCATAGCAATTTTCAATATAAGCCAACGAAAACATGATGGTACCTTATTTCTTACTATGCAGACCTACCCAAAACACATAAGTCCGAATCCGAGTCCGAGTTCGAGGTAACGGTAATTTCGGAGGGTTTGTTCTTGATCTCCAATGGAAAACTTCGACATGAAATTGCCTCCGCTTGTGAATAGTCTTGGCAACATTGCCTTGGCCAGATAAATGGGATATTATTTTATTCCATAATAACCTTTCGTTGTACCTGAAAAGCTAGAACATGTGCCTCATTTCGTTTCTTTCGAGTTGATTTGTAAAGAACATGCCGCGCAAGAAAGTTACTTTGATGTAATAGCAGTGACTTTAAGATTCTATCTCGTATGGACCTTGAAAATGATGGCTGTTCATGTCAGATTGATCGTATATTGAAGGGTTTTATTGGCCGGGTGTATTTAAGAGACTTGAGGCATTCAAGATTTTCTGGCCCTAGAATTAGGTGATGGGATATACATCTGCAAAATGAAAGACTGGCACACGAATTGGAACCCAACTGAGATGCAAATGCCTAGTATGAAACCAATAGGAAAGACCTTTGTTGTTTTGTTTCTTGTTGCCTATTTTGTCAACCATGGTTTCGATATCTTATATTGACTTTCGAGCCTCAGAGGTGCATGTAAAGCGACAGCAGGATTGGGTTAGCTCGGAAATAAAAATCCCATAACTGTTGACATCAAAATTGTGGCAGCCCTAGACGAGCAACCAGTGACTGACTGTCAGTCAGATCGACACATTTATCCACAATAATCCATGCGTATCCGTAGAAATAAAAAGGAGAACGATACATGGTGGGAGCGTGGATAGGCAGTCTTCCTGGGATGCCGAAGGAATCATTCCACTTTTTTATCTCGAAAGCTTGTTTATAGTGGCTTGAGTCGAACTTTGACTTGGCGATAGCTTCGGAACGCGTCAAATATATGGAGAAAAAAGGTTCTAGAGTAGAGATACACATGCTTCTAAGTTCTGATCTTCTTCTCTCTCAAAGTCCCTTCTCCTGAACTATGGGTACTATGGAGCCTCCTTTTTTATGAACCGATCGTTTCGAGCTGGCTGCATTCAACACAGTCTCGTACTGAGATATGATTCTTTTTTTGGAAGATTGTTGTCGTGGAGCCTGTGGGGACCATTCGATTGCTTCTGCTAAGACGAGACATTAGTTTTACAGCCGACTCTGTATACATATCTTTTGCATCGTTACAGTACCATTGGACAGGTATCAAGAGATAAACACTGAATTGTGCATGATGCAGAAATTTGACCAACAATCCAGGACATCCGAAGATTCCGCTCTTCTATGATAGTCGATGGAAAACACGCGTGTCCAGCCAATGCGGACTTCGCTATCAACGAGAATACCGGCTTTCCATAGAACCCTGTTTGTTGTGCTGCATTCATTATACCTGCATGCTCAGGTTGACCAGGATTTCGATAGTTTTTTTACTGTGCTCTATATTAGTATCCTCGTAGCTCTCTCATCGCACAGACAATCATCTCATCATCAATGCCCCCTACCATCAATATATAAATTATTGACCCAGAGATTCCAACTTTTGATAAATTGCTGTGAGCCTTGTAGGGCCTGAGACAGATGCTGTCATCGTTGCAAGGTAGAACGAAATGTCGAGAGATTGGGAGTGAACTTTGAAGGATTTCTGAACTTCGGTACGACTCCTTAGGTAGTTATTATATGTTCGGATGTCCACGCCCGCGAAATTTCGTGATCAGTCTGTTGTTAAGATATAGTACGTGAGTGGTGATGGGAGCCAACGCATAATAGACGGTTTGGTCTGGCGGCCTTCAAAAGGAAGGATTTGACAAGGAACGTGTGCGAGCCGGCGGACGGGCCATATATTGCGGGTATTGAAGATTATTTTTGTGACATTAATTCTTGATTATCGTGGGGTGTTGTCACGTCTTGGGGAGAATGAATCCCTAGGTCCTCTCGTCCTATAGGGTACGTATTCCATTCCGTATGCGATTCGCTTTTGGACTTCGTGGATGGGATTATGAGACCAACTCTTTGGGAGGATTTTGGCTATTGCTATTCGACGTACGAAGTAGTAGTTGACTGCCCCCCCTGCAATCGCAATTTGGTATTTATTTGCACAGCCTTTCGGACGTGGAGCGTCTTCCCCTACCTAGGTAATGGGTTTGTCAATTGTCATCTCATCCAGCCTCCAGAAGATGTATGCTTTACTCTCAGCCTATAAAGTATCTCTTCCTGATCTTGCGCCTCTTTAGAACCCAAGCACCGCCTATGTTTCGAATTGGGGGCTCTACTGCATTTGTTATGAGCGCTTACACGATGGTTTATCTAGATTCTGCCGACCTTACTGTACGTAGGCAATTTGAGTTTTGGAGAAACAACTCTAAGAAACAACTTTAAGATACAACTTTGAGATACACCTAGTACTAGGGAGGTACCTGAGGCTTGTGTGATATAAGGTTCCAGTTCTAGAAGGACTCACACTCCCAACGGATTACATTCCATTCGTCTAATAATAGTCGGCTCTTCAACTAGTCGGCCACTTGACGAGCCGACTATTCGCTCTGTTACCCATTTTCGCGGCTGGAGGAGATAAACTAATGTATACTACTAGGTATCTAGATAGATAACTATCATGAAGTCGGCTTGAAGTACCGGCTACATTCATAGTTTGCGGGTAGCTCTGAACTGGACAAGATGGTAGGAGGGAGGGTTCGAGGGATACCTAATAGAGTAAAGTAGAGTCCAGGAGAGTCCAGGAGAGCAGATTCTGGTGGTTTCTTTCAAGCCGGTTCCCGTACCTAGTTGATATCTAAAAGGAAATCTGCAATTGCTTTGGTAGATATCAATGATTATCAATGCAAATCTCAAATAGATCGATTGATCCTTTGGTTCGTATTCAGTCGTTCCTTCCTTTTTCAATAGCACAATGGCACAATAGCGCAATAGTACAGTAGCAACTATCGTCAGTACTAGGTGGTTGATACTTAGGTAGGGACGTACCTACCTACCTTCTCAGGGTCTTTCTCTTTGCATCCGCCAAAATTGTTACGTTCTAGCAAAAGAGTAGCGGCGGGAAGGATCCTGTTGTGACAACTTCTCAGGTGGTATTCATGGTAACATGCCTGGTACTGGTGGGTAGGTATCTGTAAGTATCTCGAGAACTTCTCGAAGTGTATATATATATATTATGTATATGTGTATCTATATGCAGTGGACAGGCCACCCACCATCTGCTAGGTACTATTGACCATTGCCACCATCACCACCGTCTCATCGACTCTCTTCGCTGAGACATTCACAACTCTCATATTAAACTTTGAGATAACTCGGGACAGGATACGAGATAATTTGCCTACTCTGTCAATGTTGAAGCATAACACCTCCTTTTTATTATAATTTCTCATTTTACATTACATGATCAAAGCAACCTTTGACATTCTCCTTGGGCAAAGTGTATATGGTCGATCTATTTGATATTGCCCGGGTACCTGTCTGTACAATGCATTGTACCAATAAACGTCCCTAGGAGGTAGCTAGATAGATGCTACCTCGATCACTCTCAATATTGCAATAAAAGGTATAATTACAACTTATTAGAATTCAGAACCTAAAACCTGCTTTTGCTTTTCTACCTTTTCTTACCGTGTGCCTACCTCCTAGTGAACTGCAGTGATCAATAAATTACTCTGATATAAGTTCGTCAGCCACCTGGACAATACGGAGAACCATATCTCAATGGCGTTATGAAAATAAACAGCCTTCCATCTACCTCTCACACACCTTCACCCACCACACCTCTTGGCATCAGCACATCCATCTTTTTTTTCTTATCAAGGGAGAGAAGCAGACAATCCAGCAGGAACGAGAGTCCTTCTTCAAGGTTTCAGCAAGGGAAGGGAAGGGAAAGGAAAGGAAAGGAACGGAACGGAAAGCAGAGGGAAAAAACATTCACACAAGAGGGGGAAAAATAAATACACAAACCAAACAAAAATTCAACCACATTCGCTCAAGTCATTCTCCTCTGTCAGCGCAATCAAAAACAGCGTCGGAAACTTTCCATTTCATCTATTTAATTTTTTATCCTGGGATTTTCCTTCATTCTTGTCAACAGCCTCTCTCAGTGCCTCTCGCTCATTTTCTGTCTCGCTGTCTCTCTCACCACCTCACTCTGCTACGGTTCTGCCGGTACTTTCTCTATCAGGGACAGATAGACTTTCGCAGTACATATATCCATTGTGCGTGCCTCTCTTTCTTGAATGCTCCATGATCCACGCACCTACGTATTCCAAGGATTCTTCGGTCAAGGAAGTCAAGGAAGCCATTGAACGCATCCACCCAAAATACCTACGTTCCGTAAGCTGTTGACCAATCCGACGCGTTTCTTATATACGTAGCACATGAAGTTTATTATTAAAGTTAGACCTCTAATTCACATTGATTACTCTCCGCAGATAAATCACAAACAACGCCAACGCCTTTTCTGCTACGCCCTGTTTTTTGTTTAATTCCTCGCAAATTCGCAACCTCCGAAGAAAAGTTCAAACCCCATCTGGATTCGGATTCCTGAACAATCCACATCTGCATCCACCATAATCAATAGAATCCACACTCTTTTTTTCCTGCGGTTTTAGCAGACAGGTCCAATTATTCACGGTCCTGAATTCCACCACCCAATCCAGGTCCATCGAAAAAAGACTCGTCCCGTAACCTAAAGAAAGACAAAGGGTCTCTTCAGGCCTTCACGCTCGTTTTACCACCAAAATTAGGACGATCAGAACTACAAGTTCCTCATATCCCCACCCAGGCCGCCTCGGTTTTGGCACCAAGACAGGGGAAACACAATAATACAGCTGCAAAAAGCAAATCCAATTTTACGATTAGTTTTGGCTACCCAGTTTGACTCGGTACATCAAATCGAACGAGGGACGGCAGAGTGAGCTGCTTAATCTCAAACTTGGTCAAATACTAGACCAGCATTGGTCAAGACTCAAGATGGCACCCACTCCTCCCCGATTAAGAATTCTATCAGGTTTGTCTAATGCAAATGTCCTTTATTTCCCACTCCACTTTTATATCACGCTAGCTGAGCACCCATCTCCCGCCAGTATCTTCATTTTTCTTATGTTGTTGTGGTTCACCGTGTGCGATTTCGTAGATTTGTTCATATCGTCGTCGTCGTCAAAATGGGAGGCAATGAACTAATCAGTGTGTGTACAGTTGGTGGGAATGCTGTCTCTGCTTTCCTGTCATGGAGGCTTCAAGCCACCAACGCTTGCGATGTGACATTGGTGTGGAAATCTGGGTTCGACGCTGTACACCAATACGGGATATCATTCAAGTATGTGCCGACGTCAAATGTATCTGCAGCAATCAACTGACCCTTCCACAGATCTACATCTTTTGGCAACGAACGATTTAAACCACGACATGGTATGATTTTCACTGTCGAATTCCAGCTAAGAAAAACAAGCGAATACTGATGTGTGATATCTAGTCGTCCGAACACCGGAAGAAGCTGCAAGTAACAAAGAGGGCCCCTTCGATTACGTTCTGCTTTGCGTAAAAGCCCTACCAGATGTATACGATCTCGCGGCAGTAATCGAGTCGGTCGTCACACCACAACATACATGCATATTAGTCAACACTACAAATACACTCGGTGTCGAGGCCCATCTCGAATCAAGGTTTCCAAGCAATGTCGTGTTATCACTCGTCTCGGGTGCTGAAATAGTGCAATTGGGAGCAAGCGAATTTGAGCACAAAGGTTCCACCGAGATATGGGTTGGACCGGCGACAAA